TTCACAGCTAAGAAAATACGAAAAGACAGCTCAACACTTTTCCCCTTCTCTTCCACACTGTCTATATAACTCTAATAAGAATCTCTGATCTCTCCATATAATTTCTTCTCAATTTCGCTTCCACTATCCTTTTGTTTGCCAACATAAAAAAAGATCTTACCAAAAAAGAGGGGTCAGAAAAAGAAAACTAAATACTTCTAAGGATCTCTTTTAGAATTTCTTAGGAAAATGCCTGCTGGTGGATTCGTCGTCGGAGATGGCCAAAAGGCTTATCCCGGCAAGCTCACTCCCTTTGTTCTGTTCACTTGCGTCGTCGCTGCCATGGGTGGTCTCATCTTTGGATACGATATCGGAATCTCCGGTAAGTATCTCACTATTTCTCAGCTTTTACATTTCCACCCCACAAGTATCTATGTAGACATCAACACCCACACATTAGAAATTATGGTAGTCGTTCCATAAATAATTATGAACAAAATGCCTCTTATGTGTTTCTATTCATTCATCCATCTAAAAATTACAGAATCATCAGCAATTATAACTTTTTAAAATATTTACAAAATAGCCCCATATGTTTCTATAGAGTCATGAAAACCCTGTCTGATCATTTTTTTTGTGTGTGGAAATTCTGAATATTAATAATAAAAATCTACAGGTGGTGTGACGTCGATGCCGTCTTTCCTCCGGCGATTCTTCCCATCGGTGTACCGGAAACAGCAAGAGGACGCGACAACGAATCAGTACTGTCAGTACGATAGCCCGACGCTTACGCTCTTCACGTCGTCGTTGTATCTGGCGGCGCTAATCTCGTCGCTGGTGGCTTCCACCGTGACGAGGAAGTTCGGACGGCGGCTCTCGATGCTCTTCGGTGGCATACTCTTCTGCGCCGGAGCTCTCATCAATGGCTTCGCTAAACACGTTTGGATGCTTATCGTCGGTCGCATCTTGCTCGGTTTCGGTATCGGTTTCGCTAATCAGGTCCGTCACTACAAACCATCCATTTTTAATGATTAAGATTTGAATTATTGCTAACCATATAAGTATATATCAAATTAGCATTTTCTCTTCTTTTTTTTTCTTTCACATTTACATCACAGATTCACGAGTAAGAAAAACTTCAAATTAAATAACTCTTCTACTTGTTCTTGTAAAATTTAATGTGCTGAATTTTATATTTATTTCGTCATAAATGTACCTTGGTTTTAGAATTTTTTTTTGGACCAACCAGGCAACCACTTTCATTGAACATAATCATCATATATTTAGGTCAAGTTGACATTATTATTTGTTTTCTTCCTTTTACTATCAGTTTACAACTACGATCATTATTTTCCACATTATATTATACTCCACGATTCCACATTGATTTGTAACAATTATTTTATTTTATCATTGATATAACAATGATATAACAATTATTTTATTTTTTCATTAATTGTTATCGGCTGAATATCCACAATTCCACATGGTCTGTTATTTAACCTGTGATGTCTCTTTCTCTCCATTTCAGTGATCTAATTATCCGATCTATATTGTTTTTGACGTCATATCGTATAAATCTCATTACAACTTTTGTGATCACTCATTGATACGGATCTTAGCTTTAGCTAGAAAAATGTCATATTCGGTCCCTATTCGGACCGTATCTATATCTTTATGAGGTTAAACAAAATGACGACAATAACCCTGTTAAAACCCCGTATTTTAAGTCTATGCCCTGCCTTGATACCAAGCGCTTCGAATCTTCACTTCAATAAAGTCAGATACGGGAGCGTGTACATTTGAAAGCACTTGTGTCGTAACTTACCTTTTTAAATGACGTAACTAACCCTGTTTAATTTATCTATTCACAGTCCGTGCCACTATACCTCTCCGAGATGGCTCCATACAAATACAGAGGAGCTTTGAACATTGGTTTCCAGCTCTCAATCACAATCGGAATCCTAGTCGCCGAAGTTCTCAACTACTTCTTCGCCAAGATCAAAGGCGGTTGGGGATGGCGGCTCAGTCTCGGAGGCGCGGTGGTTCCCGCCCTGATCATAACCATCGGTTCCCTCATCCTCCCTGACACTCCCAACTCGATGATCGAGAGAGGCCAGCACGAGGAGGCCAAAACCAAGCTCAGGCGAATCCGAGGCGTCGATGACGTCAGCCAAGAGTTTGACGATTTAGTCGCCGCTAGTAAAGAGTCGCAGTCGATAGAGCATCCGTGGAGAAACCTCCTCCGCCGTAAATACCGGCCACATCTCACCATGGCCATTATGATTCCGTTTTTTCAGCAGCTTACCGGAATCAATGTCATTATGTTTTACGCTCCGGTTTTGTTCAACACCATCGGTTTCACCACCGATGCTTCTCTCATGTCCGCCGTGGTCACCGGCTCGGTCAACGTCGCCGCAACGCTCGTTTCCATCTACGGTGTTGACAAGTGGGGACGTCGGTTTCTCTTTCTTGAAGGTGGAACACAAATGCTCATATGCCAGGTAAGGAAACATATCTACTGTATATAAGACGATGATAAATGTGTTACAATTGGTCTTAAGTTGCGATTAGATATCGAATTTTTATATTTGATACAAAAGAGTTTATGTAGATGGATAGATGGTTTTCGAGATCAAATTTGCAATACTATATAATATATATCAATTACACTGATGGAAAATATGTTTTTTTTTCTTGTGTGATTGTAGGCTGTGGTTGCAGCATGCATAGGGGCCAAGTTCGGGGTAGACGGGACCCCTGGTGAGCTACCAAAGTGGTATGCTATAGTGGTTGTAACTTTTATATGCATCTATGTGGCGGGTTTTGCGTGGTCATGGGGTCCGCTAGGGTGGTTAGTACCGAGTGAGATCTTCCCGTTGGAGATAAGGTCGGCTGCGCAGAGTATCACAGTGTCGGTGAACATGATCTTCACGTTCATAATCGCGCAGATATTCTTGTCCATGCTTTGCCATTTGAAGTTCGGGTTGTTCCTTGTATTCGCCTTCTTCGTGGTGGTGATGTCCATTTTCGTCTACATATTCTTGCCGGAGACTAAAGGGATTCCGATAGAGGAGATGGGACAAGTGTGGAGGTCACATTGGTATTGGTCAAGGTTTGTGGAGGATGGTGAGTATGGGAATGGACTTGAGATGGGTAAGAGCAGCAACCAAGGAACTAAACGTGTCTGATTTATATATATATATATATTTTTTTTTTTTTTTGTTTTAATTGTTAAAGTTTTTAAGAAAGAAAAAAAGATTTGTAATTTCTAATTTCGTAAAGAAGAAAGTGGTATTAGTCTAGATATATTTATGTTTATATAATTCAGTATGACATGGTGAAATTATGGATATGATTCTTTTTTATATCTTCAGCGTGTTCTATTTAATGTTAATTTACTCCATAATGAAGTTAATTTAAGGCCAAATATGAAGTCAATTTTTTCTTAAAGAAAAGTCATGCGAGTTTGAAATACATGAGCACCAGAGCAGACTTACCATGAATACTTAACTTACGATTTTGTTTTGGTTGTAGGTTAACTTACCAAGAATTGCTGCATGTGTATCTTGGTTGTGTTTAATCACTAACGTCATTTACTTTTTCCTTTTCAACAAAAAAAAAAACAGTTTTAGGATTAATTTAATAGAAAAATAAATATATAAAAAGAAGGGGTGTATTGAACTAAACATTTGAAGTGATTTTAGTTTTATTAAGATTTCAGATGATTAATGATTTTAAGAAAGTTATAATGACTTGGTTTGAAATTCTCTACAATTCTACATAAAACCATACGATTTGAGCATTTGTATTTTTAACTAATAAATCCTCTAAATCCATTGAAATCATTAAAATCTTACTTAAAACATTTCTAAGAACAATGATTTTTAAGAAACATTTACAAATTTTATAGTTATATCCAATAATACTGGATTTTAAAATTTATGTTTCAATAACATAAAATTTATTATTTCAATTCAAATCAATTCAAATGCTTAGTACAATACACCTCTCAATATTTTGTGTATTCTCTCGCATAATATGTTTAAATAAGTATATCTGACTTTTTTTTCAGATAAGCACAAATGATGCACTTATGTCTACAATGTAATGTGGTTGATAAATCAACGTTTTCTATCTATTAGTGTATGATAGCATCTTTCAAATATCTTATATTTGTTTTTAAGGTCCTCAAATTTGATTTCATTCTTGTGCCCTTTTCTCTATGTTGGAGGACAATTCTAAGGTTTGCGTGATCGGAGTGAAGAGCTAGCATGGGTCCTAATTATGTTGGAAAGTTGATGAGACAGAGTCAAACTTCTATCCATATATGTTTTCAATCAGTACCAAAATGATTTGATGCTTCATATCATTGGAGTAAAAGAAACAGTGTGGACCGCTTATCTTCTCGCTTAAACCTTTTTTGTGGAAATCTTGGTTTTTCTTTTGGTGGACAATGTTTTTTTTTTTTTGTCTTAGAATATAGTAGTGGAGATTTTGAAGCCATATAATATTCTTTCAGATAAATGTGATTATATAAATTTTGATGGTCCTGAATTCCTCCTGATCCGGTTCTTCAATATAGGCCTTGTATCATTATTTGCCAGTTTCTTTAACAAGCATTTTTAAACGATTAAATAGCTCCAATGAGAAGTGGGTTTCAGGGATGAAGATTATTGTGTCAAGCAAAATACCGATACACCATTTGCGTGTTAAACAGTCATCTGAATATCGATACATCCGAAAATCAGTCATTCATTAACTTAAAGAAAAATGCAACACAAAATATATCCAATAGATAGAAGAAGCAAAGATTCTCATACAGAAATTTATTTCATGAGCCAACGTAACATAAAGTAAATGAGACTTTGAGTGGGAGAAGACAATAACAGATCTAAACACACTTGTCTTAAGTTTACATTTATTGGTCCTCTCATGTTTTCCAATGGTTCTATCTAGTCTTTGTTCACATGGCTTGTTCCATAAACATGTAATAATCAATATATAAATGCCAATCAGTCTTAATAACATACACACCATTCCTGTTATTCGTCAATAATCCAAGTTATTTAAATTTTGTTTAAAGCCAGTTTACATTCTTATTTGCATTGAACGATTTCAGTTACATTTGGATCTACATTGAACCATATATGGAACTGGTTTAATACTCATGGAGTCTAGGGTTTCTCCTGAGCCGGTATGTTTTCATCATCAGAGAACAAGTCCTTATGATCATTAGACTTAAGAGACAGAGAATCCTCGTCACTTGTATCTAAAACAAACATAGGTTGTTTTGGCTTTGGAAGATCCATTGTCGACGTCAGCATTGTCACCACTTGTTTGATGTTTGGTCTGTCCATTGCTTGGTGTTGAACACACATTAAACCTATCTGAACACATCTCATCACTGCTTCAACTGAATCTGACTCAGAATCAGCAATGTCATAATCCAGTAGATCTACTCCTCCGGTTTCACTCCATGATTCCCATGCCTGTTACACAAAAACTATAAAAATTAAGAAACCAGGATTTGTGTCAACTTGACTGTAATCAGATTTTTAAGTGTGTTTCTTACACATGCAAGAAGGTTTTTGTCTTCTTCTCCACAGCTAAAGCTAGATATCTCTTTTCCGCTGATGATTTCTAGCATCAAAACTCCAAAGCTATAAATGTCAGATTTCTCAGAGAATGTTCCTGTCCACACATACTCTGGAGACATGTATCCCCTGTTCAAGTTATCGAATGATTTTTGGAAAAAAAAAGGTTCAGTCTATAGAATGTGAAACTTTGATTCCAACATGTGAAGAAAAGGAGTGATTCTTACAAAGTTCCAAATACTCTGTTAGTGTTGTCTTGATTTTGAGTTCCTTGAAACATCCGAGCCAACCCAAAATCCGATATTTTTGGATTCAGCTTCTCGTCCAAGAGAATATTGCTGGCTTTAAGATCGCGATGTACAACTCTGAGGAATGAGTCGCGATGGAGATAGAGGAGTCCACGAGCAATACCTTGAATGATATTGAATCTCTTAGGCCAATCGATCTCCAGCTTCTTCTTCATATCTATAGATTATCACAGAGATCGATTAACATGTAAGCCACAGAAGACAAATGACAAATGCAGAGGAAGATGAAGAAAAGTAGGGACTAACCAAAGAGAAAAGTATCGAGGCTTTTGTTCACCATAAACTCATAAACCAATATTTTCTCTTCTCCTTCAATGCAATATCCTAAAAGCCGAACCAAGTTTCTGTGTTGTAGTTTTGAGATGAGTTTTAATTCGTTCATGAATTCCTCTGTTCCTTCTCCAGAGCTGCTAGAAAGGCGTTTTACAGCTATTTCTTTCCCATCTTTTAGTTTCCCCTTTTAGTAGAAAGAGTTGCAGAGAGACTCATCTAGGGAACAAGAAAGATAATGATAGAAAAAAAGCAAAACACAGAGAGTATCATATATTATCTTTTACCTTATAAACTGTTCCAAATCCACCTTGACCAAGTTTATTTGAGATGCTGAAATCATTCGTCGCAGTTTGTATGGTATGCATCTCAAAGAAATTTAAACCTGAGACATCTTGTGATTTCAAATTATTCTTCCATGAATCTTCTGAAATCTCCATGGCTACACGAGCTTCACCTACGAGTTACATGAATCCATCCATGTATCAGTACTTACGTTTCTAGCATCTGAGGATTAGTCCAAAGCTTAAAAGATCAACGAGTTTCAAGCATGTAACATCTGACAACTAAAGGGAGAAAAGATCAAGAAAACAAGTGAACAGATAGCAAAAGAGAGACATTAAGAGTAAACTCTTAAGCTATTTTTGGAGTCTCACCATTTTGTTTTAGTCTGTATCTCCAGCAACAAAATGTCGCAAGCACCAAGATTATAAACACGCAGAGGCTGATAGTGCTAAAAACAATGATCTTGATTCGCTTGCTTCCAGCTGACAGAATCACCAAGAAACTAAAAACTGTAAGAACATATTGCTATTGGGAAAAAAAAACAGAGCAAAAATAGCTATGATTATGTAAACCTAAAACAAAAAAATGTGATTTGTGATGTCTTAAAGCCATACCTAACTCAGAACGTGCAAGGCGGATGGAAATAAATTCTCCTCCTTCAGAAAACTGAACCATGTCCAATAGCTCCTGGTTCCACACTAAGCATCCAATTCCATTACTATAGGCAAACGCCGAGCAAGAACAGTTGCGAAGACATCCTTGACGGCATTGTTCTGCATCACCAAAGCTTGTCAATTCGTAAGCATCCGGAGGCTTCATATTGGCAACACGATAAAATCCATCTGTTGTGTCTTTGCTTTGTGTCGTCGAAGAAGAATTTCCCTGACAAGGTGATAACTCTGTTCGTCTCACACACCCACGAGTCCAGTTTCCGCTGTTCCACTCGTCCTCTGACTTTGGCACAAACCCTCTCACGCATTTGCAGGTTGGAGTACTCATGGACCTCATACACAAACCATAAGGTCCACAAGTACCGTAGAGATCACATGACCTTAGAGGACCTTCGAAATGCTTAATCCACCCGGTGGTGTCACCATTAGTACGATGAATATCCACTGATCCATCTGACGTTAGCTTGATGTATGACACATCAAAATTTCTTAGTGCACAAAAAGTCAAAACTCCTGTGCCATTCACCACATCTTGGACCATTTTCAATGGATTTACATATGTTTTATCCATTTCTGGTATCCCTGAGAACCTTGTTTCCACCCATGGCCCGCTTCTCCAATAAGGTGATGAGCCTTTCCATACAAGTCCTTGAGGTGGAACCTCTGGAGTAAGCTCTGCTAGAAACTCCCCAGGAGATGGATCTGTGTTGCTCTTCCAAGAAGTCAACACACGCCTCGTGTTGTTAGGAATATCATACATAAGCGATGACAGAGGAAGCATAGTATCAGTAGGATGCTCAAAACTTTGCCATAGATATGTTCCAGTAACATTATCTATGACAACAAGATTTCCGGAGTTTGAAAGCTGGGCACGACATTCGTTAGATGTGAGAACTTCTTCTCCAGATGACCAGAGAGTCTTTTGTTTATCATCAAGCAAGATGAGACTTCCATTACTGCTGATTGTAAGATTGGCCGTGGAGCTCGTGACTGGATTTTCTCTGTTAGCTACCCAAACATAAACCCGAGGAGTGACTCCCTTGAACCAGATTCCAACATATTGACGATTTTGAGAGCTGTTAGGACTGAAGAATCCTAGTTCAAAGGATCCATCTGGAGAGCTCAGAGTTTGTCTTATTGACAAAGGATTCGATGTGGTTATATCTGCAAAGCCATAACTTGAGAACATGGTTAAAAAAAGCAAGCACGGAAAGTAAAAAATACCCATCTTTCCTCTCTATGTGTTTGCAAGAAATCTTCCTCCAGAGATTTCTATGTATGAATAAAAATCAGATGAAATATGAATGAAACCTAATAGATGTTCTGACATTCAAACAGCTTGTCTTGACCAATCAATCATTCTTGGCATATTTTACATTATTCAAACATCCCAAACTGACCAAGAAAAACATCCCAAATTGACCAAAGAAGCCACACGCTTCTAATTATAAACCATACATATCACATTACGTTGACCCTTTTTTTTTGTTTACAAATTTTATAATCCGAGAGTCGTTTAAAATTTTATATATAAAAGAGGATCAACTTTCTCCAGCTGAGTGATACATCAGCATTTGAAAATTAATATGGGGATGATATGTGTCACTTTTTATAATTTAAAGTTACAATTTCAAAAAAAATAATAAATTATTAACTTTTAATATCAAGATTTAAACCACTCAAAGAAAATTAACAGTTTTTTCATTAATTGATTGATATTGATTGATATTTATTTTATTTTTATATAATTATCATTTATTTAATGATATTGTATTTTAAATTGATTTCTAAAATTATTTTTTGGATAAAATTTTTAAAATTATTTATAATAACATACTAACACACATAACAAATAATAAATTTTTTATTTTTTTATTATATTGCATTTTAAATTGATTTCTAAAATTATTTTCTTTTTTGGATAAAAGTTCTAAAATTATTTATAATAACATATTAACACACATAACAAATAATAATTATATTTGTTTTTATATTTATGATATTGTATTTTAAATTATTTTTTAAAATTATTTTTTTATATAAAATTTCTAAGATTTTTTATAATAATGTACCAATACACAACAACAAATAATAATTATATTTGATTTTATATAAAATTTGATTAGTTAAAAAGAAAAATCCGCATGTGCAGATATTCACCTAGTAAATTACAATACTTTGAATATATCAACGAACAACAGGGGCTTACTTTTGACGAATGCCTAATGTTTCTCTTATTTTCACGAAATTCAAAGAGACTTTTTGTGTGTACCTATTCTCACAAATGCCTGTTGTTTCATTGGTAAGTTCTAGTTAATCAGGTTAGCCGATTAAGGAGTCTCAGAAGATGGGCCAGAGCTCTCGTAATAGTATTACAATAGAGGCAAAAGTGTCCTGTGAACCAACAAACCATCAAAGATTTCGAATTCAGCACAATGTTAAATTACAAAGGTTCATTTAAAGAAAGAAAACAAAGACAAATTAATCTGATAAAGTAGAAAACAAACTTTGGAAATAATAAACAGGAGCTACGGCGTCGGTAGGTTGGAAGAGTAAATCATAAGATTTGGTATGCAAATCATATATCACCAGTGCGTCAGTGTATCACGACCTTGAAGCAACAGCTTGTTCTTCTCCAGAATTGCTATTGGTGACAGTGCAAACTCGGGTTCTTTAAACCAAGAATAAGTTTTGGTGAGGTCTAACCAACACACTTTCTTCCATGTCTTGTTGCCGCCTGAAGATTCCAACGACCATATCTCTTGAGTGGGCCAGTTTTTTCATAGATACACTCAAGCGATTATCCAGATGCACATGTTGACGGCACGAGGGTCAGGTACATGGGCAAAGGGAGCTTTACAGACGACATGAAAAGTTTCGGTGTGAAGATCAAAAGATAAAACCTTGGTTTCTTCACACTCGGTTAACCAATAAAGTGACCCATCCAAATACACAGGATCAGGGAAAGCATTTATCCGATAAGGAGAAGCAGGGTGAACGTACCTCCAAGCGTTAGTGCTAAAGTCGAAAACTTCGCAAGAAGTGGCGTTGTCTAGGCCAAATTCAAATGAATTACAAAGCCAAACCGGCTTGTATGTGCCCCTGAATTTGTCTTTACCGAACCCAAGCTTAGGATTTGTCCAGCTAAGCAGTTTTCTTGTATACAGGAGTTGTTGAACGCTAGAACGAGGAAAACTTTGCTGCCATCTAGTAGCTGGATTCACCACGATATTCGGCGTGTGGATACAGAAGACGCATATAAGACCGTCACAACTACCATGGCAAACCATGGTGTTCGGAGAAGGGAACGTAGAAACTATGGAAGACCCCAACACAATTCTCCTCCTTCGATCTTCATCTTGTTGATGATTCTCATAGATCACGTAAAGGACATCTGGACCTCGGGACTGCCTACGACGGATCAACTGTACTTCATGGAACCGTCGGGACTCGATTGTCAATTTCCAATTCTTGGATACAGACTTGAATCTCAGCAGAGACTTCACAGGAAGCCTCTCGAGGATGAGCTCTACCACATCGTGGGGTAGCAATTCCACACTAGAGCGATGTCTTTTCAATACCACACTCGAGCCATATCTTTTCAACATTGTATCTCGTCTCTAATAAAGTTGAAGAGACGACTAGGACTTTATATTATATATATACACGAGCTGAGCATCTGATCAAAATACGACTGGGACTCTATATATAATCCGACTCGAGCTAGGAATTGGAAAAAAAAAAAGGGAAAACTTCAAGTCAGTTTCTCTTTCCATTGAGAAGAAAGGAATTCCAACAATTTAATCTCTATCGAAATAATTTAATCGAAATACTCAAAAAGATACATTACAGATTTCATCAAATCAAATATCCCAATAACAAAAAAAAATAAAAAAAACACACAGTGAGTACCTCAGACAATGATCGCATCAAATCCTTCCTCCTCCGGAAGACCAATCCTCAGGAATCGATTTCTCTCTCTCTCTCCCTCCCTGTAAAACAATTTTTACTCTATAGAAGTGTCGATGTCGATGCGGCGGTCCACACAGGTGGAGGTAGAGAGACAGAGATCTCACCGATTCTCTGACCAAGTTTGCAACCTCATGTCTTCTCCTTTTTCTTTTGTTTCTCTGTTGGGCTTTGATTTTCATTTGGGCTAAAAACCCATAACCCTTTTCTTTTCCACTATTAAAAACAAAGTAAGAAAATCCGTATATACTATTATTTCATTCTTTACGGAAAAAAGAAGTATATATCATCTAAACTCTAAAGTACAGAGAAAACAAGAGTCAAAGTAAACAGAGAATAAACTTTGAAAATAACAGACAGGATATCCAATGGTGGTAAGTGAATAACACGAAGTCGTAATAGATGGTCTAATTTTGGTCAATCATTCGTACAAAGACAGCGCCATTAATAGAAAAAAATGAAGCATCTTGCATCATCTTTAGAGTTAGAACCGTGGCACTTGACTTGACCCCCTTCACTATAACAACATTTGGACCTTTCTCTTGATAATTTAATGCTCACCACACCATCACAGCGTCATCATTCAACTCAAATCTCTATGATCTCTTAAATGCTTCATTTAATACTGAGATGTTTGCTATATATTGATCTGTTGGGGTTGTGTTTAGTTTCTTTTTAGGAAAGATATTAAGAAAGCAAAAGCTATATCCAAAATTTGGAAGTTTCTGTTCTTCAGAGGCTGGGACTGAAGCGATGGGACTTCATGAGTGCATGAGTCATTTTGTTCTTGTTCTTGTACTATCTTGGCTCTTGTCAAGTGTCTGTCTTGCTCAGGAAAGAGCTTTCTTTTTCGGCAACCTCAGTGATTCCGAGACGATAGTCTCCAGCTTTCGCACGTTCAGGTTCGGTTTCTTCAGCCCTGTTAATTCCACAAGTAAGTATGCGGGTATATGGTACAACAGCATTCCTGTACAAACTGTGATATGGGTTGCTAACAAAGATATGCCGATCAATGACTCCTCTGGCGTTATTTCGGTATCTGAAGATGGAAACCTCCTGGTCACGGATGGTCAGAGGCGTGTTCTGTGGTCAACTAACGTCTCTACTCAAGTCCGAGGCAATTCTAGTACTGTCGCAGAGCTTTTGGATTCCGGGAACCTTGTGCTAAAAGATACAAATAACGATGCATATCTTTGGGAGAGTTTCAGGTATCCCACTGATTCTTGGTTGCCAAATATGTTGGTTGGGACAAACGCAAGAAACGGAGGAGGGAACATCACAATAACTTCTTGGAAAACCCCTTCAGATCCTTCGCCCGGGAGCTACACTGCTGAACTAGTTCTTGCTGCATATCCAGAGCTCTTCATTTTGAACAACAGTAATAGTAATGCTACGGTGTGGCGCAGTGGCCCGTGGAACGGCCAGATGTTTAACGGTTTACCAGATGTGTATGCGCACTTTCTCTACAAATTCATAGTTAATGATGATACCAGTGGATCAGTCACCATGTCATATGCTAATGATTCGACTTTAAGATACTTCTACATGGATTATAGAGGATCCGTGATCCGGAGAGATTGGAGTGAGGCTAGGAGAAACTGGACGGTCGGGTTACAAGTTCCTGCAACCGAGTGTGATATTTACGGAAGATGTGGCCAATTTGCTACCTGCAATCCCCTGAAAACGCCACCTTGTTCTTGCATTAGAGGGTTCAAGCCAAGGAACCTCATAGAGTGGAACAATGGAAACTGGAGTGGTGGATGCATAAGAAGGGTCCCTTTGCAGTGTGAAAGACAGAACAATAATAGGAGTGCTGATGGGTTTGCGAGGCTGAGGCGAATGAAATTGCCTGACTTCGCAAGAAGATCCGAAGCTAGTGAACCAGAATGCTTAAGGACTTGTTTACAGACATGTTCTTGTATAGCTTGTGCACATGGCTTAGGTTATGCTTGCATGATTTGGAATGGAAGCTTAGTTGATTCGCAGGTGTTGCCTGCTAGTGGAATGGATCTTTATATCCGTCTTGCACATTCCGAAATCAGTTAAGTGTTACTCCTTAACTTCTCTCCTATTACCTTAAAGATTGCAGCTTTACTAATTTTGTTATTTCCTGCCAACTCTCTATTAGAAAAGCCGGACAGACTACCGGTTATAATCGGTACATCATTAGCAGGCGGTATTATTGTTCTGGCAGCTTGTGGTCTTTTGGCGCGACGGATTGTCATGAAGAAAAGAGGTTGGAATTTAATTAAGTTTTGTTTGCTGTTTATTAGCATTTTGTGTTTTTAGTTTCGATAATATCTTGGATTCATTCTCAGGGCGAAAGGAAGGAACAGATGCAGAGCAGATTTTTGAGAGAGTAGAAGCTTTAGCTGGTGGTAATAAAGGAAAGTTGAAAGAGCTACCGTTGTTTGAGTTTCAAGTGTTAGCTGCAGCGACTGATAATTTCTCTCTGACAAATAAGCTCGGACAAGGCGGTTTTGGTCCTGTTTACAAAGTAAGTATGACTTAAAACAGGGTTATGGCAACAAGAATTATGTTGACTTTAATCTCTAATGCAGGGTAAGTTGCAAGAAGGGCAAGAAATTGCTGTGAAGAGACTGTCACGAGCATCTGTGCAAGGGCTTGAGGAACTTGTTAATGAAGTAGTTGTGATTTCTAAGTTGCAACACCGGAATCTGGTGAAATTACTTGGTTGCTGCATTGCAGGAGAAGAGAGGATATTAGTCTATGAGTTCATGCCCAAGAAAAGCTTAGACTTTTACCTATTTGGTATCATATCACTATATTTCTGTTTTCAAACTCTGTTCCAGTGTTAACACCATTGTCAATTAACAGAAACTAATGTGTTGTTCAGACCCAACCAAGGCAAAACTTCTTGATTGGAAGACTCGGCTGAACATTATCAATGGAATATGTAGAGGTCTTCTGTACCTTCACAGAGATTCTAGGCTGAGAATCATTCACAGAGATCTAAAAGCCGGCAACATCTTGTTAGATGAGAATCTGATCCCGAAAATATCTGATTTCGGGTTGGCCAGGATTTTCCCAGGGGATGAAGATGAAGCAAACACCATAAGGGTCGTTGGAACATAGTACGTAACTCCATTCTTGCCATATGTTACACCTCTTTTTATAAAAGATAGTGATATAACCGAGAAAATAAATGTATCGTGCAGCGGTTATATGTCACCAGAATATGCAATGGGAGGACTGTTTTCAGAGAAATCTGATGTTTTCAGCTTAGGAGTGATACTCTTAGAGATTGTCAGTGGAAGAAGAAACTCAAATTCGCCTCTTTTAGCTAATGTATGTCTAGCCAACTCTACTAAGTTTCTCCTGAAATTGTTATCTAAAATGCCTCTCTGTTTTGTAGGCATGGTCAATGTGGAACGATGGGGAGATAAATGGTCTGGTAGATCCTGTGATCTTTGACCAAGTCTATGAGAAAGAAATACAGAAATGCGTTCACATTGGGCTTTTGTGTGTGCAAGAATATGCTAACGATAGACCAAGTGTTGCTACAGTGTGTTCGATGCTCAGCAGCGAGATTGCAGACATTCCAGAACCGAAACAGTCTGCTTTTATATCAAGGAATGCTTTTATACCAAGGACCGGTGTTTCAGAAGCTGAGTCCTCTGAGAACAGTGACCGTAAAGCCTCTATCATCGATGTCACTATCACTGATGTCACAGGACGTTAAGAACCCGCAAAATCAGAAGTGTATGTGTAATTTGCGAAACTTTTAAAGAGTTGCCAGAGGATATATCATCTATTATGGTTTAGGTCTCATACATGTAGTAATGTACAAGTGCTTTTTTAAAAAATATAACAAATTCCCACTGTACGAAATCAAATTATGTAAAAAACTCAAGAATCATCATCTCTTAAAAGAAAAATCTTTTAAGCTTTTGCTAGTCCGTATAGGAGGAAGTTCAACAGATGTAAGAACAGGCTTCTTTTCCGAGCTTTCCTGCGAAAGAGAATGATGTGTGGAAGTTTCAGCTTCTTGGCGTTGAGACTCAGGGTCCCAAAACTGGTGGCCGTCATGATGATCAGAGTATCTAGGAGAAGGAGAATTCGGGAAACTTTCAACGCTTCGTTTGTTGAAATTGTGAAGAAGATGGATTGGAGATGAGCCATGAGTTGGTGTAGTTGGACGGCTAGAGTAAGGTGTGGTTGATTCAGAGTGTCTTCCGTGTTTTGTCTGCTTCTTTGCTGTGCGGTGCCAATTCTTTAACGCCGTGGCTACTCTTTCCTTAAATACTGTTGGCTTCATCGTAGTACCCATCTACACATTTTTTTTATGAAACACAATGTCAGAAGAAAAACTAAGATCCGTCATTGAGCTCACTGCAAAAGTTATGTGTAGTACCTGAGTAACAAGAGCATAGAGTGGAAGAGTCACATAGCTGCAAAGTATCTGTACAACAGCTCTGCAAGATTGAATAGAAAAATAAAAATAAATGTCTAATTCTTTTTCCCTGGTTTTCTCAGAATCAACAGTTAAGTTAATGTAAGCTTACCCAACTACTATTCTAATGACCACATCTGCATTGCTTTCATGGAAACAATTCTTGAGATTAAATTCATACTGCAGATACCAAAAATACATGATAACAATTAGTACGGCTCCAAAAACAGCTATGTTTGTGAAAGAAAGTGACATCTAATGACCACTTACCGTACTCCAGGCAAAGAAGGCAAGTTGAAATGCATTCTGCAAAAAGTGAAGGTTTTTGGTACTTCATGAGTTTATTATACAGTTTGGAGAAAAATCCAAAAGAGGATAGTAAAGGAAAATGATTCGTACCGTGAAAAGAACCAAATGGATTAGGAAAAGGATGAACCGTGGGCGACCAAACCAGAAGAGATCATCACCAGGCTGAACCACTGGTGCGCCTCTCACAACATCGCCTTTCTCTTGGATTCTTAGACCCAATTTGGTTATAATGACTTGAAGCTTTGTTCCAACTATTAGAATCACCTGCAGATTACATTCATTCTGTTAAACAAAAAAGGCGGCAAATGGACAAAATGGAAGAGATGTTTATTGGTTCAGTAGTTTTTTTTGTGCTTACAATTAGTGGAATGAATGGTAACCAGAGGTAAGAGCGTAGCCCATTTGTATTGGTCAAGAGGAATAGAACGGCGACAAACCAGATAACCGGACTGCATAAAGTAAGCATAGATTAAGACAAACATTTCCACACTGGATTTTTCAGAGATTATAAAATGTCACTAAGTAGATCCAAACCTGATTTCAACGACGGTTTTGAAGTCTTCTTCTAATGATCTCTGAATATACTTGCGGAAATCGAAACTTCTTTCGCTCCCAGGAGCCAAATGCGCCTGAAAAAAAAAAGAGTAAGTTATAGATACATTTTCTCCAGAGATAAGTATTAAAAGTAATATAACTGAGTTTGTTATGCTGGTTAGAGGATTGGTTGTCTAGATATAAACAGTGTACACATTTAGTAAACACACACAAAACATTATTTTAGCTCTCTCTCTCTGTCTTTCATGCTTATTCTCTTCATCTTCTACGTCTGATTATATAACTGTTATAACAACCAGTAGACAAAACAAAGCAAAAAGATCACCATAAATTCCATACCGTGATGAAACCATGCCGCAACGCTAAGTAATCAACTTTGGTGACAGAACCAAAGAACTGTCTGAAAAAACACACAATCCATAGCGTAATACTCGTCTTGCTCCAGAAACTGAGATGTCTTCGCCCGAAAGATGTGTCCCTAGCAAACCTAAACCTCTCGGGGTCTGCATAACAAGAATGCCATTATCAGTAAGTTTCCTGTTTCGGTCTTTTAAATCTGTTATCAAATACTCGATTTAATAGTACATACCGTTAGAATACTGATATTCTATTGTCTTCGTCTCATTCTCCCACTGCTTCCACCTCCTCATCTGCATAACTCAAGAATACTAAAAAATCAAATCTTTTTGCACTAACAATCTTTCTTGATTCTCTAGCCACTGCAGAATTCACAAGAACAGTTACTTACCTTAGTCTTTCCGAGAGCATAAGTAACAATGCAGTAAATAACATGAACAACCGCGAGCACGAAGATGAATATATGCAGCTGGTGGATTCCATAAGCAGAGACAAAAGCCACTTTCCCCTGAGATATATCCATCAATCAAAAACAACATTAGAGGATGATTAAAAAATCGGAGAAATATTTGGACATATGTGTGGGAGATTTATTAGCTACCTTGTCTGCGCATTTGTCATAGCCTTTGGTGGCTAAACTTCTTCTAGGGATATAAGATTCAGCTAACTCAAGGAGAAGTCTTCGACCCGATTTTTCACCATCGTCATCTTTTTTTCCGGTGTCTTTCTTGCCGTACTTTTTAGCTTCTTCCTCGGCGCTGCAAGGGTGCATTGATGATGCAACACTCTCGGAGATGCAGATATTTGAGATTGGTGTTTGTGCAATTGTGAGGAGTAGTGATATGAATCCCAACAGCATAAGCTCTGAATAGCAACAAAAAAAATCAGTTGTGTTTTTAAATTAATAAGCTTGTTAAGGAATGAAGTTAGGTAGCAAAAGATGTTTTTTTGTTTTTGGGTTTGGTGCTTTCAATTTTACCTGCTTTGACCTTTTCAAGCGCTTCATAAAGAGCCTTCTTGTGCTTCTGTTTAAACCACTGTCAATTTAAAAGGAAAGAGCAGAATTTAGGCATAAGAGAAGAAGAACTCCATCTAAAAAGAGCAGAATCAGGACAAGAAAAACATGGTTCAAATATATAAGCACAACATAAAATGAGCAAGAAGAAGATCTAAACAAGAAAAAAAGAAAAAATATGAAAGCAAAAGAAGAAACAGAGCAAGAGCAAGAAACAGAGGAATCATAGAATTTCAGGAAAATGAAGAAGATGAGGAACAAGGAGAAATCTAAGGGACTTACGGTTCCAATTTTGTGAATCGAATGTTCAAGTACAATCGAAATGAATAGTAAGACGAAGCAAACCACAGCGACTGCCCACGTAGAGGTCTGCTCTAAAGTGCGCTCTTTTACTGGATCCGCCATCAGAGCTCAGTTTTAAGAAAGAATTTAAAAAACAAAAAATCCCCAAATGACTCTTTCCTTTCCAGAAATCTGGTCTTTTAATATATATAATAAACACAGAGGGAGAGACACAGCGTTTCGTGTTCTTCTTTTACTCTCAAGTTTTTCTTTTTAAGCTACACGATTTTGAAAACAAAGCTAAGTCATAATATAGAGGAGCCATGAGACGGCGAAAGAAGGAAGAAGGAAGGAGAAGATGAAGATAAGAACCGCCAATGAGAGACTGTAAACTAAAGGCGACGTCTTTTTTAGAAGCTTTCAATGTTTTGACTTTCTAAATTGTTCATCACGTGACGACTTCTCAATTATCACCGTGTCTTATTATTACTTTTGGGTACTTTTTCCTATTTATTATGATTCCTTTGGCCTTCTGGGTCAATCATGTTTTTTGTTTTCATTTCACTTCAGCTCTTTTCGAATTTTGGCTGGCAAATAATTTTAATTTTTTCATTCTGGGTTCTACTATTTGTTTTTATATTCTAGAATATAACATTTAATTCAGCTCGGTTTGCTTTTTTTACTGTAATTAGCTATAAATGAAAAGAAAAATAATAAAACTTTAAATTTGATTCGTTAATCGTTTAGTTTAGTTTTATCTTGTTTTTGTTTTTGTTTGGGTATCTTATTCTTTCTACTTTGGTTAAAGCTATTTCAAATGGCTACTTATTATTTATATAAATAATGATAACATTACCATAATGGGATCTTGTTGGAAAGCTCGCACGCTTATATTTTCTTTTACCTATTCCCAATTGGTTTCAAAATTTAATATACTAATCTAAGTAATAAGATACTCGATGAAATAAATCATAAATTATTAGACACTCTATAATATATAAGTACTAACCAACTAATATTGGGCTAATGGTGGGAGTTAGTTTTTTCCAACAACAAAGAGTAATCTAATCATTTAGTGCGATTTTTCTATGAGAAATATATTCATATCCCGACGGAAAAACGTAAGCCTAAACCCAAAACTCTATGAGTCGATTAACAAAATACCAATTAAAAAAAATGGTTTTGTTAAGTGGGAAAATGTCGTGAAATTAGCTGACTTTCCATTACCCATCGATGTTTATTCTTGATTGTATATAACCCTAGTCTAAATTAATGCCCCCACAAACTGTATACAAGGATATATATATAGAGAGATATTTTTCAGATCTCCGGTAATATCTTTAAAATAACAAGTGTGGTGCTTAATTGACATGTGATTAAATAATGAGACTGGCAGAAGAAACATCTAATATGGACTGCAAGTTGGCATATATATATATATATATATATATATATGTACACATATATTTGAATATAAAAATCAGATCATGCTGACAGAATACTGAGGAATCCATGATACACATTAACTTACAGCTTTTAATTTCTTCTTCGTCGATATTCGTTTATAAGTTAAATTAGACGAGATCTGTCATTTGCCTATGTTTCTGATACTTAAATTCTTATTGCATGTATGAAAAAACTATGGCGCGTGGATTATTGTGAATAACAGTGCATGGTTGAGCTTTTTAAGCGTTTTAAAAACAGATATAAGAGTTACACAAACTGTCGGAAAATTATGCGTAAACAATTATATATACGAAAAAAAGAAAAAATATTTGTTTATTAACTTTTTGAAATCTTTGCAATTGTATCACTAGTCACAGAGAGTTAGAAATATACTAATTTAATCAATGAACATTTAATGTATATAAATATTAAGAAAAAAACGTATTTTGTATATGTGGTCAATTGTTGTTGAGGTGTAATGTTTGATCAAGAAGATCGAATGGAAATGGTAACCTTTGGTCAACAAAAAAAAAATGTGAAGACGTGTTAGTCACCAGGCATGACTTGATCGAGGAAACCTGATTAAATACATTCTTTTTCTTTATAACCGAGACATATCAACTTTATAACCGAGACATATCAACTTTATTTTTCTTAATAATGGACGTTCTAATTAACCATCGCTACTCGAGACCGAAACATATCAGTTACATCCTTCTCTTCACTTCAGACTTTATATAACCAATGGAAAACAAAAGAAAAGACATTATAATATTGTTAATTTTAATACACAAACCATCAGACCAACTTTAAATTTTCGTTTTATAAAGCTGGGAAAAAAAAACAAACTGAACCAAATGTTCAACGGACCAATCCAACTAAACCCGAAATTCGAACCGGAAATTATCAAAGTTCGTAAAAACCGAATTGAACCAACCCAAGATATGGAATAGCCAAACATTCATTCATTCTAAAAATCCAGAATTTTGAAATCAAATCCTCAAACCCCCAAAATCCAAATTCAGAAACCCTAAACATTTTCTGTTTATCTCAGTCACCGGTAGAAATCATCGTCACGCACATTTATCCCTCCACCTACCTCTCTTTTTACCTTTCTCGGCTTTCTTCGGTTGCATCCTTCTCCTTTGCATATTCTTTGGGTTAGTGTCGATTAATCGTCAATTGCGCGATTATCATCCAGTTTTCCCCAAAATTAACAACCTTTTCCTATCAGTTACTGAGAAAAATGGACCCATTTGCTTCTGTGGTGGAGAAAGTGAAGGCCTTTGCGAAATCGAGCCAGGACGCAGTTTCCCGCCACTTCGGTTTCCATGAGAATCCTTCTCGCCAGAATCCGGTATCTTCATCCACCCCTCTTTACTCCTTGTTCTTGGATTCGGCCTCTTGAGTTGAAATGTTATGTAATGGGTCATAGAAAATAAATATAATTGAGCTTTATCCAGTTTCTCTTTATCCAATCTTTAGTTTGAGCTTCTGCACTGTTGCTGGACCAAAACAATTCAACTATGTTTCTGCAATGTGATTCATAAAAACGTGATCTTTGACCTTAAGTAAATTTGGGTTGGCTGGGAATTTTGGTCAGATTGAAATCTTGAAGCGATTGCAACGAGAAGCATTCTCGGATCTGATGAAACTTAGAGACAGACAAGAGAAAGTGGAGCGAATCGTTTCCTCGTATAAGCTATCAAAAGGAGGTCCGTTCCAAGAGACTAGCACCCATGTGAAGGGTGAGGTTGATGTCCTCGGAGCAATGTTGCTAATGGGAAACACTGACGAGGAGAGTCTCAATGGACTCGATAGAGAAGGAGTGAGACCTGGCTTGCTTTCTAGGTTCATGTTTGAAACCAGCCTCAGGGAGACAGATAGGCTTGTGGCTGAGCTCGTTGCTGGATACAAAGGGGAAGGAAATCACAGTGATGTTTCAGGGAACCAGCTTTCTTTAGCCAAAGTCTTCTACAAGGCAGATATTAATGATTGGTTCTCTGCAGTCGCTATTCCCGTTGGCGCCCATTTCAGAGACATTGATGCTGCTATTGTGTCTTCTTACCAGGTATCTGCCAATTGTTGCAAATTTTGTTTCTGTATCAGTTGCGTTTTTGCTTTTCCATTCTGCGTTCAAATTGATTGGATCATCTTAAGCACAAAAGGATAAATAATTGAGATCTCAATATTCTTTCACTTTCACATTGATCTATGTGTTACTTTATCAGAGCAACCTCACCGGTTTTAAAGTTAGAAACTTTAAGCCATGCTATTTCAATGGTTTCCTTTATGCTCACTTTTATCTCTGTTGCCAATAGCACTTTAAATTCTTCTTCCTCGTATTTTTCATAAGTTATCATTATTGATGAAGCTACAAATACAACTATCTTCGTCTTGCAGGGAATGAATCTTACAGAAGTTTCTGAACTTGGACCACCTCTTTTAAACCAACATAATGGTAGTGCCATAGGGTTAACAGTCAGAAAGTCAAACGTCACAGCTTCACTGGCACAATCCATCAAAAACCTTGAAGTTGAGCAGGGTTTAAATGCGACGAATCGTTGTTTCAGAACTTTCGGACAAGTAACCTGTCACATTCTAGGAGGTGTAAAACTATCTCTTCTGGGCTGTCATCAAATTTTGACACCATCTAACAACCTCCATTCTGCTGGAGCCATTACAGTTCCAGTAAGTTTCCTAAGGCGACGTATTGCCATGGAGCCTGAATCATCAACACCGCCTTTAGAGATGAGCAGAGGCACGAATCATGTGTCGTCTGGTTCCATTGCTTTGAAGTTAGACTCTCTAGTGGACGAGTGTACGAGAATCGGGGGATGGATTGAAATGCAGAACTCAAGGGAGAAGCAAGTAAAATGGTCAATGTCTATTACAGACAAACCAGAGGATGACGTGGGCTGGGGCATGAGCGTTGGGGGAGTCGTCGATGGTTCAAGAAATCATGATCGGTTTAAGGTGGAATTTCATCTGAAATTCAACATAGGCAATCGGTTTAGCTTAAGTCCAGGTATTGTTTATCTCACAGATAGTAACGGAAGAACCATAGGTCCTATGCTTCAGTCTCACTGGTCTCTGTGATCTTAATGCTACTATTTCCATGTACAGTCATAGTACCACCATTGATTCCATTTTTTTAGAGAAATTAATAGTCTTATGCAAGTTGTTGTTTATTATTGCCTATCGTCTCTCTTTAAATTGCCGTTTTCATTTACTAGTTTATTCCATTATTTATTGATATAGTACACAAATTTTCTTATTTTTTTTTACATGGTAACAGATGACATAAGCTTGGGAAGACTTCAATAATTAGTATGTCACCATTGCAACTTACATTCTTAAGTTTACGTGAAAGAACTAAACAAACTTTCCTAACAACATAGCAGTCATTATAATAGGTAGTATGTGACTTTACAAAAGACAAAAATAGTCAAGTTGATCATTAATTCATGATCATGTTGAGAGCCATGAGGACCTTACATTCTCGCCAACGTATAGACTTGCTTCTGTCGAAGTCAATGCCCCTCTACTCACGACTCCTTTGATGCAACAGTTTCCTATGAAGACCGCCATGGCAAAATGGTAATTTATGTACCCTTTCTATATATCCACCGACGTTTGAGCCAATTAGACTTTCTGAGAATACGAATTTTTCCGCTATCCTTATAAGAGTGTCGTTTTAGGTGTTAGTTTTGAATTTCATTGGTAATGGTAACTAGAAGAAAAATTATGGTTTCTACATTGGCATAGTCTTGCATTGATAATCTGTGATACTCTTCTAAGATATTGCAAGTAGGAGAGAGGAAACTGGAGCTTGTACAACAACATTTAAGGAATCGCTGAACAGATTTAAATAGGCTTCCGAGTTATAACTGTTGATAAACATTCATTGTTCACAAGATCCAAAGTATTTGTGTGGATCGATCAATTAGTTCTATATTCTGTATTTAGCTACTCGCGCAATAAACATGAAAATGATTGTGTAATTCTCGGAGCTCAGAGGCCAAAGCAAGTTCTCTATGTAGATAGGTGGTGATTTATAATGTGTTACAATCTAGTGAAATATAGTAATAGTATCCGCATTGTTACTATAGTACAAGTAAAATTTGATTTACTTAAAGCTTTACCAAATATTTAACTTCACGTTGCATTTCATTTGACCAAAAATCGAATCTTGTGTTCCACATAATATTTGTTCATGAAATGACCTTATCTGTAATATTGTAATCACACTTTTCCTGATTTGATGGCCCATGACTAGTCTCCTATCCTCTCTCTTGTCTCATTCTCTCTAGCAAAAACTTTTCAGCTTTCACATTTTCCGGGAAAGATCTCGTTACCTCGTTTAACTGCATTTCGTCCATCACAGTGAGCCCTAGGCCCAAATCACTGGTAACCCAACAACAAATTCCAAAACCATTAGCTACCCACAAAACCATTTGCGAACCAATCCGGTATGGAATATCATGGTATAAACAGTTCAACCCAAATCCTCACACTTGAAAGGTCAAAAACATTGTTAAAACACGTGTTTCATTTTATTTGTTATATATTTCTGTAATCTGCGAGGAAACTAAGTCCAAGTCTACTCAAAAGGTTAAAAGTAATAATGGCCCCATCAAAAATAGCACTCACGCAACTAGTCCTCCCACTTTCTTCGTTCCATCCCAAAATTTCTAAGAAAAGTCAATATTGGTGGTTTATTCCACTCTCATTACTAATTGGGTAATTCAATGAATCCACCAAACATTATTACTCCTCCTCGGTCGGTCCACAGAACAAATCTCAAAACATTTTCTAAGTCTTCTCACAGAGACAAAGAAGACTACTATATTATTATTATTTTATGTCTCTTGGATGAGAATCTTCCGATAGAGAAACAACATAGTACACAAAAAAATGGAACCAGTTATGGTGTTTCCAGTAAACACAAGTCGTCGTTTTGTTGTTGTTCTTCTTCTACTTGCAGCCTTCTCTTGCTTCTCTCCGAGACTCTGTTCTGGCGAAGACAGAATCACGTTCTCGACTCCGATCAACGACTCAGAGACCCTTCTCTGCAAAAGTGGTATTTTCAGGTTCGGTTTCTTCACTCCTGTAAATTCCACTACTCGGTTACGTTATGCTGGGATCTGGTACGACAAGATTCCAATTCAAACTGTGGTTTGGGTTGCTAACAAAGACACTCCCATCAACGACACTTCCGGTGTTATCTCCATCTCCGACGACGGAAATCTCGTGGTTACCGATGGTCGAAACCGCCGTCTATGGTCCACGAACGTCAACGTAACAGTGGCTTCAAATGCTACTTGGGTTCACCTTATGGATACTGGAAATCTTATGTTACAAGATAACAGAAACAACGGTGAGATTCTGTGGGAGAGTTTCAAGCATCCTTACAATTCTTTCTTGCCAAGAATGAATCTTGGGACTGACGGTAGAACCAAAGAGAACCTAAGGCTTACTTCTTGGAGAAGCGATCAAGATCCTTCAACAGGGAACTACACAGCTGGTCTTGCTCCTTACACGTTTCCTGAGCTTCTAATATGGAAGAACACTGTTCCACAGTGGCGTAGCGGTCCCTGGAACGGTCAGGTTTTTATAGGTTTACCGGATATGGATTCCCTTCTGTTTCTTGATGGGTTTAACCTTAATAGTGATAACCAAGGAACGGTTTCAATGTCTTATACCAATGGTTCTTTCATGTATCACTTCAACTTGGATCCTGATGGAGCTATATATCAGAGAGATTGGAGTACTTCTATGAGAGGTTGGAGAATCGGTGTAAGGTTTCCATCGACACCGTGTGATGCATATGCAAGATGTGGTCAATATGGGAGCTGCCATCCCCGGGAAGATCCGCCTTGTAAATGCGTAAAAGGGTTTGTGCCAAGGAATAACACAGAGTGGAATGCAGGGAATTGGAGTAATGGATGTGTGAGAAGAGCTCCATTGCAGTGCGAAAGACAGAGGAATGTAAGTAGTAATGGTGGTGGTGGTGGTGGTGGTGGAAAAAGAGATGGGTTTCTGAAACTGCAGAAGATGAAAGTACCAATCTCTGCGGAACAGTCTCTAGCTAATGAGCAAAACTGTCCTAAGGTTTGTTTAGATAACTGTTCTTGCACGGCTTATGCTTATGATAGAGGAATCGGATGCATGCTTTGGAATGGTAACTTACTTGATATGCAATCATTCTTGGGAAGTGGCATTGATCTTAATATTCGACTTGCGCATTCTGAACTCCGTGAGTAAAAACCTCTACTAGTCTCACTTGTTTTCCTCTCCTTTCAATTTTACTTAACTGACTTATGTTTTCTCACCAAATCTTGTAGAAACACATGGCAAGCGAGCTATAATGATCACAGCACCAGTGGTAGGCGTTGCATTTGTTGCTGCGGTCTGCGTTCTTTTAGCATGCAGGAAATTCAAAAAGCGTCCAGGTTAGAGTTTTGTTCACTCATTGATGATATTGATAGTTTCAGATTGTTCCTTTTTAACATAATTTGTTTCCTTTATCTCCTTAGCAGAACCACAGAAAGATAGAAGTGCAGAGCTATTGTTTAAGAGAATGGAAGAACTTACAAGTGGTAATGAGTCTGCTTCTAACCAAGTCAAGCTCAAGGAGCTCCCGCTCTTTGAGTTTCAAGTGTTAGCTACATCAACCGACAACTTTTCTCTCAGAAACAAGCTCGGGCAAGGCGGATTTGGTCCTGTTTACAAGGTAAAGCATCAAAGAAGAATCCTTATGAAACATATATATGTGTATATAATCTCATACTAATTGATTGGTAATATTGTCTGCAGGGAAAATTGCCAGAAGGGCAAGAAATTGCAGTGAAGAGGCTCTCACGGGCATCGGGGCAAGGACTAGAGGAACTTATGAACGAAGTGGTTGTGATTTCGAAGTTGCAGCATCGGAATCTTGTGAAGTTACTTGGCTGTTGCATAGAAGGTGAAGAAAGGTTGCTAGTCTATGAATATATGCCAAAGAAAAGCTTGGATGCATATCTATTTGGTAAACCTATCACCTCTGTTTTTCACTCTGTTTTTTTTTTTTAACTATTTGGTTGGGGAAGAGAAAGGTAAAGATTTTGTTAGCTTCTCTCAGACCCATTGAAGCAAAAGATTCTAGACTGGAAGACTCGGCTCAACATAATGGAAGGAATTTGCAGAGGTCTTTTGTACCTTCACAGAGATTCAAGACTGAAGATCATACACAGAGATCTAAAAGCCAGCAACATTTTGTTAGATGAGAATCTAAACCCCAAGATATCTGATTTTGGGCTTGCTAGAGTTTTCAGAGCGAATGAAGATGAAGCTAACACAAGAAGGGTTGTTGGAACGTAGTAAGTATCCACTCACAAAATACATAACAAACATTTGAAAGTTGGTTTATCATAACCAATATGAATGAAATTTTTGTTTTTTGCAGCGGTTATATGTCACCGGAATATGCAATGGAAGGTATCTTTTCAGAAAAATCAGACGTTTTCAGCTTGGGGGTTATATTTCTAGAGATCATAAGTGGGAGAAGAAACTCTCACAAGGAAGAGAATAATCTGAACCTTTTAGCTTATGTAAGTATGTGCTAATTAGTGTTTAGTAACTTACGTTCAAGCTTTTAAGCTTACCGAAAATTTTGGTTTTGTACAGGTGTGGAAGCTGTGGAATGAAGGTGAGGCTGCTTCTCTAGCAGATCGAGTCGTCTTTGATGAGCGTTTTGAGAAAGAGATAACGAAATGTGTTCAGATTGGTCTGTTATGTGTGCAAGAAGTTGCAAACGATAGACCGAATGTTTCAACAGTGATTTGGATGCTAACTACTGAGAACACGAACCTCCCTGAGCCGAAGCAGCCGTTTATAGCAAAGAGAGGAGTTTCTGAGGCTGAATCTTCTGACCAGAGCAGTCAAAAGGTCTCTATCAACGATGTGAGCCTCACAGCTGTAACCGGACGTTAAGCTCAAAAAGCCAATCTATATGTTTATATAATATAGATACGTTTTAAGAAACTCCTATGTTTACAAGTTTTGATATTCTGTAGAGGTTTAATGGTTAAATTAAAGAATAAGAGATGTTTTTGAGAGAAGTTATGTTCAGATTCACCGATTACAGATTTGGTATTATTCACTGATTCTGGTATTATTAAAACTGAGCTATGTTGATAGGTTCAATAGATTCTAGTAGTGAAACTTGAGCTACACTTAGATGGATTAACTAACCTGGATGAAGAAACTGAACCTGAAAGAAGAGGAGAAAAACAGAAACGACCCGTGTTCTTGAGAAGCCACAGCAGGTTTTGTCTTAACAGAATCTAAAACACTATTGTGGTTTGCTATATGTATTGAAACAAACCTGGATAGTCAATAAGATCAGCTTTGACTTTTCATGGATTCATTAAATACACAACAACTTTGACTTTTCTGCAGAAAATTATTCTTCTGAAGCCAATATGTTTCCTCTACTTTGTTTTGGTTTTTAGCCGCCATGATTTTAGTAATTAGTAGCTAAACAAAACCACAAATACAAAGAGAATCCCAGACATCTATACCCTCTATAGTTGTTCAGTTGTTCTTAGTTTGTTTGTGTTTCCTTGTACTACTTCAAATTCTTTTAATTTAAGAAAACCCTTAATCAAAAAAAAAAAAAAAAAAAAAAAACACAATGGTGAAGCTGGGGGAAAACTGAAAAACAGGATTAAAATTGTGGCGGTTGCAACTTGACAGAGTACTGGCATTTTAACTTTTATGTGAGAATTAAACACAAATTCTTAAACATAGTACAGTCACTACAGTAGTTAGCATGTGACTTTATAAACGACAAAGAAAACTCAAGTTGATCATCAATGATATGACCTTACACCACTCAGAAACCTACAAAATCTGTAGACTTACTTCTGTCCAAGTCAAATGCCCTTTTTCTTAGGACTCATGTAACACTCCACCACAGAACAAATTTTCGTTGAAAGAATAAGTACATCATTTTCTAAGTCTTCTTATCGAGACAAAGACGACGACTTTATTAATTTACCTCTCTTAGAGGAATATCTTACAAAGAGAAACAACAAAGCAAAACTGGAACCATTCGTTTTCAACTAGTTATGGTGGTTTTACTGAGCAAACGTCGTCGTTTTGTTCTTCTTGTACTTGCAGCATTCTCGTTGAGGCTCTGTTTCGGCGAAGACAGAATCACATTCTCGACTCCGATCAAAGATTCAGAGACGCTCCTATGCAAAAGTGGCATTTTCAGGTTCGGTTTCTTCACTCCTGTAAATTCCACTACTCGGTTACGTTATGTTGGGATCTGGTACGACAAGATTCCAATTCAAACTGTGGTTTGGGTTGCTAACAAAGACACTCCCATCAACGACACTTCTGGTGTTATTTCGATCTCCGACGACGGAAATCTTGTGGTTACCGATGGTCGAAACCGCCTTGTATGGTCGACGAACGTCACAGTACCAGTGGCTCCAAACGATACTTGTGCTCAGCTAATGGATACTGGGAATCTTAGGTTACAAGACAACAGAAACAAAGGTGAGATCCTATGGGAGAGTTTCAAGCATCCTTATAATTCTATGTTGCCAAGAATGAATCTTAGGACCGACCCTAGAACCGGAGAGAATCTAACGCTTACTTCTTGGAGAAGCTATGTAGATCCTTCAACAGGGAGCTATACAGTTGGTCTTGTTTCTTTTCCGTTTCCTGAGCTTCTAGTCTGGAAGAACAATGTTCCAAAATGGCGTAGCGGTCCCTGGAACGGTCAGGTTTTCATCGGTTTACCGGAAATGGATACCCTTCTGAATATTGATGGGTTTAACCTTTTAAATGATAACCAAGGAACGGTTACATTGACCTATGCTAATGATTCTTTCATGTATCACTTTAACTTGGATCCTGATGGAGTTATATATCAGAGAGATTGGAGTACTTCTATGAATGCTTGGAGAATCGGTGCTAGGTTTCCGTCGACATTTTGTGACGCGTACAGTAGATGTGGTCCATACGGGAGCTGTCATACTCGGGGAGATCCGCCTTGTAAATGCGTAAAAGGGTTTGTGCCGAGGAATAACACAGAGTGGAATGCAAGGAATTGGACTAATGGATGTGTGAGAAGAGCTCCATTGCGGTGCGAGAGGCAGAGCAATGTAAGTAGTAATGGTGGTGGTGGTCGTGGAGGAAAAGGAGATGGGTTTTTGAAACTGCAGAAGATGAAAGTACCAGTCAATGCGGAACGGTCGCTAGCTAATGAACAAGCTTGTCCTAAGGTTTGTTTAGATAACTGTTCTTGCACGGCTTATGCTTATGATCGAGGAATCGGATGCATGCTCTGGAGTGGTAGCTTAGTTGATATGCAATCATTCTTGGGAAGTGGCACTGATCTTTACGTTCGACTTGCGCATTCTGAACTCAGTGTGTAAAAATTTCTACTAAGTCTCACTTGTTTTCTTTTCCTTTCAATTTGAATTAGTGACTTATGTTTTCTCACCAAATCTTGTAGAATCACATAGCAAGCGAGCAATTATTATCACAGCACCAGTGGTAGGCGTTGCATTTGTTGCTGCGGTCTGCGTTCTCTTAGCATGCCAGAAATTCAAAAGGCGTCCAGGTTAGAGCTCTTCTTTACTCATTGAAGATAGCTTCAGATTGTTTATTGAATCATGATTTGTTTGCTTCATTGATCATTGCCTTAGCAGAACTAGAGAAAGATAGAAGTGCAGAGCTATTGTTCAAGAGAATGGAAGCACTTACAAGTGGTAATGAGTCTGCTTCTAACCAAGTCAAGCTCAAGGAGCTTCCGCTTTTTGACTTTCAAGTGTTAGCTGCATCAACCGACAACTTCTCTCTCAGAAACAAGCTCGGACAAGGCGGATTTGGTCCTGTCTACAAGGTAAAGCATTAAACAAGAATCCTTCTAATAAGAGATATGTGTATAAATAATCTCAGACTGCTTAAGTGTCTGGTAATATTTTTGTTCAGGGGAAGTTACAAGAAGGGCAAGAAATTGCAGTGAAGAGGCTCTCAAGGTCATCGGGGCAAGGATTAGAAGAACTTATGAACGAAGTGGTCGTGATTTCAAAGTTGCAACATCGGAATCTGGTAAAGTTACTTGGCTGTTGCATAGAAGGTGAAGAAAGGTTGCTAGTCTATGAATATATGCCAAAGAAAAGCTTGGATGCATATCTATTTGGTAAACTTCCCTCCTCTGTTTTTACCGGGATGATTGAAGAGGAAGCTAATGACTTTGTTAGCTTTTCTCAGACCCATCTAAGCAAAAGATTCTTGACTGGAAGACTCGGTTCAACATAATGGAAGGAATTTGCAGAGGTCTTCTATACCTCCACAGAGATTCAAGATTAAAGATCATACACAGAGATCTAAAAGCCAGCAACATTTTGTTAGATGAGAATCTAAATCCCAAGATATCTGATTTCGGGCTTGCAAGAGTTTTCAGAGCGAATGAAGATGAAGCTAACACAAGAAGGGTTGTTGGAACATAGTAAGTATCCATTCACAAAATACATAACAAACAATTTTCAAATTCGGTTTGATTATAACCAATGTGAATGACATTATTGTTTTTGCAGCGGCTATATGTCACCGGAATACGCAATGGAAGGTTTATTTTCAAAGAAATCAGACGTTTTCAGCTTGGGGGTTATATTGCTAGAGATCATAAGTGGGAGAAGAAACTCTCACAAGGAAGAGAATAATCTGAATCTTTTAGCTTATGTAAGTATGTGCTAATTAGTGTTTTTTAACTTACCGTCAAGCTTATAAACTTATTGTATATTTTGGTTTTGTACAGGCGTGGAAGCTGTGGAATGAAGGTGAGGCTGCTTCTCTAGCAGATCCAATCGTCTTTGGTGAATGTTTTGCGAAAGAGATAACAAAATGTGTTCAGACTGGTCTGTTATGTGTGCAAGAAGTTGCAAGCGATAGACCGAATGTTTCAACTGTGATTGGGATGCTAACTACCGAGAACACGAACCTCCCTGAGCCAAAGCAGCCTGCGTTTATAGCAAAGAGAGGAGTTTCTGATGCTGAATCTTCTGACCAGAGTAGTCAAAAGGCATCTGTCAATGATGTGAGCCTCACAGCTGTCACAGGACGTTAAGCTCAAAAAGCCAATCTCAGTCCGTTTATATATTCATATATATGTTTTGTGAGACTCCTATGATTAACAATTTGTATCATTCGGCTTATGTTCAAAGGTTGGACTAAAGAATAAGAGATGTTTTTTTCAGAGAAGTTACATTCAGATTCCATGATTAGAAATTTTGTATTATTACAACAGCTAAAACACCTTATGAAACTAATCAGATTTATGGAGTTAACTAATCTGAAATCTGAAGGAGAAGTAGAATAAAAAAAAAACGATCCAATGTTCTTGAGAAGTCTCTCTAGCTTTTGTCTGAGGGAAAGAATTTAAACTATGCATATGGATTTTGTTTTTTGGTATGCTATATATTGAATCAGATCTGGATAAGATCGAATTTGATAATTGACTACCAACTTTGACTTTTTCTACAGACTATTATTCGAGTGAAGCCAAAAAAAATCAACAGATGCCAAAACAGAGTAACAACTAGCTATAAAGTAAAAGTCATTCTATAGATTACTCTTAACATATATATTAGTTAAGTACTTTTTTTCTTCTGAAATTAGTACTAAATCAGTTTGTCAAAAATTTATTCAGTATTAGGTTTATAGAACAACCATATGGAATTTTTTTAACGACCTTGAACATCAGTGAGGGTAATGTCATTAACAGAATCACCAGTTTTTCCCTTGAGCCAAGCACTATTTCCCCTGCCTCTCTTTCTTCCCGCCGTAAACACAGGATGCTTAGGAGATGGAAGATCAATGGCGTTATGACCTAACATGAATATAACAGAGGACATGTCTGGTCTATCCGAAGCGTTTTCTTGCACGCAAAGCAACCCAATGTGTATGCACTTCATCACTTCGCCTTCATCATAAATCTTCTCTTGGTCCATTAGTGTGTCTATGAGATCTTTTGCTTCACCTTTGTTCCATAGATCCCAAATCTACAATACGAAGAAACAACATTTGCTTATGTTCTGTCTTGTTCCTCTGTTTATGCAAGAAAAACAGAGTTTTTAGTTACATGTCCGATCAGGGTCGAATATTCTTCGTGGAAAGCGTTGTTTTTCAATCCGGTTATTATCTCTAAGATCAATACTCCAAAGCTGTAGACATCAGATTTAACAGAGAAATGGCCCTCCATTGCGTACTCAGGTGACATATATCCGCTGCGCAGTGAGATTGAAACAACTAGACAGTTCTTTATCAAGAAAAACAAAATTTAGACAGTTTTATGGGGATTGAGAAAGCTAACTCACTATGTTCCGACGACACGATTTGTGTTTCCTTCGATTTGGTTGCCACCAAAGATTCTGGCCATGCCAAAATCTGCGATCTTGGGGATCATGTCGTTGTCAAGAAGTACATTGCTGGCTTTGAGGTCTCTGTGGATGATCCTCAGTCTTGAATCTTGATGAAGATACAAGATTCCACGAGCGATGCCGCAGATTATCTTCATCCGTTTTTGCCAATCCAGTATCGCTCTCTTCTCTTCATCTAAGAGGATGGCAAGAAAAAAGGAATGATTTTTCTGAATGGGAGGGTTAAAAATTATAGACTAAATGTATGAGAAATGCTTAACGTACAGAATATGAAATAGTCTAGGCTCTTGTTTGGTAAATACTCATATATCAACATCTTCTCTTCCAGTTCAACGCAACATCCTAGGATCCTCACTAGATTTCGATGCTGCAATTTTGATAACAGCTTGACCTCGTTCTTGAACTCCTCCATTCCTTGGCCTGAGTTTCTCGACAACCTCTTCACCGCTATCTCTATACTATCCTGTAACACGCCCTGAATAGAAACAAAGGAAACATTCCCTACTACTTTATGATTGCTCTTTTGGAGGAATATTGAAGAAATATTTGTGTAAATATATTCTTTGCATATGTGAATTTTGCATCTTCCTTACCTTATAAACAGGTCCAAAACCACCTGCTCCAAGCTTGTTACGAGAAGAGAAGTTATTTGTCGCTGCAGCGATCGTGTTAAGCTCAAAGAGAGGTAACTCCCAGTTTCTCGCCTTGTCCTCTTCAAATTTGAATGAGTCTTCAAAATAAAACGAACCCAGGGATAAGGTTGTTGAAGATCTTCTAAACCTATTCGACTCTGCAGTTAAGCATGTTTTTAAATAGGTAATTCTCAGCGAGACAAGAAACATATGGACTATATGAGCTTGAAAGATACATCTTGAGAGATTTACTTACCCCGCCGCTTCCTCAAGAAACAGAACAAAATGACTGTTAGTAACACTGCGGCTGCAATCAGACTAATGAGAATCACCACGACTCTCCTCTTCTTTGATGAGCCATCTCTGTTCCACCGCGCTGAAACAAGCAAGAAAATATATACTTATGTAGATCAAAATCCTCCACACTGACATGGTTTCTCTTTGTTGCAATGAAACAGAACGTTTTATCAAGAAGTTGGAGGGTAAAACATCTGAGGGATGTTCGAGAAACCAATAGGAACTTGAAGAATAAATTTATATATGTACCTAACTCTTCAGCATCTACACGTATGTAGAAATCTTGTCCAGAGTTCAAGTATGTCCTCGTATCCAACATATCGCCGTGCCATGTCAAGCACCCTGTTGCTCCTCCTTCACCCTCCTGGTAAGCGCTTGCGTAAGCAACACAAGAGCAGTTTTTCAAGCAACTCTGTTTGCATTCCTTCAATGTTATGTTCATATCCACACTTGCATCTGACGTGTGGGGAATCTTCGCACGCTTTAACTTCACAAACCCGTCTTTCTCACGGCATAGAGAAGCTCTCTTTTTCTTTACACACCCTCCCGAATAGTCCCTCAAGAACCAATGCCGAGGAATCTTGGGCTCAAAACCAGGTAGGCATGTACACTCAAACGTTGTTGAGCTCGTGGGATCACAGTGACCGTTAACGCCACAGTGTGCGTAGTAGTCGCATTCCTCTTTAGGAACTGACCAGAAATCGTTCCATCTCTTATCCCTCGCGATCCATGTGAACCGTTGTATGTTTCCTCTCTCGTTCACTATCAATCTTGTTATCACAGAAGAATCCGTGACACCGTAAGTGAATGATACTTCTTCTTGATCATTCACAAATGAGTTGTTGAAGATATACCCTCTTATCATTTCAGGCACACCACTCCACCTCTGCCCTGTCCACGACCCCGTACGCCACCACAAGATCTGACCTCTGTATAGAATCAGCTGCGGAAAACCTCTACGTTCCATCCGAAATGTACGGTTTCCGGAGCCAGGGTCATCAGGAGATCTCCATGATGTCAGAAAGCGATCCAAACCGTCTTTTCTTGTGAACCCCAGTCTCATATATGGAAGGAAAGTGTCTGTAGGATGATCAAAGCTCTGCCAAAAGGCTCTCCCTGTGAGTGAATCAAGAAGAACAAGGTTCCCTAAATCAGAGAGTCTGGCAACTAAAGTTGGTTCCAAGATACTATCCGAAACATTAGTGGACCAGAGAGGCTCTGTTTCACTAACGGTTGCACAGACACAGAGATTCCCTCTTCTGTTGAACTTTATCAGACCAGATGTATCATTAACAGGATGGTTTCTGTTTGCAACCCATACAATAGTCTGCTCAGAGATTTGAGCATACCAAATCCCAACATATCGGAGCTTTGAATCCCCAAGGCTGAAGAATCCAAATGCAAATCTCTTCCCTTGTGATAATATGACATCACCATCTCTCAAGGACTGTCTTCTCATGAGTGTATCACTGGAGATACAAGATTGGACGAAGGAGAAGAAGAAGATGACGAAGATGATCTTCATTTTCTGTGTTTGTGTATGAACAAGCGGTTGATGTGATGAAACGTATAAATGCTGTTTAGTATTAAAAGCCAAGTGGATCACACTTAAACTAACAACATTAATTGTAAAGATCTCTGTCTTTTGTAAAAATCGATTAGTCACGCCCAGTTCCGAAAATTTCTCAAAGGATGTAAGAAACTGATTCATGTGACTGTGAACATGACACAGAACTAAAAGAACACCAACAATTATCATTACGGCCTACACTAATGGATAACACCATTGTATCAATAAGCATATTTATGAATCTCAAGCTGTGAATAAACAGGTTTCAAATCTGAAAGAAAGAATTAAAATTATGGTATTCTGTTTTGGTTTTGCTAACCATATACAGAAAGAAACCTGGATAGTGGATAAGATCAGTTTTGACTTTGATAGTTTCATTAAATACACAACAACCTTGACTTTTCTGCAGAAAATTATTGAATTGAAGCCAACAAATTTCCTTTGAACATTACTGGATTGTAAGAGACGATATGGAAACTATTTAGAACCGTCAAAGCCGTTTTTTTTTTGTAGCTGAATTCAACCGCAGAGATGTACAAGACCGTATCGTTCGGTGAAACATTGAAATCTTATTCAACTGCTTTTTCAAGACACAAACAAAGACATCGAATCCATTCATCTCTCAACTTCCACACAGTTTAAAACAAAACCCAGAAACAAAGACCATACTTACAACGAAGATCTAGAATACCCCAAACCCCAAACACCAGACGATGAAGAACACAAACCAAGGGCATAGGAACACTTTCTTTTCCTTCCACATCTCCTTAGGGAAGTCTCCTTCTGCAACAGGGAAGCTGACTCAAGATCAGTCCTCACAGATAAGACATCATTGATTGGTCTAGCTTGTAAAGAAATAACTTAACATATCTATGGACGAACTACTCGATATGCAATCTGAAGGGGTAAGGAATGAGTTTATAATTCTTTTCTTCTGACAAACCTAAAGTCATGACATTTTCCAAAACCTATGAAAACACTATCCAAGCTTTCAACTAACCGAATCACCAATGTTCAACACTAATTAGAAATGCTTGAATTAAAACACTGAACTCTGTGATAAAAACCCTTGACAGGATAAAGCGAAAGTAATGATTTTGAAAGATGCAAACATAACAGTTAGAAGAAAATCAAAAACTGACCTCGCTACTGTTTATCAGAAGCATCATGATACTCCTCCTCGGCAACCTCAGGCACGGTATGAAGTTTATCACTGTCTACCAGATTCTCGGCACCATTTTCGCCGGATTTCTCATCTTCTCCGTCTTTTTCATCTGGAAATCTAACAACCACCACCGGACAAGCACAATGGTGGACAGAGTAATCACTGACACTCCCTAACCTCCCTTTGCTAGTCCTCTTTGTAGCACCAAATCCTCTGCTTCCCATTATCAAAGTGCTTAGCCCTAACCTCTCCACTTCCAAACACAGTCTCTCCTTCATGTCGTGATCCTTGACGATATGGATCTTAAACGGTATATCCGCCTCGACCAAAGGCTGAGCAACGTCGCTGGCCTTCTTGTTAGTGAAAATGTCGAAATCGTCCTCCAGCTTCTTCTGAGACTCCTCGTTCTCCGGGTCCCACTGCGGCGACAGGTCAATGGCTCCCCAATCGGCGCCGTAGAGGACGCTCGTCGGCCGAACGTGGAGGAGAACGACGGCGTCTCCTGATCGGAGATAGTTCTGAACAGCCCACTGGACTGCGTAAGCACTCTCGTCGCTCAGATCGACGGCGATCCCGATCTTACGTTGAGCTCCAGCTGTCGGTGTGCCGATCGGGAATCTGGGGGAAGACGGCTGCACGGTGACGACCGTCGGGGATTTACGGTCTGATCTCGGAGATTTTCCCGGTGAAGTCATGTTTTCCTCGGCGATGAAGAGTGTGGTTTCTTCGTATAAAGGAATGAGCTTGACGGTGGAGAAAAGATAGATACGAACAAAAGCGAGAAGAGAGACTCTGTACGGTGTACTTCTCCATTTTGTAAAATTGGATATTGTTCAGAACCGTTTGATTGAATGCGTTTAAGATCTAACGGCTATTGAGGTGGTAGTATATATCGGTTGAATAAGAACGGAAACACCTGAGAATTGGGTCAAAACAATTGGGTTCAATTAAAATCGTGTGACTAAACCGAAGTTATTGAACCAAAATACTTTAACCAATGTAACCCGAGAGAATGACTCTGCGATGGTCTTTCATTATATTTTTCTTATATTCTGCTTATATTTTGCTTAATTTTCTATTTTTTTAACGTCTATATTTTATTTATATGAGACTTAAATATTCAGAGTGTAATACATGAGTTAAAATATTTGGAACATAAATTTTTCTATTTTATTTGTTTCCCTTATCTGTTATTTATGTTTTGCTTATATTTTTAAAAAAATATTTTTCTAATATTAAGAAATGTTATGTAAACAGTTAATCATATTAATATGGTTATTTAACATGCTATATATAATATTCATGATAAAACTGTCAAAGTTTTGGTCAGACAGTAAGAATATGTTTTGTTTTGATGTGTGAGACAGTGAGAGTATGATTATTTGGTTCCATGATTATTTATTTTAAAAGATCAAAGATTAGTTTTATTGGTCAACAGATCAAAGATTAGTTAGAGACTAAAAAATATTCAATATAGAAGACATATCACGAAATTTCATAGTTAAACACTAACCTTACAACTTCATGAAACAGAGCATGTCACTGGTTAAGTCTCCATTTCAAAAAATAGAAAGGCATTAAATTATAACAAAGCATAAATTTTAGAATAAGACATCAAATCAAATGCACTCTTGGTTAAGTCCATACATTTTATGATTTTTGTGCGTTACTAATTTTAATAGAACGCCTTCAAATGGGCACCACAGTATTCATGGAGGGTAGTGCGACTACAAAACAATATTTAGGACTCATAATTGCTAATTAACTATTCATAAACCCATAATTAAGAATTTAAGATTCGATTCAAACAATAGTATAGTCAAGCCCTAAATTAGCTAAGGTCCTATTTCTTTAGAAACGTTATTAATTCGGTGTTTGATTTACAAATCTTAGCGTTACATATGATAATAATAAAAAAAAACACAATTTGTTTTTTCTGTTACCTTTTCGGAAATTATAAAATCTAAATTAAGGAATCGTATAATTGAGCAGATAGGATAAGAATAAACATCAATCACTCTCCACTATCCGAAATATCCACGTGGCAACAGCTGTACCGTTAATAATGACTGCTTTAGCTGGGTTTATGAATAATTAATTACCCGCCAAATCACCAACGCTTACAAAAAAAAAACAAACAATAAACTTAACAAATAAAGTATCAAAAGGCGTTTCACATAAAAGGCAAATCCTTTGGAGCAAAGAGAGAAGAGGAATTTAAGAAGAGAGAAAAACCCTAACCTTTCTTTTCCATCAATGGCGGATTCGGATAAACTAGAGAGTGGAGGAGCCGCTGCAATGGGCGACATTGGAAAAGACGGCGGCGGCGCAGCGGTGGAAGAGAGGGAGGTGCTAGCGGAATTGGAAGGAATATCTGTGTTGGATTTCGATCTGCTTTGCTCGACGGTTGCGCTTCAGACGCAGGGGAAATGGAGGAAACTCGAGAGCTCAGATGGAGAAGATGCGGCGGATGATGAATATGCCGGCGGCGTTTTACGACTCTGGGAAGGCGATGTTATGGATTGCTTCGAGGATCGTCATCTCTGCATCGAATCCGCTTGGTGAGTTTTTTTTTTCTTTCTCTTCTTCTTCTCATATTATCCTTTAATTGGAATAGCCTTCAAATTCATTTTCCCTGTGAAACTATTTTTCTCCAGAAATTGAAATTTCCAAGAAAGATTTTCCGGCGAAAATTCTGGGTTTTTTTGAATCATTCCTGGAATTTTCTAGGAAAGAGAAAATTGAGTTGTTTATCATATCTGAAAGAGTGATTATGAAGCAAGAGACGTTTGTGTAATAGTGTTTTTCTTTTGTTTATCTTGTTTTTTAGCTGTCCATGCTACAGATTCGGGAAAAACATGAATAGGACTGGTTTTGGTTCATGCTTTCTTCAGGTATAAGATCCCTTTAGCATTTTTGATAAATACAATTGATCTCTAACCTTTTTGTTTTGCCCGTTCTTAAGTAGCAACAACTGAAAGATGCTGACTTTTTCTATGTATTTGACTTCTCATCCTCTTGATCAATTTTGTGTGTGTCAGGGTGCTGTTCATATGATTCTTATTGCCGGCGCCATTTTCAACGTTGCAGCTTTTGCTGTAACCAAGAGGCACTGCTTTCTCTACCTGGCTATTGCTTTCGTGATTTTGATTGCATCCTACTTGGGTTTCTTCCGCATGCAGATAAGAAGGAAGTTTAACATTAGAGTAAGCAGTTTCTCCTTCTTTTTCTTGTTTTCTCTGTGAGTGTTTTAGGAAATTATTCGTCTTTTCTCCTGCATCATGACGTTTTCCACTCTCTTCTATACAGGGCACTGATAGTTTCTTTGACGACTGCATCCACCATCTTATCTTCCCATTTTGTACATTAACTCAGGTGTGTAATGTTCACATGTCATTCCCTTGAAAACAAGCTGTATCCATTATGCCTTTTTGGTTCAACTTGCTTGTGATGTGATGCAGGAATCAAAAACACTGGAGATGAACAATGTTCATGACGGTATCTGGCATGGTCGAGGAGACACACTATGCATAGGCGGCTATCCCGAAGGAAAAGCTTTTCTCGAGCTACATTCGCCTCCAGCCATTGTATCAACAATGTTATCTGAACCCTAACAACACCATTTAAACTGAAACCAAACTCGAAGCCTCCCATATCCATAGGTGTTGGTGTCAGCATCCGCTGATGGTGATTGGTTCATTAAACCATTGAAACAGAATCATGTTAGAAGAAGAAAACTTTCATGTTTGTTTTCGAAACTGTTATATATAGCAAACATGGAAGTTCGATTTGAAAGCCATTTTAGGTTTTAAAAGGAGAAACGTTTAGAAGCCATCTGTATGCTAGCTATGTGAATACAGCCACCTATTTGTACGATAATGCATTTGATGATGACGAACACATAAAATTGTTGTAATCTATACACAAAGAGTTGGGATATTATGAACTTTTTTCAACCCAAATATTGGATACAGTTTGAAGTATCAAAAATCAGATCATGCGCATCCACTAGAAATCACAAACTGCAAAAGGTAATTGATACAACAGAAACAAGCTGTTGTGTGGCATTTTGCTCTGGTTCGGTTCTGAAACCCTTGTTAAACACTAGACAAGCCAAAAGGGAAAGAGACAATCACAAACTGATAGATACGGAGAAATACATGGATGTAAACACTTTATTCAAATTCTCTGTGCCATTCTCAGGCAGTCTTTTTCTTGTTTTATGTTCATTGTTCTTTCGGTTCAGAGAACAAACGGGCGGTTAACATAGGAAAACCAACCGACTAAATACAATCTATGTAGTTAGAATGAACCAAAATCCATAATAACAAAAAGCAAAAGGAAGAGAAAAGAATGAAAATTAAACAAGAGGAACAAAAGAACATGTACTTTCTTTCTATGCTCTCTCAAGTCTCATCTAAGATGTGTAAAAAATGCTTCGCCTCCTATGATGATGACAAACAAAATTTGACAAAGATGGGACCTTCTTTCTCCTACGGCGCCATCAGACCATCCACCGTGTAAGAAAGAGACTTAGCCCAGTCGGTTTTCAGCACCATTGTTTGCAGCGTGTGCATCACATCGTATCCTGGATCAAGTTTCCGTTGCCAGCCCTGTAACCAAAACCGATCACAATAGATTAAAGCCAACTTGATCTCTCCAGAGTTTATAAGCAGTAACTGGATCAACCTAGGCTATAGTTACCACCATGCTCTAAGCTGCAACCAGTTTCAAAGGTGAAATATTTAAGCTCTGTTTCTATAATATGCCTAGTTTTCAGGTCCGGTGCTCTTTAGGAATGCATTTCTATACCAAGTTCCATGAATTCTAGCGTGATCTGAAATCTACACTAAATTTCAGAAAAAAAATAGAAAGAAAGATTTTGACTAACCTCGAGAACTAATGTTGTTACCATCACGGTGCATACATTCCCGTCAATATTAACTCTATGACGTCTAACTTTCTCAAGTAATTCATGCATGCAATCTGCTGGATGTACTAAATCTCCCTCAGGTGTTCCCCAGAATTTAAATGCTTCTTCTACTTCCTGTCAGAATATAAACGTATATAGCCATCACATAAGAAAGAATTTCGAACGATATCTTCCATATGTTTGACAATTTAACTGTTTTCTGAGCGATAAAGAACCTTGGGGCAAGATATTATTACCTCGATAAAAGCTTCTGGATTGGGACAATTTTGCTTTCTTGATAATTTAAGTGTTCTCTCAGCAGCAGTCCGGCCATCCCTAAGCGCAACCGCCTTGAAAAAATCAAGTAAGTTCTCTCGGTCGTTCTTTGAGAGTTCTGCAGTCATTCCCACATCAAGGAAAACGATGTGTGGCTTCTTCGCTTTGAAAAGGCCTCCACGTGAAGCCTTTTTCCGGACAAGGATATTTCCCGGATGCATGTCAGCGTGAATAAAGTTATCAACCTGAAATCATCATTCACATGAGATGAGACGAAGAGCAACAACGAAGCATATATCAGAATTGAGCGATCTTAAAAGGCTAAAAAGATGCTAATACCAAGAGCATCTTCAAGAGAGCATGAGTCCCGATATGAGCCAATCTAGTCTTAATCCATTCATGTCCTTCCATGCCATCAACATAACGCGCCACGCTTTCTCCGTGCTCATATGTCTCCACCAAAACAGCAGGATGTACAAGTGGATACACAGGTTTAGGAAAAGAGACATCTTTCCATCTGCGGAAGTTGTATATGAACCGACTCAAATGAGAAGCTTCCCTCGCGAGATCAACTTGAGACAGCATGAAGACACCAAACTGTTGCACACTCTCGTCCAATCTCAGCCATTTCAAAGCCGGAATAAAAGTCGATATCTTTGCCACCAAGTTAATGATCACAAAATCTCTTCGAATCGATTCACCAACACCCGGATGTCTAACTTTTACAGCAACCAACGAAGACTTGGACTTTTGTCCTGGATACTGAAACCTCAAAGAAGCTCTATGTACTTGGGCAATACTCCCGGATGCCACTGGTGCCTCTTCAAACTCCTCAAATATCTCAGAAAGTTTACGACCAAATGCCTTCTCGATAGTTTTCTTAGTGTAGGCAAAACTATGCTCAGGAGCATTACTGTGAAGCTTTGAGAGCTGTGAACACAAATCCTTGGGGAAGAGATCTGGTCGCGTGGCTGCCCATTGACCCCATTTAATGAAAGCAGGACCTGCTCTTTCCAGAGTTCGATGGACCATCTCAAGCCATATTTTCCTAAAACGAGGCCCACATGACTCCACAACCAGACCCATCAGAACACTAGGAGTAAACAAACAAGCTATGTAAAAAGCCCTCCCAATCAAAATAAAACCCTCTATAACCGAAAACAACAACGAAGACAGAAAGATGGGACCATTCTTTGCCCTTGTATAGAGGGATTGATGTGAAGGGTAGGGATCTAACGCATAATTGGGAGCTCTTTGCGCCAATGCTACTTGTCCACAAGTGAGAGCAACGATGCCGGGTATTAACAAGTGTGAACGGGTAATCGACAAGGTGAACGCTTGAGCAATAGTACTTATACGAGGTAAGCTCCATTGGCGCACGGAACACTTATGATGAATCCTTTTCCAAGCGACTTGAGCATGATGAGTAGCTACATTTCTTGCAGAGGCCGTAGAATAACTTCGCGACAGATGATTCCTCAAAAAGCTTCCTTTAGGATCTCGAAGGGAAAATGTACAATGCCCATTGCTTGGAAGTCTAGCAGAGGACGAGTAAACTCTGAACTGGGGCGACCTTAGAGCAGCTGTAATAGCAGTTCTATAGCTTCCCCATTGGGACCCTCTCTCTTTCTGGTTCGACAAAAGAGATTGCGTGTGTTTTCCTACGATTCTAAAGATAAAAAATCTGCAATAGCAAAGCAAGAAAATCATCAGCTAAGAGAGCCAAGAGAAGGATCCGATCATCAATCAGACGAATAAAGCAATGAAACTCATAAATTCCAAAACTTTATACACAGATTTAGTAAAAAATTACATTAGGAATCATAAATGAGTCTCCGAGGAAATGGGAAACCGGGGAAACAAAAACAACGGATCACAATTCATAACAGACCGGAAAAAATACGAAACTTGATGGGTCTGTAAGAATATAATCCCGCTTGATGAACAAACCTTGACATGGCGGCGATGGTGCAAGAAAATGTGAAAACGCCGATTGTTGGGTATGGATCTCTAAAACGTTAAGCTTAAGGAGCATTTTCTCATTGACTTCAGCTTTAGGCGGGCAAGGGCAAGGATTAGTCGGTCACCGTTTTTCCTCCCGGCGTTAATTTGGGTTCGAAAATACCTCCCGGAGAAAACCTAAAGCCGACACGGAGGGAGAGAGAGAGAGAATAGGTCAGGTCGGAGATTTCGTTAGGAGAGAGAGAGAGAGGCCCACAAAAGCGAAATTGGAGGTCTCGTGGGCTTTAGCTTAAACGCTAAATTTTATTTAGTCGACGTGTGACATTGTCAACCCAGGCAAAGGTGTGAACAATGGTCGGTCCAAAGACAACCTGTCGTAACTAAATATTATTATTTGTAGTAAGTGAATATCTATCTATTGTACAGTAAAAATCAAATTCTTCAAGTAAAAACCAAATCAAAAATACATAAGCTAATGGTGTTTTTGTTATAAGAAAATGGGTTTGGAATACATGTTCAGTTTGAAACCCCCAAAAAATGTGAAGCCATGAAAGCCAAAAGGTCTGTATGTTTTTTTTGTGTTCAAAGCCAAAAGGTGTGTTTGAATTCAGCAATTTAATATAGTTTTTGTCTTAAAAGTAAAGATCTGTATTTGTACGGTACGGTAGAAAAATCTTAAATTTGATTTTTTCCCCCATTACCTATAGGTTAATGAATTGTCAAAAAAAAATATATATCATAAAGAAAAAATACTAGTATTTTTTGTTTACCTTTTTGTTTTTCCAGTCGAATTCATGAAAGAATGTTGTTAATAAACCCATTAACCTGTCTCGATCTCATTCCTTAGGGTCAAGTCACGGTCGACCAAAAAGCCTCTTTCATTCAATATTACTTTTCACCGGATTTGGGCTCTCCGGCGACGGAGGAAAAGCTCCATCTCCAAGGTCAGTTTCCTTTTCCGCTCTTTCTTCTCTCTCTCTTTCTCAACCGAGGTGTAGATAACTCTGGCCGCCGGAGAAAAAAAGATAGGTTAACTAAATTTGATTGATTTACAGTGCTGGTTAACTGCAAGGAGACGAATTTGAGAATTTTTAAGAGTGGTCAAACTTTGAATCCTCAAAAAAGTCTTTTTTTTCTCTCTCTGTGTATGGTTTTAGGATCTGTATTGGCTTGTGGTTATTAATAGCAGCCACTGGATATTATCACCAAAGATTTATACTTTGATGATTGATAATACAGAAAGATAGCTTGGGACATTGTGCTTTGTTGACGAGTAAGATGTGGGTTAATGGGTATACACTAGAGAAGGTCAAAGTTAGTGTTGAACAATTAAATTGAGTAATTGGCCACCTGTCTTGATTAGTTTCTTAACAAAAAGTTTTGATTGCAAGAATGTGAAAGGCATTGAATCACTGATTGTTTGGGTGGTTGTAGGAAGTCATTAGTCTTTGAAAGTTTAATTTGGCGAATTTCTTGACTGGTTGCTTATGTTTGGAGCTTTATATTCTGTGTAAATATTTTAAGGTCCATGCATTTTTGATGAACCCTGCAAATTTGATTCAGCAAAACAAGGAACTTATAGCTGAGAAACAAGACAAGTGACAAGGGTGATTGAAAACCTGAAGGAATCAGATGGGAAGCAGCAACAGAAGCGGAGAACCAAAAAAACAAATGGCAGAACTGAGCAAAAACCTTAAAGAAGGCGAGAGGATTCTGGAGCCTACACGTAGACCTGATGGTACTTATCGGAAACCCATCCGGATTCGAGCTGGTTATACTCCACAAGATGAAGTTGAAGTTTACCAGTCCAAAGGTACTCTGGTATGGAATCTTTATTCCCTCAACACTATATTCTGTTCTCGGACTCGTTTGTTGATTCTTGTGGAAATGAATCGTTTGAGTTTTATTTAAGTCAGTCAAATTCTTTACAAATTTTTGCTCTTTCTTTGCAATAGATGAAGAAGGGAATGGTCTCACAAATACCTCCAGGTTATGAACCTGATCCAACTCCTAAACCAAAGACGAAATCTGCTAGAAGGAACGAACGTAAGAAAGAGAAGAAATTACAGGTATGTGTTTCAACTCTATGTGATTTGTAACCTTCATATGTTACTAGCTTCGACTTCAGTTATTGGAACATGCTAACAAATTATCACCTCTTCAGGCTACTGCAGAAAAAGGTAACAGCTCTGAGGATGGATCAGCTAGTAATGTAGACAAGGAAGAAGCTGTTTCCATTGTGACTCCAAGCAATGGATCCCAATCTGTGAATGTATTGGTTTCTGGTTTGGATGCTTTGCACGTTTCTTCAAATAATGATGTATCCTCTCGTACTTCGGACCTTGGACAAGCACCCAATCCTGGAACTGCAGGAGAAAACACTGAGAAAAGAATACGTGCACTAAAGAAGAAAGTAAGATTTCGTTCTTTCTCAGCTGCTTTAACTAGAATAAGACATTCGAGTACTTTTTAGCTTCGCTCTCCAGATTCCTCATTGTGGCTCGCAAAATATTGTGCTGCAAGTGTAATGCTACCCAAGTTGAAATTTTTGCGTGGTTTTGTGTAGTTGTCAATTTGTCACCTTAACTTTTGCAGATCCGACTCACAGAAGCTCAACAGCAGAAGACTGCTCCCCGAGACCTAACGCCCGAGCAACTGGAGAAATTCTCTAAGTTGGAGGAATGGAAAGAAGAACTCAAGGCTTTGGAGGATAAGGAGACTTAGCTTTCTGCAGCATCAACGAGTTGTCTAGCTTTTAGATAGGTTTTAGCTTTTCTCGTGAAATTGCTGGAGCCAATCCGAATTTGTATTAGTGAAAAGGAGGCTGTTTTAAGCTTTTGCCAGAAATCTGGGCTAATGAACTTGGCGCAACGCCTAAGTTCTCATGGGAATTGATGCCACTTTGTGTTGTGTTTGTGTTTGGTCCTCAACTTTGTGTTGTGACAGAACGTTGCAGTAGCTAACATCAATCAATCAATCACTTAGTAGTTTGAAGTATATAACTATCACAATTGTTAGGTCTCACATAGAAACTCAACACTTCACAATAACAACAAACTTTGGTTGTTCAAAGTGAGTAAAAAAATGAATCATATTAGAATCACAAGATCTTCCTCTTCTTCCTTGCATTTTGCAACATGAGAAGACGGACCTTTTCTTATTACTTTCTCAAGCAGAATGCTCCTCAGTATTTCCCTGCATACATTGAGGATACTTGAAGGGGAGCTTTATTACAGGCTTATCATCGGACAGCCCTTGACTTGCCAACCCAAATGCATATCCTAACGCAACCCCTACAGGAACAGCCACCGCATTCCCAACCTGGATGTATCTGGTAATCCAGATGCAAAAACCAGTTTTTCATATTAGAATCTCCAACATTAAACACACAGCAAAATCTAGAAACATGCTTGTAAAGGAGCAGGAATTAAGGACTAACTTTTGCTTTATTGGGCCGCATAGCTTATAAAAATCAGGAAATCCTTGTAATCTGGCGTTCTCACGGACAGTCAACACACGATCTTGCAACGGATGGATTATATTCTGCAGAAACCAGATTTGACGACAAAGAGGTCACTAGAGAATTCAAAAGGGCACCCCAAAAAGCAAATGGAAATGTAATAAAGAAAAGAAAAGACTTGCCTGGTTGTGAGGTTCAGCTCGTGTCACAACCGTATTAACAATCTCATCCCACCACAAACGACCAAATGGCCTGAAATTCAGATAGCAAATGAGTTACTTTAGTGAATCTAACATTACCAGTTAATGGAAATAGAATCCAAGAGAGGAATATTAGTTAGAGAAAGTCACTTTTTTGATCTTCCATTGACGAATGTCATTGCATAATCAGGAACCTGATAAAAACACACTCCATGTCATAAGAAGCTGCAGAAAATTGGGAACTGAAATACCATAAGGCTGGGAATGGATTCATTTGTACCAGAAATTTTCCAGATTTCAGTTTTGGTCGCTCTACAGAAGGGTCAAATTTGACTCTGTTGTCTTTAACTAAAACACCACCTAAATCTCTGAAGTTGGCACCCTGTAGCAGTAAGAGTACAATAACATGAATAGATGTTATTACACCTTGCACCATCAAAGCAAATACTATCACAGATACATCAAAAGATAGCCACACCTTCTTCTTTTCAATTCGGCAAACACGTTCATAATCATCGTCATTTAGTTGAAGTGGTTGGTGATCATACAACATTCTTGACTGTGAAGCCTCTCCACCATCACAGGGAATTAGTGACTCTGACACAAGAATGTTCGTTAATATTAGGTAAGCGTTAATGGAAAATCTATGGAGTTTGAGCTTCTCACCAGCTCTAGAAAGACGTATGAACTTCTGAAAGTCTGTTTGGGGTACTGTCCCATAATTCCTTTTATCTTTTTCCTCACAATTTGTCGCCTGCAGCATAAAAAAGGCATTGAACAATGAGCTATATAGACATCATGTTTCATAGTCAGATTTGACCACTTAAAGTTTAGATACACACTGGTGGGAGATCGCTTATCGCATCTGCAAGAGTAAGAGCCTTTTCTAACTGAAGTAGATTCTTTTGACAATGTCCAACTTGTATTTCCTGCAATTACAAAAAAATGAATAAGCAATGCATAAAACCAAGAGTCCGTGAGATTAAAAGTACATCACTGAAAAAAGACTTGCCTCAAATTCTACAGTGGTAGAGCCTTTGCCGATAATCTCATGAGTAGGCAAAGGGTATGGTGGCAGTTTCTGTGAACGAAATTATGAGTGAGGAAAAACGTTTTCTACGACAATGTATTAGTGCTAACTATTATCTAACAAATATTTACCTCATTTGGTTTAGCTCCCCACAGGAACACTCTATTTCTGATTTGAGGTACACCATAAGAACCCGCAGTCATCATGCCTAATCTCGCTTGATAGTTCATTGCAACCAGACGAGCAACAGCATAACGAGCTAAAAACCCCTTCGAAAACTTCAGAAGATCGACGACATTTTCCATGAGCACGTAATTTGGCTTCAGATAGTCGATAATGTTCATATAAACCAACAACTGCTTGTTTTTCTCATCTTCAAGCGGTGCATCTTTATTTCTGAAGCGGTTAAAGCCACTAACCCCTTGACATGGAGGACCTCCACACACAAAATAAACACCACCCTGCAAAGAAACAAATTTTGGAAGAGACTAAAGTTATTCTGGAGCAAAAACCATAAGATCTTCAGACGATGTATTCTTTATGAACCAAACAAAATTATTTAAACTGAATCAAACACATATAAGCATTGACTAAAAGGGTAGACATCATAAACAGCTAAAACAGAATAGTAAGCAAGTAGAACGACTTACAGGAAAGGGCAATCGGTTAGTGTTAAACCCGTTTGTCACAAACTCCTTTAACTTGTCTTTGCATTTTCTGTTGTATATAAAGTAAACCACATAAATAATCAACGATAAAACATTAATACAAAAGGAGAAATATAGAGTGATATGGAATATTTACTTTAATCCATCATAAGGCTCCCAGGTATCTTCATCAGGACCATAACCTTTCCAACGCACCTGAGAGTTTTGAAATAAAAAGAAAACCAATGTCTGAATTACATCTTACAAAGGATAAAATTTTGTTTGTACATCTAATGGAAGTTCCGACTTTATAGTCAAGTAGTTGTACCTTAAGATGAAGTGCAGATGCCTCCTTTGATCCATTGGGATCTCCAAAACAAATATCAAGGAATTCGTCTACCTCAAACTCTTCAGGAGGAATTTCAGACCCATCACTATCCTCATCTGCATCATCATTTTCGTCGCCATCTTCTTCCTCTTCACCATCTGATTCTATTGGCTCGGTACTGGAAATAAGAGCAAACTTTATACATAGCTTTCTCCATTCTTTGAGCAATCTTAGAAAGTCTTCCGCAGCTTCATTTCTCACCTGCTCAACATTCAAATCAGTTGATTACATTTGCGGACATTGAATCTACTTCCTTAACACACTATACGAAACCAGCACTGAAAAATTACCTCGGTTTCAGGATGATTTAGTCTCAAACTATCACAAGCAAATTCGTTGATATCTACTGCCCATTTCTGCAAATCAGAAAGAGCTAAGTAAATCTTGCTCAAAAACCAACAAAAATGTTGATGTGGAACATGAGTGTTCATGAAAACCTGTATACCGTAATCAATTTTATGCCTGACAGGGAAGCGCCCATAGACAACCCAGTTGACATTGCTCCACATCCACTATATAGATCAAGTAAGAATTTTTCATTCTTGTGGGGAATTTCAATAGAATTGGAATCAGATTCGCTTGAAATTGTTGATGATCCATCACAATCTGTGTTGGAATATTTTGACAAGACAGAAATCATCAGTTTTCTTAAAAACACTATGAAGCAAGTTAATAAGGATGTGAAAGATAAAACAACAGAAACCAAAGCTAAAATGACTAACATAGATAAGATACTGCTCATATAAAATAAAAAGACGAACAATGAGTTAAAAGGAAACTAGTTAAAACGTGGGCAATAGATATATAAGTACCATCAGCTGCACTTGAAAATGTCAAGTGTTCAAGGTCGTAATCCATATCGTAGTAGAAATCGCACTCCGGTATTATTCTCTCCTCCGTTGTTGAAACGATCTGTAGTAAAAAAAAAGTAATCTAAATGAAGACATCCATGAAAAGCCAAATCAGAAAAAAATTCAACCACACCATTGATTTCAGGGTAATTGGTACCTTTGGTGGAATTTGAACAATTTTCAAGCTAGAAATGATGCAATTGAGAGGATTATCATCCTCAACGTTCGAAAGAAATACTCTTTTATCTTGCAGCTCATGTGCATGGGCTTTGATAACCTAAGAGTACAAAAAGAACGGAAATGAGAACATCAATTAGCAAGAGCAAGAGACATTATATAAGGCAAAGAACTAGCCAACAAAAACACAGTAATTCTCACCGTATCTTCTGGTCTGTAGAACCATCGAGCTCGGAAAAACGGTTTGCCATCAATTGTTTCAAAAAACTCAAGAATTTTTGCGATATAATTCGGTTTTCCCTCTTCAGCCTACGTGGAAAATAGTTTACATCAGATACATTAGTATGTCCGAATAAGACAACACCAAACCAGAAGTAATCAAACAATTTACTGTCTGAAGCTAATTCGGTATTATGAAGCCATTATCAGACAACAGATCAAATAAGTACCTTTACATAGACATTATCACCAAGATTGAAGAGATTTCCATCAACAATAGCTCGGTTATAATGTTGTTTGGCCTGCTGCTTCTCCTCCTTATTGTCACTGTGTTAAGAACCATACGAGAGGAGATTAACAAAACATAATCTTAATAACACAAACATTTCGAAGAATTTAAAACAGAGACAAAAAAAAACCCAATTTACCCAGCCTTGGGACTTTCCACTGTTACAGATTTTCTAGCCTTCGAGGATCTATAGCGAAAGGGCCATTTCCTCATAGCTTCTTCGGCTGAGAATGGTTCTCCGATGAAGCACAGATCCGCCTCAGGTTCATGCCGTTTCATTGTTTTGGCAAAAAACGAGAATAGGAAAGAATCAACAGAGAGGAAGGAAGTGTATTTGGAGAAGATTTTGAAATTGGATCTCTTTTACTCCTACAACTCAAAAAAGGTTTTCTTCTTCTCCAAATACACTTCAATTAAAAAATAAAGACAAAAAAAAAACAAAATTTGGATATCTTTTCAGACATGGCAAGCGGGAGAATACCAATTCGTCGCGCCTTTTTTCTTTTTCCAATTCTACGTAAATCACTTTTAGCTCCCCCCAGTATTGTTTATAATTTCAATTTGACTTCATTAATCGTAAAAATACAAAATTGATCCTAATGAGCCCAATTAAGGCCCATAGAATAGAAGAAGACACTCTCCAAGTCTAAGCGATCGAAGGTAAAAACGGCGCAATCAACAGAAAATTCGACTAGAAAGGAAGGGCGAAATCGTAAGCGGTGAATCTGTTTCGACATCTCAAGTTTTGAATTCGGTGTGTGAATTTCTACTGTCATTCTAAATATTTGACCATGTGGTTTTTTATTATTTTCTATTTTGCTCATCTACAATGTAGCTAAGAGCTGTTCAAAAATTCCGATGCTGATTTTGTTAGAAAATAAATATACTTGTCCTCTTTCCCTCAGCTAGCTACGTAAACAATTGCCTTTTGATCTTAAACGATGTAACAGGCATGAAAATGTGTTAGTATCCCCTGTTTCGGCGGCGCGTGTGAGCCACGCGCATCGCCGGTCGGATGGTGGTATGTAGAACACCGCTGGACATGATTATTACGTTTATTTTCTTCTTTCTTTCTTTTTACTGTCAAGAATAGTAACCAACTATAAATTATTGGTTATGTATGTGTTTCTGCATTATGCTTGTTGGAGGTTGCATTTGCTGACTTTGATTGCCAGTCATTATCAACTTTACCTTCACCTGCTACTTCTGGATGGTAAATGTTTCTAGGCTCGAATACTTTAGTATATATTTTGGTGTAGTGGTTAACAATATGTCTCGTAGAGTTGTGCTCTTTCTGCATTGTGCTTATTTAAAATCGCATTAGCTAGCTGTAATTACCAGTCATTATCAGCTTTATCTTCACTTGCTATGGGTTAGTGTTTCTAGGGTCTAATAATTAGTATATATCTTGTATCATACGCACATGATTTTGACCTAGAAGTACCTATTTGTTGTTATTGTAGGGAAATTGAGGTGGCATGGACTGATTCTTGCACAGTGAAGGAGGCAATAATTTAATGGACGAGGAAGAAAGGTTTCACGGTGTTGGTAACCTTTTTCAGTTCCGTGTCATGTTCTAAGTCACATGAATCAGTTTTTACATCTTTTGAAAGTTCAACCTTTATTGAGAGATAAATCCGGAACAGAGCGTGGCTGATCGATGCCTGCAGTTAATGCTGTTAGTTCAGGTGAGGCCCACTTGGCCTTTAAGAAGACACATTCATTTACACGTTTCAATCAGATTCTGATCAGAAAACAAACACCGAATGAAGATCTTCTCCATCTTTTTCTTTGTCTTATTCTCCCTCCTGATCCAATCTTGTTTCTCTGACAACATGATTATGAGAAGACAGTCCTTGAGAGATGGTGATGTTTTATTCTCTGAAGGAAAGAGATTCGCTTTTGGATTCTTCAGCTTGAGGAACTCAAACCTCCGGTATGTTGGGATTTGGTATGCTCAAGTCTCTGAGCAGACTATCGTATGGGTTGCAAACAGAGACCATCCTATTAATGACACATCTGGTCATGTTAAGTTCAGCAGCAGAGGGAATCTCTGTGTCTACGCATCTGTCAATGGAACAGAACCTGTCTGGTCTACCGATGTCTTGGATACGATCGCAGAACCGGCTTTAGTTGCGAAGCTCTCTGATTTAGGCAACCTTGTTCTGCTTGATCCTGTCACAGGGAAAAGTTTTTGGGAGAGCTTTAATCATCCTACAAACACTTTGCTTCCATTCATGAAGTTTGGATTCACTCGTCAAGACGGCTTGGATCGGTTTATGACGTCGTGGAGATCTCCTAGTGACCCAGGTTTTGGAAACGTTACATACCGGATAGACCGTAGAGGGTTTCCGCAGATGATGATGTTCAAGGGACCGACTCTGTGGTGGCGTACAGGGTCTTGGACAGGACAGAGATGGAGCGGTGTCCCTGAAATGACAAACAAGTTTATCTTCAACATCTCGTTTGTGAACACTCCGGATGAAGTATCAATCACTTATGGTGTGTTGAATCCATTAGTCATAACAAGAATGGTGTTAAACGAGACGGGAATCTTGCAACGGTTCACATGGAACGGGAGGGATAAGAAATGGATCGGGTTCTGGTCAGCTCCTGAAGAGAAGTGTGACAGCTACAACCACTGTGGCCTTAACGGTTACTGCGATTCCACAAGTCCAGACAAGTTTGAGTGCTCTTGCCTACCGGGGTACGAGCCCAAGAAGCCCCAGGAATGGTCCTTCAGGGATGCTTCGGGTGGGTGCATGAGGAGAGATACAGCTTCGATATGTAACGGGAGAGAAGGGTTTGCGAGGTTGAAGCGTGTGAAGGTTCCCAATACATCAGCTGTAAGTGTGGATATGAACATAACATTGAAGGAATGCGGAAAGAGGTGCTTGAGGAACTGTTCTTGTGTCGCTTATGCGAGCGCTTACCACGAGAGCGAAGACGGAGCAATAGGTTGCTTGACATGGCATGGCGATATGTTGGATACAAGGACATACTTGAGCGCAGGACAAGATTTTTACCTGCGCGTAGATAAGGCAGAGTTAGGTACATATATACATAAACTCTGTAACTTGTTCTGTTTAATTGCAACAAAGGAGGAATTCCAAGTACTGATTTGTTTGCTTGTTACAGCGCGGTGGAATGGAAACGGCTCATCAGGGAAGAGGAGACTTGCTTTGATTCTCATCAGTTTGATTGTAGTCGTGATGTTACTAATGACCATTTTGTTCTGTTTCATGAGGAAACGACGACGTAAGTAATTCTCTATGATGATGATTTTTTTGAGCTTTATATGGTTGCTTGCTGAGATCACAGCTAACAAAATGAAAACATGCACAAGTGCAGAGTCCAACAGGCATAGAAAACCTCCATCAATCTTCGCCCCGAGCTCTTTTGATCTTGAAGACTCATTCATATTAGAAGATCTAGAGGACAAGTCAAGAAACCGGGACTTGCCTATCTTTGAGCTTAGCACAATCGCTGCAGCGACTGATAACTTCTCTTTTCAGAACAAGCTTGGAACAGGAGGATTCGGACCCGTTTATAAGGTAAGGAAGAAGCAAAAAAACCATCTTCACACATGCCTAAGGAAGAGAACAGTCTTTTAAGTTTAATAAGTAGTAGGAAATGTTTCCTTTGTTTCTCTTCAGGGCGTGTTGCAAAACGGTATGGAGATAGCAGTAAAGAGGTTGTCAAGAAACTCGGGCCAAGGAATGGAAGAGTTCAAGAACGAGGTCAAGTTGATATCAAAGTTGCAGCATCGAAATCTCGTGAGGATCTTAGGGTGTTGCGTTGAACTGGAAGAGAAGATGTTGATATACGAGTATTTACCAAACAAGAGCCTAGACTACTTCATATTCCGTACGTTTAGCATTTCCAACACAGTTCCTTTCAGGAAAAACAATGGCTTTGCATTTGATTCACTGTGTTTTCTCTTCTTGTCGTCCTTTCTCTTAGGTGAGGAGCATAGAGCAGAATTGGATTGGCCAAAACGGATGGGAATAATCCGTGGGATTGCTCGTGGAATCTTGTATCTTCATCAAGATTCAAGACTGAGAATCATCCACAGAGACCTCAAGGCCAGCAATGTACTTCTTGACAACGAAATGATCCCCAAGATTGCGGATTTTGGCATGGCGAGGATATTTGGGGGAAACCAAGTCGAAGGAAGCACAAATCGAGTCGTCGGAACATAGTGAGTTATTCTTTCTCAATCTCTTCGATACTCTCCAGTCTTCTTTTATTTCACTCTGAAAAATATCGTTTCAATCTCATCGTCACAGTGGATATATGTCACCGGAGTATGCAATGGATGGCCAATTCTCCATAAAATCAGACGTCTACAGCTTCGGAATATTGATCTTAGAGATCATAACCGGAAAGAAGAACAGTACTATATGCGAGGAATCTTCGAATTTAGTCGGACATGTAAGTAAAAAACTGCAGTTTGATCCACATACCTTTTTGACTGGTAAAAGGAAAAAACAGAGGAACAAGACAATGGTGTGTTCTTTCGTCTTTGTAGATTTGGGATCTATGGGAGAAAGGTGAGGCAACAAAGATCATAGACACGTTAATGGACGTGGAGACTTATGACGAGAGCGAAGTGATGAAGTGCATACACATTGGGTTGCTTTGCGTGCAAGAAAGCGCTTCGGACAGACCAGACATGTCCTCTGTTGTGTTCATGTTGGGACATAACGCCATTGATCTTCCATCTCCGAAGCATCCTGCGTTTACGGTGGGAAGGAAGAGAAACTTCAAAAATGGCGGGAGCTCAGGTAATTGGCCCAGCGGAGAAACCGGTAGCTCTGTTAATGACGTTACTCTCACCGACGTTCAAGGTCGTTAAAAGAACCTTCTTGATGAATAACAATAGTAGTCTATAGGTATCATAAATTTATTGTAGCCATACTTGTTTATTTACTTTATAGAACGTTATTATTTTTATAAATGTATGCAAAATTATTTTTGTAAAGTTTTACAATATACCAAGTAGAAAAATAATATACAACCAGCATCAGATTGTTGTTTTGTGTGTTTAGATGGTAGAATTTCATTTATTTGATCCCGTAATTTTCGTATCACTATACAAACCAAATTGAGTTCAAAGATAAAAGAAAACTGAACTGATTCAATAGTCTAACAAAATTGACTGAAATCGAATAAATCGAAATCAATAAGAAATTCATTTTTTTTATTAAAAGAGAAATAGTAGATTTAGGAGAGACACATTAGCTAAAAGAGTCGAATTTTTTAGTCGCTTCTTCCACAAACAGGAGTATCACTCCTAAGCTGGAAAAAAAAAAGCAGATTTCTCTAAACACAGTCCTCCCATTGCATATAGCCGCTGCAGGATACATTTATTTACTATATTTCCTAATTTTTATGACTTCTTCTCATGGTTAACAATTGAACATACGGTTAGAATGGAGTTAGTTACTATGTTCCAACGACCCTTGGGGTGTTTGCTTCATCATCACTCCCTGGCCAACCCGAAATAAGGTGTTGCTGGCTTTGAGGTCTCTGTGAATGAATCTCAGCCTATAGAATTTATGTGAAGGTACAGAAGACCTACATATTCCATTTACTATGTTAAACCCATGTTTCTGTCATGTGTGCTTTGCATGATTGTGCTGACTTAGGGGACCTTGAGAGAGGAAGCTTTATCCATAAGTTAGCGGGTGAGCTGGATCTTGATAGAGTTGGATCTGAGCAAACTCTTTTTTAGATGCAGTTTAAATATTCAAAGTATTGTATTATATTCTGTAATATAACATTTGAGATCTTTTGATGATTGGTGTTTTTATGCAATGGGAGAGACTGTTCTTACGCTACCAAACAAAGATTATAAAATTTGTAATAGCTGCAAACTTCTGTCAAAGGTAAAAGAAGGAATGACTTGAAGTTAAACGTAAAGTATGTTTGTAGATAAGTATGAAATGGGTAAACATTAGCTCATTATTGTTTCAAAATATTGTTTCAAAATATGATAAATATGAAATACGTACAGAAAATCATTTTTGAGTAAACATAAAGGTATGTTTGTAGATTTTGTCACTCCAATATTCCTTTCTTGCTTTAATCTTTAATGGAAAAATCATGGTATGTGTGGTCTGGTCTCAGAAATCATGATCTTGTCCTAATTAATACACTTGTGTACAAGAACATGACAAGATTTGCATCAGAAAGTGAAATAGATTTTAGAAGAATAACTAAAAACTAATTAAATCTTGTTTCAAAGTAAGATAAATACCTTTGATTAAGGTGATCCTCAATCTCCTCAACATTCAATATTTTGGATGGATTAATGCAAAAATGAGTCATGTTTGTATTCTTCATAGACTTGATGTCCTTTCCTTTAACCCTGACTTAGAATCAGAACTGACCGCAATTCGTTGGCATAATCCACCTCCATATTTCTAGGGTAAGATTTGTTTAAAATAATTTTTTTTTATTTTTATTCTGATCATATTTAACATATTAGTTATTTTTGAGATAAAATATTTCTAAAACTTTAAAAGTGTCTTGCAGTACACTGTTTTTAAAAATGGTGTGCACAATTAGTACACAGTCACTTTATATCATCAATTATTATAGCCATATTTGTTTATGAGTCTATATATATATATATATATAATTATTTTATAAATATGTTATATTTGTAAAATAAACAAGAATGTTTTAAAATACTAACATCACATATCATATAATTGATCTCTTAATTCACGTATTAATAGACAATCTGAATTGAGTTAAGAAAAACAGACAAATCAAACTGAAACTGATTCCATACTTTGGTTTAGTAGAATCAAATTGATTGGAATCTGAATGATCCACATCATTTTAGAATTTCTCTCTTCAAAAACAACTATTGTTATATAATAGATTAACAGAACTATTAAAAATGTCAGTCGGACAAAAAGACCTATAAAAAATGAGGTTAACTCAGTCATGACATATAAATCTGCAGTTTTTATCATATAATTTTTTAAGGAAAGTTACATCTAATTATAACACAACTTATTTCAATACATGTTAGAGCATTAATTAAATTGGATTTAGCTTCGCTCATATGGGCTGAACATCTAGCTCGGCCCAAACACTAGGCCTATGATATATTTTTAAAAATGATGTCGTTTTGTTCTTGACACGGAGCAGGTAAAAATACCTTATCCCCTTCGAAAATGTCGAGAACAGTCTCTCAGCTTTCTGCAGTTGCAATGGCTTCCTTAACAACATCTTCTTCTTCTTCCTCGCTTCTCCCCAAAACCCTACTTCCCGTAAGCCACCTGAATCAGTACCCTACACTCTCCGGTATCCGCCTATGCGGCACATGGAATCCTCTGCTCCGGAGTATCTCCGCCGCCGGGTTTCGGCGTCGTATGGCGATAGTCAAGGCTGCGACGGTGGATTCGGATTACTCATCGAAACGGAGCAGTAGCAACGAGCAGAGAGAGACGATTATGCTTCCTGGGTGCGATTACAATCACTGGCTTATTGTAATGGAATTCCCCAAGGATCCAGCGCCAACCAGGGAGCAGATGATTGATACTTACCTTAACACTCTTGCTACTGTTCTTGGGAGGTCAGTTTTCTCTCTAATAGTTCTCTCCGTTTTTGATTAATATCGACAATGATAAGTTATGATTCTTTGATTGTAACAATCTCGCGCATGTGAAGATTTGGGATTCATGAGATTTGGGTTTTTCACTGAACTGAGTAAAACCTTAAGCTTGAAATTTGCTTTGAAGTTGATATAGCTTGTGGGCAAGTTTTCGGCAAATAGATTGATTTATTTTGAACTTGACTTGAAAATGAAACTCAAACTCGATATTAAGAAGGAGAACCCAAATCGAGTCTGTCCAGCTGCTTAAATATAAATCACTCTGCAATTTTACAAGTAACAAAGTAGAATAGTAGGCGATATCGAGCTAACCCAGTTACGCATATTAAAAGCGTTGTTGTTGTGGATTTGACAGCTAGAACACTGGGTTCATATGTGTACTTGCTGTTCTTGGAGCATCCACACTGGCACTCCTTATCGTAATTATGAATGAAAAAAGAAGGATTTGTTTTTTTTTGCATATTTTCCTTCAAGCTATGTATCTGTTTCTTTGTTAAAGTTGATGTGGAGAGTGTAAGCAAGTTATGTATGTAAAAGGTGTTTCTGTTGTACACTAGTAAATAGTAGTAGATTAGGACTCCTGAATAGAATTTCCTGGATAAGGCAGGCAATGACATTCAGTTTATTTGTTGCTGCTGCTGGCTCTTTTTAAGAGAACTTGAATCCTATTTACACTGTCGTGCTGCTTTTATAACCAATTGTGTCCATATTCCAGCATGGAAGAGGCTAAGAAGAACATGTATGCATTCAGTACCACCACATATACTGGATTCCAATGCACTATTGACGAAGAAACATCTGAGAAGTTCAAGGGTGAGTTAGTAGCTTCAATCCTGTTACTGAAAGTGTATATATGCTTGTACTCGTCGAAAACCTTCAAGATATTGACCGCTTAGTCTTTCAACTTTTCACAGGTTTGCCTGGAGTTCTCTGGGTTTTGCCTGACTCCTACATAGATGTCAAGAACAAGGACTATGGAGGTAACCAATTTAAGCCTTACTAGTAGTGATTACAATGTGTCTAAGATCTTGTATCCCTGTTCTGATAATTGGATGGGTTTTTGTTGGGGTTTAGGCGACAAGTACATCAATGGAGAGATAATCCCGTGCACATACCCAACATACCAACCAAAGCAGCGCAATAACTCCAAGTATCAAAGTAAGAGGTACGAAAGAAAAAGAGACGGTCCTCCTCCTGAGCAGCAGAGGAAACCAAGACAAGAACCAGCCGCTTCTGATTCCTCCTGAACGATGATAAGACAGGCCGTTGTACCGGAGTGTGTGAGATTTTGATCGATCGGTTAGACGGTTAGTCGCTTAGCTTATTCTACTCGGATGTAAAATCGTCTAGTATCCAATGATGATATAGTATATCATCATCATTCCTTGGAACAATGCTTGTGGTTATGTAGAATGGAAACTTGAACTAGTTTTAAGCAATCATGCTTTTGATTTTCGAAAAAACTACAGTATACATTATTTTCTTTTGATACTTTTGGTTCGATTAAGATTGAGAATATGACTACTGTATATCATCACATCAATTCTGTCTCAAAACAACAAAGGTTTTATTGTGAAGAGCCCATCATTTTGGGCCTGATTAGGCCCATTTTTAAATAACGGCGACCTAGGTTTTTCACTGCTTTTCTTTCTCCACTCTCTCACGGCATCGGAAAACTCCAACGCGAAACATGGATTCGAATCCAAGCTCGTTGTGGAGCAGCATAGTGAAGAAAAACCCGCCTTCAAAGCCTTTAGCCAGCGACGGAGCTCCGGCAGCGATTCCCGGTATATTCGGAAACTGCAAATCCACAAAGGGAATATCTACTGCTGTTCTTGATGCCAACGCCGTGATTGAAGGAGGCCAGAGCTTAACCAACCTCGCCGATAGACTCGTAACCGTCCCTGAAGTATTCTCCGAGATTCGTGGCAAGGCTTCGCGCAGTCTTCTCGCCTCCATTCTCTTCAAAACCGAGACCAGGGAACTTTGTCCTGAATCTCTTAGTAAAGGTATACATAAAATATGTTTGTGACTCTCTCCCTATTGTGAATTCAGTGGTGATATCTTGAGTATCTGACATTGGTTTTTTTTCCTGCAGTTGAAAATTTTGCAAGAGCTACTGGTGATCTGCAAACTCTGTCTGAAGTGGATCTCAAGCTGATTGCTTTGACATACACTCTTGAGGCTCAGGTTCATGGGACCAAAAATCTCAGAGACGTTCCTCCACCGATTCAATATGTTAAGGTAAATGGATTACCTGAAAAGGAATCACATCGCTGGGGCTCCAATGTGGAAACAGAGGATGAGCAAGAAGGTGATAGGAAGCATAGGCGATACCCGCCCAAGAAAACAGAGGTAAAGCTTGAGGGAAAGATGGTAGTGGAAGGAATAGATGCATCGCAGGGGGAATATGATGATAAAGATACTGGTGATTGGAAACCTGCAGTTAGTAGAAGCACTCACAGAAAGTTTCTTAGAAGAAAGGCGAAGAGGGAGCATAACAAGGCCTTGGCTGAACAAGAGATTCAGCGAGATCAAGAAGCTGATAAATCTGGAAACATGATTGTTGAAGCAACTTTGATTGATGGTGAGGATGATATCGATCATGAGGGGGTCGATGTTGCGAATCACGAGTTAGGAGAGGATATGGAGATGGCTAGTGAGGCATCATCGGTTGCAGATGATGGTAGCAGTGAGCAGAGTTGGTCGTTGAGAGACTTGACTGAGTCCAGTGTAGCTTGTATAACCAATGACTTTGCAATGCAAAATGTTATTCTTCAGATGGGTTTGCGTTTTCTTGCACCCGGAGGAATGCAAATTCGCCAACTAAACAGGTACACACTTTATGAATCAGATCTTTTATATAAAAAAAAGAAAGAAATTCGATCGACACTTTCTATGGCATGCTCATCATGAGCTGAGAAAGATACAATTCTTCTTACACTATTGCTTTTGCATCTTCAGGTGGATCTTGAGATGCCATGCTTGCAACACAGTAACTCCCGAAGTTCGAAAATGCCATGACTGTCTTGACATTCGAGAAAGGTTCTGTTTCAAGTGCGGGAATGGCGGTACACTACGCAAGGTGGCGGTTACAATAGGCGAGAATGGCACCATCATAGCTGCGCGTACACCACGTATTACACTTCGAGGGACCAAAGTAAGTACTCAGTTATAAGCAGAAACACACTCATATATGCAATGCAGGTCCACACAGTTACACATTAAAAGTTTTGTTTATTACTGAAGAATCATCTCTTCTTTATTGCTGTGTGCAGTTTTCGATACCAATGCCTAAAGGAGGAAGAGACGCAATCACCAAGAATCTGGTTCTAAGGGAAGATCAACTCCCTGAAAAGTTTCTCCATCCCAAGACCAAGAAGAAAGCAAGCAAACCGGTTAGTACGATACAAACTCAAATTCTATATAGCCTAGTGATAGAAAGAAAACTTCAGTGTAATCTCGGATTTGATTATATTGTTGTTTTTTCAGGGAGATGAGTTTTTTGTATCAGACGCTGTGTTCATGAACCATCACAGTGATAAAAAGGCACCATTGCAGCCTCCTATTAGAGAAGCCATGGCGGTTTTCAGCCAGAAAAGGAACCCTAATGACAACCATTACTCTCGTTCTAGGCACTGATCTCCTGATGTCAGTTTTGAATTAGATGTAATCACTCGGACAATCCTATTATATGAAATTCTAGTTTCAAGAAAACATGGTTCTGATTTTCGAAATAAATATTTATAAAAAAAATTTGATACTTTTTGGTTCGATTGATATTTTGAGATATATAATCAGTCAACCATATTAAGTTTTTGTTTTCTTGTTTGCTGTCATTTAAACCAGAATTATTGGTTAGGTTTGATTACTTTGTCCACCACTGGTTTCCCCACGTTTTCTTGATACCATTTTCAGACAAGACAAGAAACTACGTCTGCAAACAACTTTATTTATAGGGTCCACTACACACTTGTCACCATCTACATCGCTCGTCCCCATCTTATCAACACATCACATGGAATAATACACACTAGACCGACTTCAAACCAAACATTTCAAATCACTTTAATCATTCAGTGCTCCACCCAAACTTTTCAACGTCAGCTATAGAGAGAGAGAACTTCATTCAAAATTCATCGTTCAAGCTCTCTGAGGATCAATTCCCAGAGATGGCCAATTTCTATGGGAATTACCAGATCCCATACGATTCCAATCAGGTTAATCTCTATGATCATAACTATTATTATGATAATAACAATCAACAGCAGCAGTTTGGTTCCTATCCAACGAGTTATAATAGCTATAATAACTGGAATGGATCTGAGTATGAGACATCCTCTGCCTCTGTTGCATCATACTCTGTTTCTACCATGTCTGAGCCCAAACGCTCCTTCTATGATCATAACTGTTATTATGATAATAACAGTCAACAGCAGCAATTTGGTTCCTATCCAACGAGTTATAATAGCTATAATAACTGGAATGGATCTGAGTATGAGACATCCTCTGCATCTGTTGCATCTTACTCTGTTTCTACTATGTCTGAGCCCAAACACTTGTTCTATGATCCGAATTTATACACAACCTACGAATCTCCTCCTCAGTTTAGCATCTATTACTCTGTTCAAGGCTTCAACGAGCCGGAATTCGACGAGTACGATCCGACGCCGTACGGTGGTGGCTACGATATCGTTGCAACTTACGGAAAACCTCTTCCTCAATCGGTGGAAACTTGTTACCCTTCTTCAACGGCTTCTCTGGGAAAACCTCCTTCTCCTCCGGAGATTATCGCTCCTGTTCCTCTTGGAATCTATGAGGGTGGTGAAAATAAAGCTGTTAAGAAACGTGTAACTTTCGCTGAACCGTTAACGGAAGCCAAACCATTGGAAACCATTAAAGAAGAAAAAGAAGAAGATTATCATGAAGAAGAAACAGAGGAAGATGAAGAAGAAGAAGAAGATGAGGGGGAGGAAGAAGAAGATCACAGTTCAAGCTATGGAACTGTTAAATCTGAAGCAGTAGATAAATTAGAAGAAGTGAAAGCTCTGTATGTTCCGTCTGGTTACGGCTTAGAAGCGACTGATCTCTGCGAGGTGATATTCGGAGGTTACTTTCCTTGTGTGTTACGTAACAAAAGACGTCAGGAAGATGAAAAAGATCGTGCGGCTGGTGTTTCTTGCTGGGAAAGCAACGATTCTGATCCGTGGAAGACGACTTCCGACTACCTTTTCGGGGATTCGTATCCGTACGGATATGAGAATCGGATCGAAAGAAGTCAGTTCGAGATCTCCTCTTATGGTTATCGGAGGTATTAACCGGAGAGTTATCGTCAGATGTGTCAAAAGTGAGGTAAGAGCAACATTCTTTTGATTGAAGCTGATTTATTACTATGTATATATATATATGCTCTTTCGTTTATGGTTGGGCCCAAAGTTCTTATCAAAGATATTCGAGGTTGATCAATAAATGTTATAAAAACATTTCTTAGGAGACAACGATGGATAATCACTCCTTGCTATCTCTATTCCTAGTAGATTATAATAAGATTTTTTTTTTTTTTTTTTTAAGAGGAGCCCGTATCATATCAAAAATATATAGAATAAGGCAAGAAGCTGGTTTAAAAAAGAAAAGAAACAAAAATACTAGTAGTGGATTAAACAGGTCAGCTTGATGTTTGATGATATGTTAGAATGTGGATTATGAGGTTTCTGGTTTGTCCATAGGTCCTTTATTTAATTTCCACACTTCAAGTTATATAATCTATAACATAAAAAATTGCGTTACAATATAATGCAATGCAATATCCACGACGTCACCAATTACAGTATCGGCGAGAAGACCGGTCAAATATTCAAAGGTGCAAGCAGTTGTGTTGTATACTTGCCTAGTTACAAATTCCTCGTTAAGGCTTATTCAGGGTAGATTTTATTTAGGTTAATCATAGAATATTAGTAGCCATAACCAATTTGGCATTCAACTCAGAATAAAATGTGATTTCGAAAAAGTGTTCGTAATCATCAGAGAGAATAAACAGATTGTGAAACCAGAGAAAATATCATGAAATGTGAATGGTCTATAATGCCCCTACACACGTGTGAAAGTTCATGTTTTGGCTTATAGTGAACGCGACGCGAGTCGATCAGTCAGTCACTCTCACTCACCTTTTTCACTCTAAAAGCGAGCGAGGTTGCTTACTGGTGCTTAACGATGGCGAATCTGTCGCTAGGTTTTGGTGCGTTTGTGCTTTTGCTAGTCGGAAGCTTGATCAACGTTGCGGAGGCCGAGATTCACGAGTACGACGACAAACGGTTCACCAAAATCGCCAACGGTCTCTATGTTCCCGGTGGTAGCGAAGCTCTTTACGCTTCCAAGTTTCAGGAAGTCGGTTCTGCTTCTTCTTCTGGTACACATTCCACGGGAAAGTCATTTATCAGGTAACTTTCTCTCCTGATTTTGTTCTGGTTGAATCAGGGTTTTGTTTTTGTGAATCGATTTATTTTTTCAGTTAGGGTTTTCATGGGTCTTTGGCTGTTTCTGGAGTAGTGATCTTTTAGGCCTATAATCGTGCATATTCATATTCATATGGCTCTTTCTGCTGTCATATGTTGTTTGTTTCTATTTCTGCTTACTGTTTGTAGCATTTCGTATTTTCATGTTGTTCAGGTTTGATGAAATTACCTTTGTGAGGACAAAGGAAGCTGCTAGCAAACAGAAATCGAAGCTGGGAACTGCAGGATTGGTTGAAACTCTAGTGTTTGAGATAAAGGATCGGGATAGAATCGGTGGGTCTTCTTTCAAAAGTGATGCCGTATGTTGTACTCCAGAGCTTGCAGATGCTGGATCCTGCAATATGGGAGAGGTTATAATAAGGAGAGATCCCAGTGAACCTGAGTGGCCTAAGCGGATTCCAACTTTCTTTGAAGAGCACAAGGAAGAAATGAAGATGCCTCCTCAAGCTTTGGTGATCAACAAAACAGGACTTTATGCTGTCTACTTCATGACTTGCGACTCAGATTTGGATGGCACTGTAGTCAGAGGAAGATCGGTTTGGAAGAACCTAGGTGGTTTTCTACCAGGCGAGACAGCTCCTTTGATGAAGTTTTATGGATTCATGTTTTTAGCGTATGTGGTGCTTGGCCTAGTTTGGTTTCCACAAGTTGCTCAGTATTGGAAGGATGGAATCCAGTTGCATTGTCATATAAGCTTGGTAATTGCATTTTCCATGGGTGAGTTAGCCTTCCTGTACTTTGACTTCGCCTATCTCGATTCAGCTAGTACAAGTCCTATGAAGGTTACTCTCTGGGTAGTAACTCTTTCTGCCGTGAGGAAGACACTGGCCCGGCTTCTACTGTTGGTCATATCATCAGGGTATGGGATAGTGAAGCGAGGTATAACATTGAGGATGCTTCTTACTGGCGTCATCTGCTTTGTTATAAGTGAATCTCTCGGGCTTGCTATGCACTTTAGGAACATCTCTGAAGATGGGATGACTCTCTTAATGCTCTCTTGGGCTATACTAGAAACTTGCTTTCTCCAATGGATTTTTAGGTCCCTGTGGAAAACACTTAAGTATCTTAAGGTAAGAAACCTACAATACCTCTATTATTTGATGATTCATATAACATATTAGGAACACTGCTTGCTATGTGTCTATAAAATATGTGTCTATAAAATATTGCTTAGAATTATCTTTCCTGGTAAATGTTGAAAGTGGCAAATGAACCTTCGACGAAGATTCAATCTTCTTAGAATTTTCATCTCTTCTAATACCAGCTCCTTTTTTTGTTGTAGCTGAATAAGAGGAACATTGCTAAGCTGCAGCTCTACAAGAAGTTTGCAACTGTACTTGTAACCATGGTGGTGCTCAACTTTGCCTGGACTTGTGTGGAGGTAACAGCTCGCTAGTCCAATGATAACTCTGGAGAATCACTTGAAAGTGGCGAGTCAAAGGATTGTGCGACTGAATTCTTTTCCCTATTCATTTTCTGAATCAGGTACATATCTATGATTCTCTGAGTGAGCTTTGGCAAGTGCAGTGGATAATTCCAGCATTTTGGTATCTGCTTTCGTATGCACTGTTGGTAGTTATATGCTTCTTTTGGCCTCCATCCGAAAAACCAACTAGGTAATAATATCAATCTCTCTCAACCCTTTATTTGGCCTTTTATCAAATGGGTTGCTTATATGGCTTGTTTTAAGTTCCACATAAAGATTTATTGTGTGTTATAGGGTGTGAACTACTTATAGGTAATGAATAGAATTTGTAAACGTAATTTTCTCTGCTGCTGAGTGCTGACCATTGAGTTTTCTACAAATTTGAAATTGCAGGTACCTATACGTAGCTGAAATGGAGGAGGAGATGGAGGAGGAGATGGAGGAAGAAGATCTCTCATTGTTGGAAGCTGGGATGAACACTAAAGATGGCAATGTGGAGAGGGATGAGAGGAAGAGCCTTCTGGAAGCATTCATTCTATTGTTTGGGAATCTACCAAGGGAGAAGTGAAAAATCCTTTACACTTAGCTGGCATCATCATCATCATCGTCCTTAACCCAAGCTGCCTCCTAATCATCTTTTTCCAGCTTCGGGTTTGGTGTGTTTATGTTTTTAAACTCCCAGTATAACTAGAATCTTTTGCAGCAGACTTGAGATGCCAGTTTTCATTACTTTAAGAGGTTGATCTAGCTCTAACCGGATTCAATGTGTCTTAGACTAAAATCTTATGTAGTAAGCAGACTTGTTCGGTAACTGACATGTCAGTTTTATGTTAATATTGATTATCTTAAGATTTTAATTTTTGTTGGTAGTAGTAGACTAGTAGTTCAACTTATTGGTAAGGATGGACAAGTTGAACTAACACTTGGACGATTTAAACTCTTCAAAGTCGGAAATCGGAATCTTTCAAGTTCTCAACACAATATTTACTACCAGGAAGACAAACGGTAATATGAGCAAATCTTTCAATTCTCAACACAAAATGTTAATAACCGATTTTCTAAAGCTTTATCTCGATAATAGAACCGAATCAAACCGGAAGACAAACGGGGTTGTTAATTTGTTATGGACTAATCAATCAGATTTCATGTGATACGACATCGTTTTGAGAAGCCTCACACAGATAAGGAAACCTCAATTTTGTCAGATTTCACTCGGAGACGACGTCGTGTGGAGACGCCCCTCCTTTCTTTGGTCAACCCAGTAGCAGCTCCTCGTTAAAGGCCTCGTGTTCTTCATTTTTTTAAAGAAGCGAAGCGCCAAACAGTAAACCCTAAAATCAAAGGCGAGAAAAGACAGACAGACCAAGTCCAGGTTTCAGCTCAAGATGATTATCCCTGTTCGTTGCTTTACATGTGGAAAGGTTGGTCTTTTTTCCTTGGATTTGCTAAATTAGGCGATTCAAATCTTATGTAAGGGATTTCTCCGTCGTTTTAGGGCTTTAGTTACTCGAAATATGACAAACAAGAGTTCTCTTCTCTCTCTTATCTGATATGAATGTTTCATCGGATGAATACATTTTGTGGCGGTTATATAAAGTCTTTTCTTTTGAGTGAGAAAGCTTTGAGCTTTACTAAGCTTTCACTTTGTGATGTTTAGGTGATTGGAAACAAGTGGGATGCGTATCTTGATCTTCTCCAGCTAGACTACACTGAAGGGTAAGCTACATGATTATTCTTCTCGGTCTAATCATATTTTGTGCGAATATGTTAAGTATGATATTAGTAAACACCATTCCTCTAATCAAGAGTAAAAACAATCAAAGAGATTTGCTGTTGAAGGATTGCACTTATCTTGATCTTCTGTTTATGCATTATTGTTTCATTGGAAGAGACTATGTGCTGCCTAGTGTAATCTCTATGTGCCCATCTAATTTTGCCCTCCAGGTGTTTGTAATTTTATTTTATCTGTATTGTCAAACTAGAAAGTAAGACTTGTTGGCTTTTGATTGTACGTGTACCCATTTACATGATTCTTTTTGAGGAAATTTGAGTTCTTTGGTCAAACATGAGAGAAACTAGCCACTTGGTCTATCGTTTATGTTGAAAGATAATACGTGAAGAATGACATTAGTTAACACCATTCCTCTGATGAAAAACCAAATCAATCAAGGGTTAATGGTTGAAGACCTTAGCTAATTTTTCTGATGTTTATATATTATTGCAATTTGGAAGAGGCATATCTGTGCACATCTTGTTTAGTTTTGTATAATCTATTTCTATTGTTGTAGTATGAACAAAGACTCAATGGCTTCGAGTCCTTATGTTCCATCTGTTGAAGGATCTTAGCCCTTGGTGCCTAGATATTCAAACCGTGTTAGTTTTGCATTTCTCGTAATTTGCTGATCAAATTCTTCTTCTTTTTTTTGAGATAAAGAATGGCCTTTTAACTTCATCAAAGCATATTCTTTGCATACGCTTTCCTCGATGAGTAAAAAGTCACAATTTGTTTTTGCAGGGACGCACTTGATGCGCTTCAGCTAGTCAGATACTGCTGCAGGCGTATGCTGATGACTCATGTTGATCTGATTGAAAAGCTTCTCAACTACAACAGTATTCCCTCCAATCTCTATATGTTGTGTTTCGTTTGGCTCTCTATTGTCTTTTCTTTTTTTTTTCAATTTATTTACTGTACTTGAATACTATTCCTTGCAGCTCTGGAAAAATCGGACAACAGTTAAATGAGGATGCAAATCTGCTGCTGAAAGAGTGTATGATACTCTTTGTGTTTGGTGTAGAATCTTTAAATCGAATCATATGGGTTTTCGAGGACGTCAGTGATATTGTCATTAGTATGGAATTTTATGGGTGATTGAATGTTTGGAGTTTCATTAGTATAAAGGCGCCATGGCAATATTCTTACACTACATATAAAATTTTAACTACGTAAAAGCTACGACCGCTCGTACAAAAATTAGAAATAATTTCTTGTCGAACAAAACAATTGTACTAATAATTTCCCGTTTTGTAACATTTGTGGATATAATTGTACTACTGAAGGGAAACATTCCCATAAACCACCCACATGAGATGTGTTGGAGAAATTAAGATCCAATTAGTCGGAACTAAAACCAATTCGAAGAAAGAACGAATGAACAATGACTCAGTAGCCATTAATCTGTCTTGGTGTCGTCGTTGTCGATCCTACCAACCGAGAGAACGGTAACGGTTGCTGCGATTGGTTGTTACGGGTCATGTTAAATTTGTTGCTTCCAGTTCCGGATTTAGTGTCAGAGTAGGCTTGAGCTAGCTCAAGAGGAGAAGCTGCTTTCCCGGGACGAAGCCTTGTTCCATCTGGTGATTCCGGTTTCTGGGGAACCGGTTTTCTCCATGTCTCTGGTGATGGATGTCTCGTCTTCTCCTGAGTCTGCTGTTGCTGTCTTGTGCTCTTGATATCATTATCACGCCAGTTTCTCCTCTGCGTTTCCGATCTGGCAACATCGCTTACACCTCGAACGTCCTTTTGGTCGAATTTCCTCGTTCTCAGGTCACGAGGAGAACTCTTTGGCCTTTGGTTTGTGTGCTCTGGAACTCTTTCAATGGGTTTGATGACCATCCTATTGATATAAAAAAAAAATTAAACAAAAAAAAAGAACTTAGCATTAGATAGTTGATCTCATTGGAAATGTAAGAGTTGGACCACAAGACACTACACGCATAATGCGAGCGGCTATAGGAAATCCGTTCTACCTTTCTAACGGTTGCTCCAATTTGTGATGCTCCGTCTCATCAATGCCTCGCTCCTTCAACACCTAGTTGCAAAATAGAGGTTAAGAATAGGTGGTAAAACTAAAATGACTCTACATAGCCAAGAAATCAAATGATGATGAACAAACGGGAAACTTAACAAGGGAGAGGAGAGCTACACAACAAGACGAAACAAACCGAACTCACCAGCTCTCGTGGTCTAGCACCGCCAAAAACCGCACTTCTGCACCAGAAACAAGAAAACGTAAGCGCGTTTGACACACAATATATACATATGGCCAAGGGAAGCGGTCTAGTTGACATATTCTAGAGAAGTGAATGACAGAAAGCTAGTGAAAATAACTATAAACTAAATTCAATGTTCTAGTATTTTCTACCATCTTGGACTTCTGAGGATAGTTAGACACAAAGCCAATATCAGCATCTATTTCAGTTTGAATAGATACCAAAACGTGCCAGAGCATAATCCTTTCAGTATTTTCCATCAGCCAGTACAGATTTTGAAAAAAGAAGCAATTTTTCTGTATCACTACTTACGTCCCCAAGCTCCAAAATAATTATTACTGAGCTGGGAAGAACCAAGATAAAGTACCACCAAAGTTTGATAGAACCTTGAAAATCCTTACCTTTCCTTTTCAGTCTTAACTTCTGGTTGCTCGAGCAACTGTGTCACAGGCTTCAGGTACACCTTGGGCAACTCAACCGGCTGGTTAGAAATTTCATCTGCAGACAAACCAGGTTTTGAAATGTTCATACTTTTCTGTTTCACATAACCAGCTTCACGTTGAACAAGACTTGAAGCACCATTTTCCTGCAGATATATAGTTTTTTTTTCATCAGAAAACACAGTTGACCAAGAAGAAAACCTGAAAAGCAAAGAAACAGCTCAAAAACTTTGAATCAATACCAGTTTTCCATCATTCACAGGTTTCTCAACACTTTCAAGAGGTTTTGTCCGAGGCAGTAGGTTCAGCTTAGGCCGTTCCACGGCTTCAGAAGGGGCAATTGGTTGCACTAAATGTCCAGCAGGCCTAACGTCAGAATAACTTTGACGAGGCCTATTGCTGCCGTTTGCTACAACTTTTGCTTCCTTAACGTCCAAATAAGTTGGACCAGGGATTTTATCATACTCACGGGAGAACTTTTTCCCACCCTGGATCCCATCTTCAGCGATCAGGCCCCGTTCTACACGTGTTCCATGAGGCTCATCCCCTTGATAAGTCACAGGGTTATTAGTCAGATAGCCTCTGCTCTCTATCTCTGGATGCTTAACAACATCAAAACCCATCTGAGAAGGAACCAAAAGCTTAGTCTGCCATCTCACTTGCTCAAGCGCACTTGTATGGACCAAATTAGAAACAGGTGGTTGTGTAGTCCATGGAGACTGTCCAGGCTCATTGTTAGCCACTGGGACCTCCTTCCTCGCAGTCCGAATATTAGGGTGAGTTCCTGACACCGAGTTCTCGCCATTACCAGTCCCAGTCACAGAATGAGTCATATCACTCACCTTCCCAGGGAAAGGACCAGCCAGTGCTGACCAACCGCTATGTCTCCCAGTTAAAACCGAGTCTGCTTTGACCTCAAAACGGCTATTCGCAACCCGGAAAACATCATCACTGACCATTCGACGGGGAGCCGAGTGATCATCCAGAGGCTTCCGTTCATCTTCGTTGAAATTGCGTCCAATATTCGTGGTGTGAGGCAGAAACAGTGACTTATCATCAAAATTTCTAATGGTATGAGACGAACTCGGCCTTGTTCTCTGATCCGGTCGGCCGATCGAGTTTCCCAAAGGCGCTCTATCAAAAACAGGTCGATCCGCAGTAATCTTCGGAATCCTAGAACTCAAAAACGAAGATGTCAAAATCGCAGTCGCTTTTCATCCGATACGATAGACCTAAACGAATCAGAAAACAAAAATTTCGATACAGATCTAAGAGCTCTATGCATAAACGATGAATTTACCAGAAACAATCACTCGAATCTCACAAACCAAAACAAGGATTCGATTGATCTCCGATAAGCATACCAACTAAGAAACGATCCAAATGGGAGAAAAATAAAGGAGCAAAGATTTAAACGAATCCGAAGAGACTTACACTCCAGGAGCGGAAGGGAGAGGAAGATCAGATGGTATGGAGCCGCCATGGAAGTCCTTAAGCGTCATGGTTTTAGCAGGCGCTTTCTTCTTCGACATCGTTGCACAACTTTATCTGATCTTATCGCTTATTTTCCTCTCTTCTCCGATTGAGATTTGAGTTTTTGGCCGCCGGAGAAGGGAAGAAGAATACGAACACCACCCTTAATCTCTCTCTCGCTCTCAAGGTTCTTCGGTTATCGTCTGGTTCAGCTTCAGATTTTACTTCCTCAATGGACGGGAAAATGTTTTTCTTTTGGCCCCTTAAAAAGATCGAAAATACGAAATTATCCCTATTTCGTTTGATTACGTGGCAGGCAGATGTGCACGTGGATTTTACACATCTAGATTCGGCTGATGTTATACCATATTATCTCTTTGTTGGTGCAAACTCCAAACAGGGGAGATTGTGGGAGCCAAGTAGCCAACCTAAAAAAAATAAACGGAAGCAAACTTAAATGTATACAAGAAAATCGAATTGAAATTTGTTAATAAACCTAATATTTCAATAGGTGGCTGTTGGAGAAGATTTATTCTTTTAATTGGAGAATGATATACTCCATTTGTATCTTGGTCAAATATGCAATAACACACTTATGAGTTATGAGTTATGACGAGTAGATTATATGTATGGAGAAAGTGTATGCTGGTAAGGTTACTCGTTGAATCAAATATATGCATAGCTTAATTTTGTTGTTCTAACTTCAACGTTTTGAGAGTATATGACTCATAGCCACCAAATTCAAGATATTTGTCGGATTTCTGAATGATATCATCAAATTTTAAGGAAACAAATAATTAGATGGCATGTTTGTGTTGACTAGATTTTCCCAAAAGCACAAAAAAATGTGTTGTTCGTAACCTTTAAAGTTGAGAGCGGTCAAATGCTTGAAATTAACCACTTTGAATTTCTTATCACAAATTTCTTTACAGTTGATAGTAAGACTTGGAATTATTTATGAGGATTACCCTTTCTTTCTTATCAGGTTTACTTTGAGCGGGTCTACATAAGCTGAGTTGTGGTCCCAAGAACTTGATAGCCACAGCATAGTCATCTTCCTCAGGAGATGAGCAAGACATGGCCATGTTGGTAACAACTTGCCATGAGGTAAGAGTTACAAGAGGAGGTAATGAGATGCGTTTCGGGTCTATAAATCCGATGCACTTGGGTTTAGATCATCTTGGAAACGCATTACACCGTATTTCAAAGTAGATATTCATCCTGTGATTCTCCAACAACTCTAGAGGAAGATGAGAAGCACCGAACACTGGGGTGTCTCTGAGAAACTGTAGTAATCAGACATTATCAGAACATTATAAAAAAGGACAAAATGCGATTGGTAAGAGAAGAGAAGAGTAGCTTACGAGCAAAGGTTTCGGAGGGACAGAGCATTGTCCACCAAGTTTTCCATCTTCCTATTTTGAAGAACTCCAACACTTTTAGCCCATACGGCCAAATAAATCTATAAGCCCACCAAATTTTGTAACAAAGAATAAATTTAAACAAGAAACAAAGGTTAAAATTTTGCATATGGTGGCAATTTTTTTTTTTCATGGCTTGAAGATTATCACAAAGCAAGGTAACAGAGCTTTAGTACTCAATAGATAAAGCTCTTCAACTCTAGAACTTGGTCCCATTTTCAAAGCCAATGAATCAAATTCAGAAAACCCAAAAGGATCTTCAAACTTCTGCATAGGTTTATGAACCCTCCCTGCAATAACTCTACATAGCACAAGAGCTTTCAAAGATCCTCTGTTTCTTCCTTGATCGATTTCGATAGATTCAAGAGCTGTAAAGCTATTTGATGCTGTGAAAACCCCTTTAATCCCATCTGGTCTTGTTTTAGGATTGAACCCATTTCTCAGAATATGACAAACTCCACATTGATCCGAGAAACAGAGGTTTGAAGAGCTCTTGCTCAAACCGAGCGCGCAAGAAAGAGCTGTACCGTGAAACCCAAGCAACTCGTTCCCATCAGCCATACAGCGAGAGTGTTTCTTCGAAAGCTTGTTTGCTCTTATTTTCACGAGTTCTCTGTAGTCTTCAAACTCCGCAACGACTCTCTGCAAGTTCTGGATTTTCAAAATCGCCGAAATAGTGTTCCCTTTCGATTTGGCAAGCTTGTGAGAATAGCTTGTATTGCAGATTAACTCCACAGTTGTTCTTGAGAATTCTCCTGGTAAGAGTCTAGTGACTGCAAAAGAAAAAAAAAAGAAATCGAATTCTCTATAAGACAATGACCAAAAATCGATGGAGAAAGAGATCTATTCGAATTTTACCAGAGTGATTACTAAGGTAATGCGTCTCAAACGCATCAAGATCTCTGACTCTCTGTTGACATTTCCGACAAGAGAGAGCTCCAAAACCGCAGATGTCAGAGCCAACAACATCAAATTTCTCAGAAGAACAACGAACGGTAAGTAAATCTGAAGAAGATGCTCCGCTGAGAAAATCTTTACATCTGCCAGAATTATCGGCACTGCCCTCAAATTTCATTGTGTTTATAAACTTGGAGCTCTCAAGAGACCTTGAGCTGAAGCAGCTTGGATTCTGCATAGCTCGTTCATCTCCATTAGTGACCAAGACATTTCTCAGATTCGACATTGATCTTGAGCACCCAGATGGGTTCTTAGTCTTCTTGATTTGGTTCTTCTCTGGATCACCAGCGTCAGTTGACTTCTGTGCATTGCAGCAGCTAAGAGACTTCTTGAGATAAATCCAAACTCCAGGCATGTTTGTTCAAGATCCGTCTAGGATTCACAAGAAGATTTGTGAATTATTTTGGCTTTTGGTTCGGACATGGCTCTGTTTTCTGTATCTTCCTGCTTCTTCACCATATCCGCACAAGCTGTTTCCAAAATTAGATTGAAGATTTCCATAAGTGTAAGATATCATATCACACCATAATAGAACCAAAATGAATTTGTTTTTAGAAATAGAAAATCCACAGCTTAAAAGCATTAAATTAACGTTTATGTTAATAAGCTGATCAAATCTTAACCAGGTATGATTCTTTTCCAGTTACAACCTGGAAAAAAATATATTAATGTAGCCTATATGATTGATTACAGAAAAAAAAAAGAAAAAAAGATATGGTAATCATACTTTTTTCACTTCTCTTCACGTTCCAGAACAGAGTATAAAGCCACATGCTGCTTCTATTGAGCTTAGACTTTTTTGAAGTAAAAAGTCAAACATGTGATCAACCTCTGAAACTCATATCTTTATAAATATTTATTTAAATTAAATTAGTTTATAAGAAATCATTCAAATTAATAACATTCTATATAAAAAAGAAAAGGAATGAAACTTTACTTACTTGGTGAGATCAAAACCGAATCTCTCTTTAGTCTTTGCAGTGAGAGGAGAGGCTTAGGAAAGTAATCTGATGCTGTTTCTTTATTCTTTTCCTCTTCCCTAACACTTTCATCGAACAATGGAAATAAATACAGTAATGAAAATTGAAAAGACGGTTTTATGAAATAAGAAAAAATGGAAAGCGAACTTGGCTTCTTGGTTTCTGTTATGATCATATGTGCAGACATTACAGCTGCAGTCCTTGGGATCGAAGCCGAGATTGCTCAGAGCAAGGTTATAATCTTAATTACATGAATAAAAAGAGTTTCATTACCAATAATCTTTTCTTGTATTTGATAGTTATCCTTTGAGACAGCAACATCATCATCATCAACAACAACAACATTCAAGACATCAGGATCATCATGGATGTCAAAAAACCCCGAGCTCTGGAGCTTTTGCTGAGGGAATAGCTGCAATGGTGCTTCTGTTGATTGTCCATGTCACAGCAAATGTGCTTGGAGGCTGCACTTACATTCGCACTAACCAAGATTTCAAGAGAGCAACGGCGAACAAGATACTCGCAGTGGCTTTCCTTGTTCTCTCCTGGTAATGCAAAGATGAAAGCATCTTTCACATTTCATTCAACAAAATTTTGATTTTTCAAGGAACTCTGCAACTGTGCTTTTGACATACCATTCTTGTTTTAGGATCTTCTTTGTTGTCAGCTACTCAACGCTGATGTTAGGTACATTGGCCAACTCGAGATCGAATAGATTCTGCAGCTTGCCAAGTCGTTGGCTCTTCCTTATTGGAAGCATATTTTGTCTAGGACATGGACTGGTGACTTCAGCATATTATGTTTCAGCCATTGCTACTAAAAAAGAAGACAAAGAGAATGTGCAACAACAAAATCCAGCAAATACAAGCCGCGCATAATGTCCTGTCTTTTCGACAAAACATGTTGTGTATGTATAAAAATTAACAGCAGAACACTTAAATTGCTTCACTTATTAGTTAAAACTGCTCTTGATATTATTAAATCCGAATATATCTCAAAATGAAATCATGGAGGATCAATAGAAGAAACAAAATAAGAAAAAGGCCAGAGTTCTAAGCAAAAGAGGCCTAACCAAAAACAAGAACAAAAATCCATATATCTTAAGGGTTTGGTCGAGATGCTATAGCCATCTTTACTAACACCTTATGAATGATACCAGTCTTCTCCTTTGCTTCTTCAAGCTGCAACACGTGCAACTGGTCCTCAAATCTCTTCTTATCCTCCGAGGCAAGACGACTCCAACATTTTTGAGCAAGATCGTGATCCATACCGAAACGCACTAGTAATTTAACAACACCTGATTCTAGTACTTAGATTGTATTGGAACTGAGATTTCTACTCCACTTCCTCTGTTTAATATATATAGTGAACAAAAGAGTCTCTTTGTTTTCCCTCAATTTGATTTTTCAATATTTTCAGCATTTATTAGGGGATTTTTCTTCTTTTCTTCTTCTTGACGTTTGGATTTCCCTTCCTGTAATATGGAAAATTACTAAATTAGCCACTTTTAGATATTTAGTTCACTTTTTGTTTTTGGTCTCAAGATATTTTGTTCACCAACTATGTAATCTTGTAGATACGTGATTTTTGAATTACATAATTTTGTATATTGACTAACTATAATCGTGACTATCACCAAATTATGCAATTCAAAATCATATCAAATGAAATCGCGGGTAACAAAAACGTTTTGTCTTCTTGCTCTTAAATCCCCTTTTATGGTCAACGCAATTTCTTAAAATTGTGTTTTCCAACTTCGTAATATCTAGTACCGATGTTTTCTTTAAAAATAAAATATCTAGTACTATCTATGTAGTGCAATTTACTCCATCTGTTTCATTATAGTTGATTTTCTAGGTTTTTTTTCTTGTTTCATAATATTTGATTTCTTACATCTAATTAATGCATATTTTTTCTTTAAATTAAATGAATAATATTAATACTGTTTTACTCTATTAATGTACCGTTAGAAAAGAAAAAATAATAACAAAAATAATGAAATCAGTTGTAAAAGTAACTTAATTAACAAAAATAAATATTAAATAATTGAGTATTTATAGCTTTCTTAATTTATGTGTAAATATTCAGAAAATCAACTATAATAAAACAGAGGGAAGGAGTAATTTTTAGTTGTTTTCCAACTTCGTAATATCTAGTACCGATGTTTTCTTTCAAAATAAAATATCTAGTACCTATGTAGTATAATTTAATTTTTAGTTAATCGTTCAAAAACAATGGGACGGTCACACTTCTATGACTCATCCAATACTTTGTCATCTTTGTCCCATCATGCAAGTAGATAAACACTGAATCACCGAATCGTATTATTTCTTTTACAGGGGAAACAATAAACCAAATTTACAGGAGAAACAAGAAAAGCCAAATCGTTAAAAAAAAGAAACAAAAAAGGCTTGGAGAGATGGAAGATCAAGAACTGCAGAAGAATTCACGTGTTGTTAAAGTCGACTCTGAAGAATCATGGAACTTTTATGTGAGCCAAGCCAAGAATCAGGGTTGTCCTGTAAGTCTCTATCTTCCTCTTTATCACTTCCTTCTTCAGGAGCTATTATCATAGCCAAAATGAAATCTGATTCAGATCCAGACCCGTGAAAGGATTGGATTTATATTTGGTTAAAACCGATCATTTGAAAAGATTAATTCAAAGATAAGTTCTGGCTAGATGATTTCTCAACACATGCATGAACCACCACAGGCAATATATTGTTACTCTTAAGATATGAACTATTGAGAATGAACCAGTATTCATGGCTCTGGTTTGCTTGTTTTTGTGAATTGCCAACAAAGGTTGTTTTCTTTATGGTATTTACAGATTGTGGCTCATTTCACAGCATTATGGTGTGTTCCTTCTGTGTTTATGAACTCGTTCTTCGAAGATCTTGCGTCGATCTATAAGGATGCTCTGTTTGTCATAGTTGATGTTGATGAAGTCAAGGTAAATATACTTATGTCCATGGCTCCTTGTTAAAAGGATTTTTTTTTATCATAAAGAGTAAAAGAGTACTCAAAGAAACATTGTTTCTTGACATTTGTTGTCAAATTGAATTGCTAGATAATTTATACTTTTTGTTATTTTGTTGCTATGTTGGAATCGTCAGGAATTAGCGAGACGGTTAGAGGTGAAGGCGATGCCGACTTTCCTGTTCTTGAAGGATGGTAATACGATGGACAAACTTGTAGGCGCAAACCCTGATGAGATCAAGAAAAGGGTCGAAGGTTTCGTTCAGTCCTCTCGCGTTGTTCATGTTACTTAGAAAAATTTAGTGATCCATGGTAAGAGTGCTCAATCCCAATAAGGTTTGTGTAAAAGTGTATTTTAGTTTGCGACTTTGGAATATGGTTTGTGTGAAATTGCGAGTGTAAGTAAGTGTAAATTTGTTTCTAAACTTTTGCTTCGACTATGGAGCTTTAAGGAACTGGAGGTATATATGTTTTATATTAAAAAAATGGCTAAATTATTTTGTTGATGACTTAATCATTCACATTAATGTTGTGCTACCAAATTCTTTTTATTGAGATTACAGTATCAGAGACAGACTGGTAGCTTAGCTCAGATCATTTTAAAAAGTCCCAAAAAAAAAACATAACCAAGATGAGGTTGACCAAATGAAGCATGTAAAGAACTAGTCTTTTTGTTGTAAATCTCAACAGGGTAATTTGAAACCCATGTATCGACCAGACACAAAATCATCCCAGACTTTAAGAGCTCCATGTGTTGTCATCAGTACAGTACTCAGTCCCATGACGATACCAACTGCAAACACAATGATCGAAGCCCTCCCATACTTGGCTATAACCTTCTTAACCACCATTAGTCCGACCAGAGACGCTACAAAGCAGACCAGAGCGAATATGGCAGCGGTTCCAGCGTGTTCCATACCCAGTAATAGGTACTGGATTGCAGACATAGTTGAAGAAAACAGAACCATGAAAGAACATGTTGCTGCAGTTACCTGTATAGAAGATTTGAATCATGATATTTCATATGTTTTACGATATAGTCCAATCTATAGTGTTTAATGTTGTAAGCGCCTAGAACACCTAAAATCACATAGGCCTGATTTGGTGTTCTAGGCGTCGTCCAGTTAGTGACTACAACATACCTCAGGAGCAATACCAATTTGGAGAAGAAGAGGACTAATAAGCATTCCACCGCCAATACCGAAAAGGCCACCCAAAACTCCTGCCAAGAGAGCCATTAGAGGGAGCATAAACTTGTCCGTTCTTACTCCATGGCTCCTTCTCGCATCTCCAATCTCCTGTGGATTTCAGTTTCAGATTCATTAAAGCTGTTGACTTTGACTATTAAAGCTAATTTAATCAAATGGTTAAGACCCTTTCATTGTCTTGGTTATGTGATGTGTGGCTGCTTTGAACACTGTCACTGAAGCAAATCCAGAGAGTGAAAAAGATAGTGAGAGGTATCTGCAGAGACGAGAGGATCCAGTAGAGAGCTCCACATGGCTTGATCGATATGATTCCCTGCAAATTCCAAGGTATGGACTTTCACCAATTTACATTCAAATATTCCACCATAAGTTCATAATGATTTCAATATTTTAAGGGGAATTATAACACTTTATGAGTAGATGACATTTAATTTTTGTATGAGAAAGAATAGATTTTTCACTGTGCAAGCAAGTGTTAGTTTGTTACTTGGCCATTCAAATGCAAAATAAGGCCTTAATTTTACAAAACTTCTATGGTTTCATTTTGTGTGTTTTTATTAATATGAAAATCACCAAACAAAATTTATACCAAAATAAGGCATTTCAATAACATAGACCAACAATTTAAAAACTTTTTGGCAGTCAAATTTTTCCCAAATCATTTTTTGACGTCAAACTTCTAAATATCTACGTTTGTGTACATATTTGCAATTTTGGCGTCATAAATATTTAAAAGTTAGTTTTTTTTTAAAGTGAGTTAGTTATATTTGGAGGGAAAGTGGAAACAGAGACAAAGCTTGAGAGTTGTTAGAATTCAGGAAGAAAAAACACCATTCGAATCGTACCTCGCCGTATTTATTTCCTCGAAAGAGATTAATGGAGAAGAACAATAGCCAGATAATCACCAAAACTCCGAGCTTCATCCATGGAAACCTGATCTCTCTTCCCTCGTCTTCTCCTTCGTTACTCAGAAGCGGCGATCTCGCTCCTCCCTCGTCTTCGTCTCCCTTTCTACTCCCAACCTTCGCTCTCTCCGATTCCATTTTCCAATAAAAAATCCCCTTTTTACAAGTCTTCATCGTCGACCACGCGAGGAAGACGGCGAAGAGTGACGTCACTAGCCAATTAGGGGACACACGGTTACAGATCACTCCGATGCTTACTCCGAGAAGCAGACATGGCTGAAGAGTTAGCGCCAGATCGAAATCGATTAAGGTTTTGCCTCCCGATTTAGCGTTTCTCACGAAGAGATTGCATCCGACGTTCGCGACGGAGACGCCGGTTACCATGAACGCCGAGAAGCTCGACGCCGTCTTCATTTCGAGTCCGGCGACGATCGTCATTATTGAGATGAAGAGACCTCCGCCGCCGATTCCTCCGGCGCTGGAGATCGAGGCGGCGAAGAAAGAGAGAACGGCGGCGATTATTGTTGGGATGGAGAATTCGATCGTGGTTTGGTTGGAATTCGCCCGGAATTGGAGCCATTGGCTTGTCGTGTTGAAGAAAATTGAAGTTTCTGCTGTCTCAGATACTGCGATGGCGGATAGGTTGAAGATGATGAACAGGGAGAGAAGTACAGGAACCAAATTGATCCTCATTTTCTTCAGTTATGGGGGTTTTCTGTAACTTTTCAAAAGTTCTTGGGGTTTTTTGTTTTGAGCGGTAGAGTTTATATGTGCATTATTGATTTGTTTATATAAAAGAATGAATCAATGGAATAGTCTTCCATTGTCAACTTGAAAGAAGAAATTGTGGAAATGGAAGGAAATGAAGTCTACTCAAATTTAAAACAAGGTATTTATTACGTAGTTAATTAATTAAAGACTACTTGGAGAAAAAAATAAGTAAAGATGACAATGAAACTTTCATATTTTATGTTTGTAGATCTTGTGGTATGTTGCATGAGATATTATACCATATATATATATATATATAAATAGAAATGATGAAATCAAATTTAAACAAATGGAAGGTGACCAAATTAACTCTAATATACATAGTGTTCAGCTCTGGTTAGCAATGCAAATTCCAGTAGAATTAAAATTGGCATGTTAAGGTTTGACTTTTGATCTTCGAAAAAAAAATCTATTGGGACATCACACATTGAGCCCTCTTGGTACCTAAATATATTGTTAATATTTGCATAGCCATGATAGCATTTCTTAATTAAATTGATATATAGATTAGATTTTTTTTTTTTAGTATATGGCTATATAGAAAAGAGTTAATTATATACATATATTACCATCATCGATCAAGGGCTCTTGCAAGGCTAATAGCCTGATAAGGTGAAAGATCCATGGTCTTAAATCTGTAGCCTATCTGAGGAAAGAGCAAAGCATAATGTTAGAACATACACCATAATGTTTTGGGGATTATGTAAGAAATGATCGTTACCTGAAGCGAAAAATGCTTTTTATAAAAAAATTGGAGGAAGATTGGCAAGCGCCTAATCTTTGAACGTACAACACGCTAATCCGAGGTAATCTTCATGTTGGCGATGTAATTACTTCATCTGAATCATTGAAGAAATAGGTTTTCTGGTGATGCTTCTGCTACAAAGTTGGTCATTGGTGTTATCGAATGGTGTATTGGACAAAAAAATTCTGGTTATGCTTTTTTAATGACACACATGCTTTCTTCTATGAGGTATTGCGACTGTTTTGTGTCTGAAACCTTAGATTTTAACGATAAGAAATTTCATTTATCAATGAATACTTGGTGAATTAGCAAATGACTATTAGTCTATTTACCATTACAATGAATAACAATATTGAGAAGTAAAGTTATGAAAAATAGCCGAGTAAATAAAATAATTAATTAAATAAATTAACAGAGACTGTAATCCAGGAGAAATGAAACGCAAAAAAAAAAAGTGAAAATTATTACAGCAACCATTTCCATATAATACTTTACTTGAGAAAAGAAACAAAAATGGATTTAAGCCCAAGGGCTAATGGAACACTCCCAAGGAAGTTTAGGGAATCTCTCACGGTCCTGGCAATAATCGTATACGACGAGATTACGCTGCACCCACGCATAATCCATCTTCTGTGTCTTGGACAAATGCCACGCGTCGTATTGGTCCCACCAGTTGTCCGTGGTGGTGGAGACGCAAGCAGGGAATGGATCCTTCCAACGGCAGCCATCGACGGCGAAGTCCTTGTAGGAAGAGACGAAAGGAGCTTTCTTCCAGTCGGTCTTCTCGAGGCCGCCACGTGTCGCCCAGTCGTCGGCGTTCCAGATGCTAGAGAACAAGTACATCGGCTTCTGGTTCGGGAAGAAATCGTTGTTTGGTACCTTGTCGCTGTTCTTGTACACTCTAATCGGTACTCTATCCACGAAGAACCTGTGTGTTTGCAATGGATTCATTTAACCGGATTACACATTGTACCAAGCTTTTTTTTTTTTTGGTCAAGCAGAAAACATAGTACCAAACGGTTAGATTAGCTTCCTAGTTTGATTTTGTTGAAGATTGGTTAAGGTAAGCTAGATTTCCCCGGTTTTTAATTTGTCAAATTTATTAATATAAAAAGCTTATAATATAAATTAAACTTGCAATCGGAATCTAGTCTGAAATTAATTTGTAAACTAAATTAATTTTGTTCCGAGTGGAATGTTGGTTCAGAATTGATTTTGGTTTGGTTCAGCTGTTACTTTTGTTATGGCATCAAACACATATAGGTAGATCCTAAACCTCAGCTAATGGTTTCTAGCCAAAATTGCCGGTTGGGTTTGGTTATCGGCTTAGCCAGTTAAGAGATGACTTACACGAGCTGGTGGTTATTCCAAAGAATTGAGTAGGTGTGGTAATCCTTGGTTGGGTCAAACCAGAGGGAATGTCGCATCTCCCGATTCCCGGTTCCGTTCTTAAACACATTGGTCTGAATTATGTACGGGTCTCCGGTCCGGTTCCCAAGAAATTCGAAATCTATCTCGTCTCTCTCCGGTCCTGCCCCATTCTCCGAACACATCTGCTCATAAAACCAAAAAAATAGATTAATTACATAAAAAGAAAACTGTTTATTTTCTTCACAAAAATTGAAAAAATTATTAAATAAAAACGACGACTCACGTAGTAAGCGGTGACGACGCCTGCGGAGTCGCCACCGACGAGTTTTAGCTTCATACTGAACCATCCGAATCTGTACATGTGCTTTGTCTGAAACCCACATCCTGTTTTATTTCATCCATTCATAATTCAAGCTTTTTTTATAAAAAAAGAATCAATCGAGAGATTAATTCAATCATGTAACGTTACATGAAATTTATAAATGTATAAGATTAAGTCGGAAGAGTTTCGAATTAAAAAAGACTGTGATACATTGTTTTTAAAACCGGAGATTTCCGGTTAGCGAATTCGAACGTACCGGTATCGTTGTCTAAGGAGAGATTCCAGATCTGCCCATCCTCGGAAGTCGTGAAGTGATTTTCAGACCACATGATGTTGAAGTTGTCTTCGAACGACTGTATCGGTGTTGCTGAGATAGAGGAAGACGCCATTAGAGCCGAAATGAACAAGATCAGAGCCGCCATGAAAGAACAGCTTGTGCTTCTTCTTCTTCTCGTCGCCATTTGTTGTGTCTCTGCTTCGTGTTTTTCGAAGAGAGTGGGAGAACGTGATTTCACTGGTTCCGTGAGTGAGAAGACGATGGAGCTTTATTGCTTTAATTTAAAGACCGGAAAAATTTACTGTTCTGACCATTAGCAAATTCTTTTTAAAATTTTATATTTTGTTTGGGCTTTGGATACGGTTTATTTCTATTATTTTTCATATAATAATATGCTAACCATTATTAAAAAGTTATAAAGGAAAGATTGATTACGGAATAGAGAAAATCAACAGTAAACTCATGATTAATACCACTGTAACTGGTTGGTTAGATTGAACTTAATACCCTCGGTTTAGCTACTTAATCACCGACCGGTTTATTTATTGTGAATTGAGATTGGTCATTGAACTGTATATTGATGACTGATGAGCTGACAGGGGTTTTCTGGGAATTATGAAAATAACAAGAGAACATGGAGAATCATTGGACCGCCAGGCTGCCACCAAGTGGAAATGTTCATGTAAATGCAAAAAATACAAGAACATTATTTAATTCTTTGTTTTTATTTTGTTTGTCAACTATATAATCCTTTGTTAAATACTCCATACAAGTAAATCTTATACAGTTAGCTAAATTCCACAAAAATATCTATGATAATACAGATCTAACAGCAACTGGAATGAAATAATGACAAAGCTGCATCTGTAGTTTAACACCAAATGTGAAGTTTGGTCAAATGACATGTACACATCTTTTGACAAAAAAAAAGACATGTAAAACATTTATTTCGAGTTTCTTAATTTGATTTTTTTTTTTTTGGAATTGAAAATACTTCACAAATTTTGATGAATCCGAAAAGTTAAACATGTCTTTTAAATCTTATTGTAAAATCGAGTTCATCCAAAAACTAGTGTATTTTTTTTTTTTTGTAATCAAGTGATAGATCATATATATATTTGAAGAAACTTCTTCGTGAAAACCATGTTCATCAAAGAAATTAACCGGATAAATCCAGTATTAACTAAATAATAGTCATATATCACGTATGTGACAATCTTAGTAAAGAAAAAGAAAAAAGAAAAAAGAATAGGCAACATGCTTCGGACCATAATATTTTGTTCGGCAAAAGAGTTTGCCTCTCATCTTTTGGTAGCCCGAGACAATGCACGTGAAACAAGCACGTTATGAAAAAAGATAGTGAAGATAATACACCTGGGTTACTATAAATTATTAGGTTGTCAAAAATTAGTATATTGGACTGTCCCTTCCATTATCCAGTATTCTATACATCTTTACATATTAAGTATTTTCTTGTATGGATTTAAATTTTCAGATCTAAGATAGGCAGAATGCTGCTGTTACGGACTATTATGAATTTAAGATTACTATAAAATTAATATGCTAAGGCCATGTTTATTGCAGGTATCTAGTTGGGGTTCTACTTGCTTTTTGGCCCAAAATAAATCAAAAATCGGATTAGTCGCTTTTTGGCCCAAAATAAATCAAAAATCGGATTAATAAAGAGAAACGATTCTTGTTTTAGATTTTTAAAGATCAATTCTACTTGTGGACGTGTCTGATAGGCTGTTGAAATTTGGGGAAAAAATGGACTTCATCAATACTTTGTTTTCTCCGTCAAAAATTTCTTTCTCTCGGTCGATTCTTCTTCTCCTTCTCCGGTCTTCTTCTTCTTCTCCGTCTTCTCCGATCTTCGTCTTCTCCAATCTTTGTCTTCTCCGATCTTCTTCTTCTCTGATTTTCTTCTTCCTCGATATTTTATTTCTCTATTGAAGTGATTCTTTTCTGATCTTCACCACACCGTTATCCCGTCAAATTCTTCCCATCAAACATTTCTTCTTTTGTCTTCCAAATTCTGTTCGAAGCTTCGTCCTTCACCTTTCTCTTCTATCTCTTTCCCGTCAAATTCTTCCCCGATTAAACACACACCTAATAGAGTTTCTCCCAATATGCTTTCTGAAATTCATGAATTTTTTATTGAGTTTCTTATTTTAAGTTAATTAATATAATATGCTTAAAGAAACCCAAGTGGTTTCCAGCGATAAACATGCACTAATGTAGTGACTTACGAGATATGGAAAATTTTGACAAATGTGTATGGTCTAGTATATGTATATAACTCTCTAACATTTACTTGTGTGAAATTTTTCTTTTCTTTTGGAATCACCAGTTAGCTATCAAGACCAAACTATCAATCGTCTATTTTTATATATACGAAAAATGGTGTGTCCTATGTTTCCCTCTTATATATGATATCTCAACATGTCAGTCCTAAATAGAGAAATCAAACCTCCGAGTCTGTCTATCTAATAATACATAATATTTAGTTTTATAATTCACTGGTTTAGCAAAAGGACAGTTTGGCCGAGTGGTCTAAGGCGCCAGATTTAGGCTCTGGTCCGAAAGGGCGTGGGTTCAAATCCCACAGCTGTCAAGTAGTTTTATAATTTTTCGTAATCTAAATCCTCTAGTTTGTGGAGAAGGTTTCAATTTTCTTGCACCAATAAAACCCCTTGATTTTAAACATTAACGACGTCGTCCAGAGGTTACACTGGGAAAGCATTCTCAGTTCTTCACTTCACTATCTTGCGGCAATTCCAATTTCCCTCTCTCTCCTTTTTTTTTTGTTTTGCTTCCCAATCCGATCGGTGAGATCGATAATGGTGGTGGGTACAAATCTAGCATCTCGGTTCTTCCTCTTCACAGCGTTATTATTTGCCGCACCGATATCGTTCGCGGATTCCGAACACGATTCAGATCTCATCGCCGAGCTTATTTCGCTCCGATCAGCCGCCGATTCAGGCGTAATCCGCCTCGATGACGACGGCGTTTCTAGATTCTTAACCTCCGTGTCCACTCCCAGGCCTTACTCCCTCATCATCTTCTTCGACGCCGTTGATCTCCACAGCAAGAGCGAGTTCCGCCTTGTAGAGCTCCGCCGCGAATTCGAAATCGTCTCTGCCTCTTTCATCGCCAATAACAATGGATCTGACGTCACCAAGCTTTTCTTCTGTGAGATCGATTCGACCCACTCCGCGGCTTCGTTCCACCGCTTCGCCGTCGAATCCTTACCGCACATTTGCCTCGTCGACCCTTGGATGGACAATCTACAGGACGAATCCGGTCAGATGGAACGCGGAGATTTCGAAGGATTGGCGGAATCCATGGCAGAGTTCGTCGAGCGTCGAACCAAGCTCACCGTTGGCCCAATCCATCGACCACCGCTCCTGTCGAAGACACAGATCGCAATCATCACAGCTTTGATCGTAATTTCAATTCCGATCCTTATCAAGAAGGTTCTAAAGGGAGAAACGCTTCTCCATGACCATAGGGTCTGGTTATCCGGCGCCGTTTTTGTCTACTTCTTCAGCGTCGCCGGCACGATGCACAACATCATCAGAAAAGTGCCGATGTTCCTCCGAGATCATGAAGATCCAAGCAATATCGTTTTCTTCTACGGAGATTCAGAATTTCAGCTTGGGACGGAGGGGTTCGCTGTTGGGTTCTTGTACACTGTCGTTGGATTGATCTTGGCGTATGTCACCAATGCGCTTGTACGAGTTAAGAATCTCAATGAGCAAAGGTTGATTATGGTTTTGGCTCTGTTCTTATCGTTCTGGGCTGTGAAGCAGGTTGTTTACTTGGATAATTGGAAGACTGGATATGAAATTCATCCATATTGGCCATCAAGCTGGCATTGATGGATCCTTGACGTTAAGGTAATTGATTTTGTTTTCTCAACTTCCTGGAACTGAGGAATCATGTTTTTGCTTTCAGTACTTGAACAGAGTGTAGCAGAATTTCATAGTACTGCAGTAATTCATCTGAGTGAGAACATATAGTCAAGTTTACGGATTAAGAATCATTAGACTTTTTGGCAATTTACTAGAATTTGGATGATCAAATTAGAGGAATGATTGCTCTAGGACTGATATTTGCCTATGGTCTTGCTTCTGCATCTACTGAGCAGAGTACTTCACCAAAGAAACATTACTTCCTGATGTGTGAAAGTTTTTTTAACAAAATGTTCAATGAAAAGATTTATGCAATACTTGACCCACAAGAACTTCTTCTTAGAAGTCTCTTTATCCTTTGCTTCGAGCTTTACTTGCAAATTAAGAATCTTTTCCTTGTCAAAAGTTAACTCCTTTAGATAGCTCACGTTTATATTCCTCTTTGGTTTTACTAAAGGATCAATTTTTATGTCGGAAATTTCAACGATGGCAGAGACAAATAAAGGAATTGAAGAGGAAGTGGCAAGGGCGTTTGTGAATCACTACTACCATCTCTTTGACAATGATCGATCTTCTCTTTGCACTCTCTACAATCCCACCTCGTTGCTTACTTTCGAAGGCCAAAAGGTATACGGCGTGGAAGACATCTCCAACAAGCTTAAACAACTTCCTTTCGATCAATGTCGTCATTTGATAAGCACCGTCGATTCTCAGCCTTCTTCAATGGCCGGTGGTTGTGGCGGAATCCTCGTTTTTGTGAGCGGCAGCCTCCAGTTACACGGCGAGGATCATCCTCTTAGGTTTAGCCAGGTCTAATTCTTTTCTATTTATGATCCATTTGAGATTCCATTTCGTTATAAACGAAAAGCTTAACCTTGGACAAGTTATAAGAACTTCAAATTTTTATTTTTTTATTAGTTCTATGAATAAAACTAAGGTATATAATATTTGTTCTAGATGTTTTCAGCTAACTAAAATAAAAATGATATTCTATTAACTGCAGACGTTTCACTTGATTCCTCTTCTAAAAGGAAGTTTCTTCGTCCAAAATGAGATGTTTCGGCTCAACTATGGTTGAACTTACTACAACTTTGCTGTTTCTTATCGTTCTCATTAACATCGAAATCTGACTATGATGTAGTCCATTATTTTAATTTTAAATGAAATAAATATGGATCATGCATCTCGTCTAATAACAAAATTAAAACATGCATGTGTAAGCAAGTTTCAAATTCATATTATAATCATTCAGTTATTGTAGAAAGCTGGAAAAATCCATATTATACGTGAAAAAAACTAGTATAAGAAAATTTACATACAAAAAGAAGAAGCAGAATAAGGATACTCGTTCTAACTTTTTTAAAATAGTAAAAATTGACGGAAAAATCGAATACGTATGAGGCGATGACTATCCTTCGAATCTTAACCATTCCCTTTTGTTCTAAAAACAATTCCTTGTTATCCAAGAAACCATTTCCCTATCTCTTTCTCGGGTCAAATCTTTTCAGGCACGAAGCAAAAAGAATGAAGAAACTGAGCAGAAACTTAGCCACCCTGAGCTTGATGATAATTACGGTATTGACATGGACCAAGGTTGTGGCCGGACAAGAAGCACTATTGGGAAAGAAAGTATTGGGGTTGTGCCATAGAGAATGTATGCCAATATGCATGAAAGTGACCGAAGCAACGCAAGATGTTTGCGACCGTGCTTGCCAAGCGGGTTGTCTTCAGCTTCAAGGTCGAGGCACCGGACTTTCAGCCACCGATCAAGGTGCCGATATGGTCATTGCATAGAAAAAAAAAATTTATATCTTCGCCGGAAGAAAAAAAAGAAGAGAATCAAGATTTTGATATTACCATATAGTTGTCCTCTTTATATAACAGATTATAATATCGGCTTTAATCTTAAACACAGATGTATGATATATGCATGATGATTATCCAATCCGTCCTAATTAAATTATTATTTGTCGTTTTAGAGAATGCAAGCTCTTCAAGCTGTATTTTTAACAAAAGGAAGAAAAAAAATCAAAGAGAACCAAAACCTGTGATGATCTTAGTTACTATATATATAGCATTTACAGGGTACTTTACCGGCGAACAGTAACATTCTACAAATCCGTAATGTCAAAACTCAGAAGGAGTAAAGTTAAAGATCGAGAGGGGAAAATATGCTGGTAGTCGAATCGGTAAAATGCTATGAGTTTTATTTTTTAGACCAAATGAAATGTAAATATATCATTCTCTTCTTTTTAAACAAATGAAATAGTTTATACTATAAATTGAGCGTTTTAAATAACAATCAAGGCAGACCGAAGTCTTAAACTAAAAGGGAATTTATACTTTATATTAATTTTTTTTCATCAAAAAACAAGTTTATATATATATGAACCTGGACTCAACATAGGGCAGCTACATTTTAGTCCAAAAATATATATATATAGGGCAGCCACATTGACATCAGTACATTTTTAAATCAAAATAGTTTCATTATATATAAAAGCAAAAAAGATCGAGAGGGAAATTTGTTGTATTTCTTCTGATATTTCTTGTGACAAAAAGTTGATTTATTTTCTTTTGTTAAACTGAATATAATTTTCTCCGGATCGTAATTTTTTACAGTGAAAATATCTTTACTTGGCTGAAACTATTGTAGCGTTGTTTATTAAATAAAAGTAGCGTTTGTTTTTCCATTACAGAAATCTACGGGGTCTAGCTATAGTTTTGTAATGTTTTGATTTTTCTTAATATCATAAAAACCTCAACGACAGAGGGAGTGCAACCAAAATAGTTGCTGTGTGAATATATTGAGGAGCGTGCATTGACACAAGTTGTGTCATGTGTGAATGTAATATCTAGTTATCCACGTGCTACAAATCCAAAATGGGATTTTAATATATGGAACAATGATCCTTGTCGCCGTACTATCACAAAAGCGAAGACAACTAAAATCTAGTTAATATACACTTGCAGATAAAGAGTTATATATTGCTAAACTACCGCCAAAAATTAATTATATATCAAAATAGAAATATGGATACCCCTTTAACTTTATTTAACAAGTAAAAGTTAAAATAGAACAACTGGAAATGATGAAAAAGTCTTTATTTTTTTGTATTTTTTAATATAAAATATAAAGAGGAAGTACTGTGATCATATATATTAAAAAAAAAAATCAGAGTGGATAAGTATCTCAAATAGTGACTGATAGCTAGTGACTGATAGCACCTCTTTATTTTTGAATATGACTGATAATATCACTTGTTATTTTACACAAGGTTACTGATTCTAGACTTCTAGTTATTATGTCAAAGTATAGTCAGTTCGTACTTAAATGGATTTTCCATTCGTAAATAAACAGATTGTGATTTTAAAGTTCTATATGATCATACGCAACTATTGTGATGATTTTCTTTTTATATCACTATCGCTCCAAATTTAACTGGCGGTAGAATTTTTGATAGCTAAAATATATATTTCTGGTTGTTGTCAAAGAGACAATGATGAAAATCACCTATGACGGATAATCATAGCTGCCGTCGACAAACGGTATACATGTGTTAAGCGTTGGTGGACGGTACAAATTTCAAACAACCAAAACATAATCCACTTTTGTAGAAAGTTAAGTATTAGGTGCGGACTTTTGATCAAAAACTTGTTTTACCATTGAATATCAACAACTTGTTTTACCATTGACTTAGTCTGTTGAATTTTTGTTGGGGGATGGATGGGAATTAAGTTTCAAAATGTTAGCACTATAATTCTTTTTCAACCTTTTTCATGAACACTCTTGCAACTTTTTTTATTTGATAACGCTATTTTTCAGATATAGTATTTATCAATATAAAAAATTTACACGTAGCTCACTTGGTTTGCATGTTCTTACGAGAATACGAATTTCCTTTATAATTTTAAAATATAAGACAAATAATTACAGTATTTTGGTTATGCTATCAACTCACGGTTGAAAGATTAAGTATGGACTTGACGAAATAGCGTTCGAATCCTTTCACTGCAATTATTTTGGTTATTTTTACCAAAAAAAAAAAAAAAATTATTTTGGTTATAATATGAAAATCTGTTGATATGCTAAGTTGCTTTATTCAAGTACATCTATATATTTTTACTTCTACCACCACCTTCGAGTACTATATAAAGATTTTGTCTACAAAGTATATGAGTCATTTCCATACTGCTCATTTTCTTTTAAAAAGAAGGATAATAAGTATAAAGTTAATATATATTTTTTTTAGTTTATAGTGTATTTGGTGCAGTGATGATGAATATTCTATGCAAAGAAAAGGAAATCATAGCTCTCGCTCATGTACTCCACTCACTAGCATTTTCTATAAAATGGCATGATTCACAGTAATGGAAGGCCAACACAACCACTCCTTTTACCACTAAAACCAAATACCAAATGTCCAATCCAAATCAACCACTTCTTTCCAAGCCAAAGACTCTTAACCACAAGAATCTATGCCTTGTCCTCTCCTTGGTAGCTATTCTTGGCTCTGCAGCTTTCTTCACAGCTCAACTAATCTCCATTACCACCACTAATGATGAGTCCTTATTAACCCCGAGCCAAATCTGCCATGGAGCTCACGACCATTACTCATGCCAAGCTCTCTTGTCCGAATTTACTACGTTATCGCTCTCAAAGCTCAAACGTCTTGACCTATTGCACGTGTTCCTGAAGAACTCGGTATGGCGGCTCAAGAGCGCGATAAACATGGTGAACGAGGCTAGAACCCGCTCAAACGAGGCGAGAGACGAGGCCCGTTTTGCGGACTGCGAAGAGATGATGGACGTATCAAAGGATCGTATGGTGAGCTCGATGGAGGAGATGCGAGGAGGAAACCTTAATCTTGAGTCGTACTCAAACGTTCACTCTTGGCTGAGCAGTGTGCTTACAAACTACATGACATGTTTAGACGGTTTTAGTGATGCCTCCGTCGACTCTAAATTACTTGGAGTTAAGCCAAAGCTTGAAGACTTGGTTTCTAGGGCTAGAGTGGCTCTAGCCATCTTTGTCTCTGTCTTGCCTTCCAGGGACGAGCACGAGATGTTCTTTCCCATCCACTTCCCGTCTTGGCTAAGTGCCCTCGATAGGAAGCTTTTAGAATCTGCTCCCAAGGTAATCTAAAATAAACTTTTCAGATCTCACTAACTACAACAATTTTTTTTGAGGTCACTAACTACAACAATTAATATGGCAAATTGCATTTTTTATGCTCTCTCCGACTCTTGAACATCTATGTTTTGGATTTCGCCACGTAGAAAATTATTTGCAATACTAACTATAAAACCTTACTCTGCTAATTAAATTTGTTATTTAATTCAGATTTTCGTTGTTTTAAAGGAAACATTATCTTTACATAGAAAGTTGAAAATTCATTATTGTGGATAAAAAACCTTTAAACATAAAAATTTCATGCAATGGAGGAAGTATATCTCTAACAAATATTGGTTCAAATGTAAAAGTTCTGTTGAACTTAACAAAATCAAAAATATTAAAATTTTGACCCTTTATTAGACACTTGAAGTGAACGCAAACGTAGTGGTGGCAAAAGACGGCACAGGAAAGTACAAAACAGTAAACGAGGCGGTGGCGGCAGCACCGGAGAATAGCAAGACAAGATATGTTATATATGTGAAGAAAGGAGTTTACAAGGAAACGGTTGACATCGGGAAGAAGAAGACTAACTTGATGCTTGTTGGCGATGGCAAAGACACAACGATCATAACCGGTAGTTTAAATGTCATTGACGGATCCACCACCTTCAGATCAGCCACAGTTGGTAATATTTCCTTAAGCTAGGCCTTAATACAATCTTACATATATATTCTTTATACTTTCGACAAGTCATGGCTCAAGTTGTTACAAATTTGTATCCGTGCAGCCGCCAATGGTGACGGGTTTATGGCACAAGACATATGGTTCCAGAACACGGCCGGGCCAGCAAAGCATCAGGCTGTAGCTCTCCGCGTGAGTGCTGATCAGACGGTTATAAACCGTTGCCGCATAGACGCGTATCAAGACACGCTATACACTCACACTCTGCGACAATTCTACCGCGACTGCTACATAACCGGTACCGTAGATTTTATATTCGGAAACTCGGCGGTCGTATTCCAAAACTGCGACATCGTGGCCCGAAAGCCTGGAGCCGGACAAAAGAACATGGTGACTGCTCAAGGACGGGAAGATCAGAACCAGAACACAGCCATTTCGTTCCAAAAATGTAAAATAACGGCTAGCTCTGATCTTGCTCCAGTAAAAGGATCCGTGAAAACATTCCTAGGAAGGCCGTGGAAGTTGTACTCAAGGACAGTGATCATGCAGTCTTTCATCGGCGACCACATTGACCCGGCCGGTTGGTTCCCATGGGACGGCGAGTTCGCACTCTCTACATTGTACTATGGAGAGTATGCGAATAATGGTCCTGGATCGGATACGAGTAAGAGAGTGAAATGGAAGGGATTTAGAGTTATTAGAAACTCAAAAGAGGCCGAGCAGTTCACTGTTGCGAAGCTTATTCAAGGAGGATTATGGCTGAAGCCCACTGGAGTTACTTACCAAGAGTGGCTTTGATTTGATGTCTTCTTATTGTACTTTGTTTTGTATTGTGTGATGTTCTGTTTTAATTTGATGCTTTCCTCTGTTTTGTGTGGACTTAACACATGACTTAAAGCTATAAGGTTGTTTAAAAATAAAATCTCGTGATGTGAGTATGTGACAGATCATATTGGATTATTAACAACAAAAAGACTTTAACTTATCTCTCAAGAAAATGCAAAAGGACGTTAATATGATGTGTACTTGGTGTTCTTGTCAAAGCAGTAAAGATATACCGGGAGATTTATTAACGTCGTCGTTGCGTAGAGAAAAAGTAAAAAACATAGTACTGGTAAGAAAAAAGGAAAGTTTTGTTTTTTGAACCTTAAAAAAAAAAAGGAAAGTTATGGTAGAATACTGGTAAAAATAAAACAACTGGACCATCGAAATGTAAAAAGCTCTATGGTAATTGGTAAATTGTTAGATGCCATTTTTTTTAACAAATGGTTGCATACGTCCAAGATATAATCCGAGATTCAATGGGACCGATTTCAGAAAATTTATTTATATTAAACCCACTTATCAATGTAATTTAATTTAAATAATTGTTATCAAGTTTTATTATATTTTTGACAAACTAAATTCTTTATTTTATTACTCTCTGACAAATACAAGATAATAATTTTAAGTTATAAATATATTATCTTTTTTCGCTCATATAGACCCTATACTACAATGTTAAAAACTAAAAAATTCCTTGATATAATTATATATAAATATGTATATATATACAGTATATATATATATATATAGATATATGTCTCGAGGCTTCCACGTACCTAGTACATGAAGTACATAACTAGGGTAGTGTGATCGTGATCCGACCCTGATAAAGTAGTAACCAACGAGATACTGAATATCACTTTGCACTACAAAAAAAATGTATTTCACATCATTTATTTTCTTATTTGCATTGATGTAAAAGAATTTTGTATTATGATTCTGAAAGTGGTGTTTGCATCAATTGTCATAAAAACTTACATCAGTTCTTATAATCGATGTTTAGTATATATTAATTGCAAAAAAAAATGTTAAAATTTACATCAATTCATATAAATAAATAATGATAGTATTTGTTACAATTATAATTATTAATATAAAATATATATCACTTGTACACAATTGATGTTAAATTAGTGTTAATTCTAAAATCGTTTATTTATTAAATATTTTTTTATAAAATATTTTAATATTAAATTTGAAATGAAAATGAAAATAACTTAATTTAGAAATTTAAAATTTGACTTAAGACAATATGTAGCCGTAATTAAAACTTAAAGATTACCAGCATATTGAAGTCAATCATAAATTTTGGTAATTGTATTTATAGAACCATTCTCCTTTCACATTTGTGTTAGTTGTCGATGTGGGATTTTTAATGTAAGAGTAATTAGTATCAGTTTCCACTGATGTAAATTTGCTATCATTTTTAATGATGCTAATAAATATTATCAAATGCATCTGAGTATTTAATTGATGTAAACTTATATTTTTATATCATTCTTATTAAAGTGATGTAAATTAATAAGGATTTGTATCAGTTATAAAGAATTGATTTCAAACAAGTCAAAAATCATATCAGTTATTTTAATTGATGTAAGACCAAATATTTGGTATCATTTATTAATAAATAATTCAATTTAACATTAGATACTATTAAGTGATGCAATACACCTCTTTTTTGTAGTGTTGGTCTTTAATCCTGATGAGACGAGTACAAATAAAATATATCTTCAAGCAAGAAAGAGAATTTTATCATGCTATGGTTCATGGAAAGTACGTTCATCAACCGTTGCTTTGATTGAGATATTTATTTACATATGCACATACAAAATGATATCCTAAAAACTCAAAAGAATTTTCGTTGGTTTTTCCTTTTTTCTAAACAATAGAGTACACAACTTTTGAAAGGAAATAATCTTGAAACTATACCCAATTAATGATTCTTCTCTGTGCAGTGCCAAACCTAACTCCACTCGCAAGAATCCTAGCTTCACATCGCACTATAACATGTTTGGATCATCATATTGTCAAGAAGTCGAACAATAATTTGTTTCCTTAAAAACCCCTTTTTATAAAAAAAGTCTTCGTTTACCTGCAACGAATTTGGGGCGAACTCGCTTGAAGTAAAAAATGGAGTTGGTGAGCATTAAAAATACCCTCAATCTCTTTATGTCACGACCTTCAAATTGTGTGTTTGACAAAGCTCTCATCTTTTCCTTCTCTTAAATGCGCTCTTATCTCTAGTAGAATAAATGTCGGTACCTTGAAGACTATTGATCTGTATTCATTTCTCTGCAACAAAAATAGGGTGAAAAGTTCATGAGTAAAGTCAAAATGAATCAAGAATGCCAAAGGTGATATTAGCTGACAAGTGACGCAAAATTATTTAAAATAACTTATAAAGGTGATAATTTTATTATATATAGTGTAGAATTATAAATAAAAATATTCAAAGGAAATTAAACACAAATTGAAAGGTAGGGATTATTACTAAAAAAATGTAAGCTTATAAAGACAATTAATAAATCATAAACTATCAGAAGTAATAAAATGCATTCGAATAAATGGTTCTTTGGGTTTTCTATAATTTCGTTATAGGGAATATTTTGCAAATAAGCAGATCGAACCATACAGGTCTATATATTTTGTCTTATTCGATGCTAGCTAGCTAGAGCAATGATGCGTGCTAGTTCCGAGCGCTACATCTGCCAAGTCCTAACCACCTATATCTGGATTCATAATTTGACTTGATAAATTCAACTTACACCCAAACTACATTATTATTTAAAAAAAAATAATAATAATGTTTCTTCTTATAAAATAACGGTCAACAAATTTCTGGGATCTAGTCACGAAAACGAAGTTATAGTTGTCTTTTTACAATAGAAGTAAGTTTTAAAAAAGTTCATTAACCATAAAAAAAGAGTTGAAAACAAAGCTAACTTTTCCAAATTCAGGTAATATTTAGGTTAGCATTTGAAGTATCCAAAAAATTGATCCGAAATACCTGATTATCAATAAATCACAATGTAGCATCTTCAGTGCGAGAGAAAATAGATGAGCACATGCAAAGTTACTTTCATCAACCGGTTTTGTTTTCATTGTCATATTTATTTCCATATTCACATGCTGAATTATTTTCTTAAGCTTTAAAGAAAAAGTTATTATCTGTATATAAAAAAAGAATAGACAGATCCGGAAATGAATTCTTCACTACTTAGTAAGGAATTCTTCTTTGTTCATAGTTAAACCTCACTCCACCGGAGTCATAGCTTCACATCACATTACAGATGTGAGACCTGAAATTGAGTTTTATTTCTAATTATTCTTTTTTTAATTAATTATTACAAGTAAGGGTAATAGTTTTTTTGTCATCATAATAATTTGTGTACTATATAACATGCAATTAACAAATTTTTCAAAAGATATAAAAAAAATTAATTAATGAGAAGTGATAACATTAAGATAGTGATTGCAGCCGAAACCGATATAGGCTATGTACGATCGTAGCCTTATATTTATCGAACAATAATACCAATAATAAAAAGGATAGTTGGTGACTTGGTGGTGTAATAGACGGCTCTGTCAGTTCTTCTTGTTGTCTTTTACTCTCTTGTCGTTAATTTCTTACAGTGACCGCTTAATTATTTCCTTACCTTAAAAATATTTCACCTTTAAATACAATAACTAAGTAAAAGAAACCATCTTTCCATGTTATAAAAGAATTCAATACGACGAGTAATCGACTATATGTCACCCACCAAATATATTTATGTGATTTTCGAAAATCACTCGTCATCCATTGTTTTCTCATAATATAAAAAGCCACAAAGTGCTGAAATTATCTTTACAAGAAACCCTAAAAGTCATTTCTCTTTCACCTTCGCTCCTGTGGTTCTTCTCTATCTCTCTCTCTCGATTTGTCTCTCCTCCACACAATGCAATCACCTCCCCGGTCTGTACCCGAAGCCGTCGAAGCCTCTGCTGTTACTATTGAATCTGCGTCTCATGTCGAAGGGTCCGTAGTAACCGTTGCTACTGCTGTCGAAGGCACTGTCGTTGCTGGCGCTTCTCAGCCTACCGTGGCCGATGATTCTTCTCAACCTGACCTGAAAACCACTGCAGTATCTCCGGCTCCGGCTCCCTTTCTCCCTAGTCTTGGAGCGTGGGCAAAGCCATTGAAGATGTCTTTGCCTTCTTCTCCATCAGCGTCGTCCATACTACGGGAAGCTGGTTCGAGCTTCGTCCAAGACCAAGATAACTCAGTCCCGTCCCACTCGCAATCTCTCTCTGCAAGTCAATGTGAAGTTCATACCAAGAACCTAGCCACGCAGGTAATATACTAACTATTACGCGTTTGTATTATAGCTCTATAATTTCTTTAAAACCAAAACAAAAACTTTTGTAATCTGTTTCTATTACAATTTGAAGCGTTGAACAGGATTGTATTTCTTTTTAAAAAGCATTTATATAATTTTTGAGGATTTTACCAACATCAGCTGACTGAAATCTATTGTTTCTCTGCTATAAATCCCACACTTAGAGAGATATATTGATTAAGTTCCGATCCACCGTTGAAACATAGTTTATTTTCTTTTAATCAATGAAGAAGATGTATATATATTTTTCAAAAACTTTTGTAATTTGTTTCTGTAACAGTTTGAAGCTCTGAACAGAATTGTATTTCTTTTTAAAAAGCATTTATATAATTTTTGAGGAATTTACCAACATCCGCTGACTTAAATATATTTTTTTCTCTGCTATAATCCCACACTTGAGATTTATATTGATTAAGTTCCAGCGTTGAAACATAGTTCATTTTCTTCTAATCAATGAAGAAGATGTATATTTTTCAATAGCAACAAAAAAAAAACGAAATCGACAAAATATTTTGATCTTATTTAGATGTGTCTTCTTGAAAAGTTAAATCTTTTCAGTCTTCAGGAAAACTTATTTTTTCTTGTTTACTATTTTTTTCTGATAATTGCTTTATTAACTTTTAGAATACCAACCAAGAAAGAGCCCAATATGATACGGATCCATTGAATTAAAGCCCAAAGCTCTAAAGCCTTATACCTTAGAGGGAAATTTGTTTTCTTGTCTATTCAATTTTGCTTATTGAATTTCTTATGTTCCTTACAGCATAATTATCGGTCAAACTGAAATCCATCTGCTGTTTTTTATTTACACAAAATTACAGGCGTTCAACAATAAGCCCGATCTTGTTGTCGCAAAAGACGGCACAGGTAATTTTAGGACCGTTAAAGAGGCGGTGGCGGCAGCGCCGGAAAAGAGCCAAAAACGATTTATCATATTCGTGAAAGAAGGTACATACGATGAAATCGTCCAAATCGGGGAGAATAAAACAAACATAACTATCATAGGCGACGGTGGTGACAAAACAATTCTCACCGGAAGTTTGAATTGGAAGGATGGTACCAAAACATTCGATTCTGCAACCTTAGGTGATAATTCATTTGTTTTTTCTATAACATATTATTGTTTTCTTTTGAATATTCCAAGTTATTTATATTTAAGACCCTAATGATACCAAGGCCCGTGTGATTTACAGCCGTAGATGGAGATGGTTTTATGGCACAGGGTATCTGCATCCAGAATACGGCCGGACCGGCGAAGGAACAGGCCGTGGCTCTCCGAGTGAGTGGCGATATGTCAGTCTTCTACAAGTGTTGTATTAAAGCGTATCAAGACACGCTGTACGCTCACAAGAACAGACAATTTTACCGTGAGTGTTTCATCACCGGCACCGTCGATTTCATTTGTGGAAACGCGTTGGCTGTGTTCCAGCGCTGCCAAATTGAGGCAAGAAAGCCGGGTGAGAACCAGAAGAATATGATAACTGCTCAACAATGCAATGACAAAAGACAAAAGTCAGCATTTTCAATTCAAAGATGCGAGATAAAGGCAGCTCCTGATCTTGCTCCGTTCAAAGGAAACGTAACGACGTTTCTAGGACGCCCTTGGGGAGTGCTCTCAACTGTAGTCATTATGCAATCCTTCTTAGATGACTTCATTGATCCAGCGGGATGGGCTCCGTGGGAGTCCGATAAAGAACCACGACTTTCCACGCTGTATTATGGGGAGTACGAAAACACAGGCCCTGGAAAAAGTTCACCGTAGGACAACTAATACAAGGTCATTTATGGCTTCAATCCACCGGAGTTCCCTACGAGGAAGGTCTCTGATTGCATTGTCCTTTCTATATGTGATATGTTAATTGACACGTATTCGTATGACTTATAGGATATTTGAAAAATGTAACCGACAAAAAGATATTCGTAGCTTATCGATCGATTTCCTCCATCATTGAAGCTTAATATAGAAAGTTTATTTTATTTTTCTCATGGATCTAGCTCGCTTCTCTAATTCGTTTGTTAATTATTAGATGGTGAATAATCTTTTGTTAATTATTAGATGGTGAATAATCTGGTTTTCTTTTTCTCGAATGAACAAATACACGTTTTACAACCCATACATTCATGTTGTGGTAGCCTGGTCACTGGTGGGGTTTAAGCATCATGGGTCTTTGATCACATTGTGATAACTAATTAATGATATATTCTAAAATAAGCATAAATAATATAGTCTATTTTAAAAATTGTTGTCTACGAAAGCAACTACATCCACTGGAGAAGCCTAAGATACTGAGTGTCGTCTTCTAAGAAAGTCTCCCGTCTCTATTTCGTTTGTATAAAAAATCAGTTTTTTGTTGTTGTTTTGTCCTTAAACGAATATGCGTTCTTGAAAGCCATATACAGTAGTATGTTGAGCTTGTGATAGGGTTTAAGCAGCTTGGGTCTTGTGTTTAAAATGAAAACATATACTCAACCTGGGCCCGTAGGCCCTTAAGTTTAAGATAATGCAAAATATGAAAATATCCAATCATGTAACATAGTTCTTTTACCAAACTTTTATTTGTTAACATTAGATATTTGTGTTATATTTGATATATTCACCCTGAAAATGAGATTTTACTACCTAAACCGAGAATTCCTGCGACCATTCCAAATCTGTGTTATTGTGTTTATCCTTTTTCACATGAATTCAATCTGCATGCAATTGTAGAAGTTAACTATCTAAACTACCAAAAAGAAAGAAAAAAAAACGTTAAATGCTTTGAAGGTCTGACATATTGCTCCTATTTATTAAAACCATCTTATTGGTGCAGACCACGTGTTCACGTTTTCCTGTGATTCCACATTTAAATGTGGAGATATTTTACAATCGATATAAACGTCACGTATCATTTTATTATGGTATATAATCTGTGAGCATTTATGGCAAAGCGAAAATAAAAATCTTAGCATTTAAATGTTAAGATATTTTCAGCCTATATAGATTTCACATAAGGCCTCAATCATTTGGAACAAAAACAAAAAATGGTTGCATACCTCAAAAAGAATGTTTTATTGGTTTTTATAGTAGCTATACTTTTTCTTGTTGTCTCATCAGATGCAAGATTAAGTATGATGGTTACAAAAACTGAAATTGATAGCATCTGCACAAGCAAATATATCAATTCTTCACATTGTTTTGAGGTTTTAAATTCAATCCCTAAAATTGCAAAATTAGATTTTCCAGGTCTCACTAAAGTTTTGATCAGTTACCAGTCTCTAGCTATTTCAAAGACGTTGAAGCAAATAAAATTGCTTGAAAGAAACACGACGGATTGGAAGACAATTAATCTATGTGGAAGATTATATGAAGGTGCTCTTCATGATAATGATCGAAGTCTCGGATTTTTGGCAGCCAAGGACTACGATAGCTTTTACTATCGAATCTCTGGTGTATCGATTAATATAGCAACATGTAATGATGAATTGAAAACGATGAAGCCAATACCACAATTCTTGATCATGGAGAGTACTGTCATTGATAATATAGTTCTCATGATTGAAAGGATTCTGGAATGTTACATAACAAAAGAAACAGTAAAATGTTAGTAACCCAATTTATTAGTATAATAATAATGTTTGGTCTGGTGTTGTCATTGCCTTTCATAAACGCAACTAATAAAGGGTTTGGCAGACTGTATTAAGAAGCCCAGTAAAAGGGAAAAACACGAGTTAACACCAGTAGGTGTTTTTTTTTTTGATCAAAGAATTTCATTTCATTGGGCAATAAATCATGTCTGCAAGGCTATTTAGAGGCCCAACACCAGTAGGTGTTTTACAGAAGGAACATATGAGTAAAGAACTCATAAAGAAACAGAGGGAACCTCCTCGATACGAAAGCAAAAAAAGATGCAAATTTAGAAGATTTTAATACACTGCGTCTGCTTAAACTTCAATCTTCCAATTACCCAGAACCTCCATCTTTTGAAATTTTGTCACGAGGTATCAGCTGCAGTAGCTATATGATCAGCCTCAATTGGTGTATGTTTAAGACTCTACCAATCAAAGGAGTAAAGGTGCTTGAAAATATCGTCGAGGAGCCATCGAAACCTCGGATAATGCAAAAGTTGCAAGTTTAAATGTTTAAATAATGTTAATGAGGTTAAGAGTTTTTAAATTTTAAAGAATTAAAAATAAATTAAAAATAATTAAAAGTTAAGAACTAATCTTTAAAGCTCTTGTTTAAAAAGTAAGAACCTCATTATTTAAGAATTTTACATTTGTCATATTTTAATTAGGTAGTTTTTAATTTTAGAATTAAAATTTAACTATATAAAATATTATGAGAAAATTTGAGAAAATATTTTTGAGTGAGTTTGTATTTTGAAAACTACACCATTTTTATTATTTTTTTATTACTACACTTATTTAAAAATTAAAATGACTAAATTAACCTAAATAAAAATTATATTAGTTTTAATAAAAAATTATAAATTTTACTCAAATAAAAATAAAATATAATCCCTCTGTTTCATAGTAGTTGATTTTCTGAATATTACACATAGATTAAAAAGCAATAAATACTCAACTATTTTCTGTTTTATTTCTTTGATTAGTTTACTTTTACAATTAATTTATTATTTTTATTAATATTACTTTCTCTTTTCCACCAATAGAAAATGAAAACATGAATTAATTACAAACAAACATATATTAATTACATACAGAAAATCAAATATTATGAAACAAGAAATAAAACTCAGAAAATCAACCATTATGAAACAGAGGGAGTATTTACAGATCTACACAAAATAATATATAATTCATTTTCATTTATTATTCTAATAATAAGTCATTTAAACAATATTTTAATAATAAGTAATTTAAAGAATATTCTAATAAATTATTGTTTTAATTATTTTTGTTGATTACAAAAATTATTGCCTACATATCAGTAGAAGTAACAAAGACTTATGTATAGACATCTTACTGCATTTATATCTTTTTTACATAAATGCAAATTATGCAATGCAATCTGCAATTTTAGAAGTTAATTATATAAACTCCCAAAAAAGAGAAAAACATTGAATGCTATGACGATTTGACACATCGCTGCTATTAATATTAACTCAAACCGTTTTATTGGTGAATAACATATCTTCCCGTTTTCATGTGATTCCACATTTAAACGTGAAGATATTTTACGATCTATATATATAAATTTCACGTATCATTTTAATATGGTACATAATCTGTTAGCATTTATGGCAAAAAGAAAATAATAATCTGTTAGCATTAAAATATGAAGATATGTTTCAGCCTTTATAAATCGGGAATCCCACATAAGGTATCAATCATCCCGAACCAAAAAAATGGTTGCATATCTCAGAAAGAATGTTTTATTGGTTTTTATAGTAGCTATACTTTTTTTTGTTGTCTCATCATATGCAAGATTTAGTATGATGGTTACAAAAAGTGAAATTGATAGCACCTGCAAAGATAAATATTTCAATTCCTCGCTTTGTTTTGACGTTCTAAATTCAACCCCTAATATTGGAAAATTAGATTTTTCAGGTCTCACTAAAGTTTTGATCAGTCACCAGTTTCGAAACATTTCAAATACGTTGAAGCAAATAAAAATGTCTGAAGGAAACTCGACGGATTGGCAGGCAATTAATTTATGTGGTAGATTATATAAAAATGCTATTTATGAGAATAATCGTGCTCTCGAAGCTTTGGCAGCCAAGGACTACGATGCTTAAACGTTCGAATCACTGGTGTATCGACTGATATAGAAACGTGTATGGATGCAGTGTCAACGATGAAGCCAATACCACAATTCTTGATCATGGAAAGTACTGTCATTAATAATATAGGTTCCATTATTTTAAAGATTTTGGAATGTTACATAAGAAAAGAAAAAATAAGATGTTATTAGCCCTATATTTTTTTATAATAATATTATTTAGTCTGGTGTTGTCGTTGCCTTTTTGATAAACATAAACATAACTACTCGAATAGCATAACTTAAAGGGTTTGGCAGAATTGTGCGGAAGATTAAGGAGAGCTGGTATTAATAATGGTTTTAGGTTTCTCGAATAGCACAACTTTTTTATGTGAGAAACCTTAAATCTAGGTGCTCGTATAGCTTCGAGTTTGATTATTCCGTGTGCAAATATTCTTTATGGCCTACTTGGTTTAGGATTCTGTCAAAACGTTTAATTTGTGTCGAGCATGCCGGAAGCTTTTGTCAAGGAACATACTTACAAGGACTTCTCAGTAAAATCCGGATACATAATACTAACTAGTAATTTTAATGCAAAACAAAATAAAAAAATGAAAATTAGTACTTTCAAACAAGTTTCATGAAAATAGTTATTTATCTGAAAAAAAACTAACATGTATGTAGTCCGTTAATATTTTGTTTTTCCAAGATCAAAGTTATAAATATATTTCTTTTAAATTCAGGACGATAAAGTGGACAAATACAATATGTTAAACATGTATAAACTCAAATGGATGCATAACAAAAAAAAAAAAAAAACAGACTCCTTCACACTATATAAACACAACTAATTAATTAACACAAATGTTTCCTAAAAAAAATCTAAAATAATTAAACACAAGTTTGTAGCCGTGTGGTGGTCAGAGCCGGGCAATTTGGGGTCGCCACGGTGTCTGTATGTCCTTGAAGTGTACTGGTTTCATGGGAACCACTGATATAGAGAAACAATCCTCCAATGTACAGTCCATGAAACTCCTTGGTGCTCAGGTAACCTGTAATTACTATTTTCACGAGTAACTCATATCTAACCGGATTTTGCAGCATAAACTTTGTGTATTTATCCCCCAAAAAAAGCATAATGTTTGTTTAATATGTGTTAATTTGTGCAGTTCAAATTAAAAACGAGGATATTCGGTGCTATTCACATTAAAAAAGCTCTTGTAATATACTACCTAAACGAGCAATGTTTAATGCTATTTTGTGCTATACACACCAAAAATGAGAATTTACTATCTGAAAGTGAATATTTTGAGCTATTTATCCAAAATTTGAGTTATTCTTTTTTTTTAACACATGAAATCTATCATATTATATGTGAAGATATTTTACAATCTATATAAATTTCACATATCATTTTAATATGGTACATAATCAGTTAGCATTTATGGCAAAAAGAAAATAATAATCTGTTAGCATTAAAATGTGAAGATATGTTTCAGCCTTTATAAAAATCCCACATAAGTTGTCAATCATCTCGAACCAAAAAATGGTTGCATACCTCAAAAATAATTTTTTATTGGTTTTTATTATAGCTATACTTTTTTTTGTTGTCCCATCATATGCAAGATTTAGTATGATGGTTACAAAATGAAATTGATAGCATCTGCAAAGATAAATATTTCAATTCCTCGCTTTGTTTTGAGGTTCTAAATTCAACCCCTAATATTGGAAAATTAGATTTTTCAGGTCTCACTAAAGTTTTGATCAATTACCAGTTTCGAAACATTTCAAAGACGTTGAAGCAAATAAAATTGCTTGAAGGAAACACGACGGATTGGCAGACAGTTAATCTATGTGAAAGATTATATGAAGGTGCTCTTCATGGTAATGAGCGAAGTCTCGAAGCTTTGGCAGCCAAGGACTACAATAGCTTAAACGTTCGAATCACTGGTGTATCGACTGATATAGGAACGTGTATGGATGAAGTGGCAACGATGAAGCAAATACCACAATTCTTGATCATGGATAGTACTGTCATTGATAATATAGGTTTCATTATTTTAAAGATTTTGGAATGTTACATAAGAAAAGAAAAAATAAGATGTTAGTAGCCCTATTTATTAGTATAATAATACTATTGTTTAGTCTGGTGTTGTCATTGCCTTTTTAATAAACATAAACATAACTAATAAAGGGTTTGGCAGAATTGTGCGGAAGATTAAGGAGAGCTGGTATTAATGGTTTTAGGTTTCTCGAATAGCACAACTTTTTTATGTTAGAAACCTTAAATTCAGATGCTCTTATAGCTTCGAGTTTGATTATTCCGTGTGCAAATATTCTTTATGGCCTACTTGGTCACTTAGGATTCTGTCAAAACGTTTAATTTCTGTCGAGCTGCGGGAAGCTTTTGTCAAGGAACATACTTACAAGGACTTCTTTGTAAAATCCGGATATACAATACTAAATAGTAATTTTAATGCAAAACAAAATAAAAAATGAAAATTAGTACTTTCAAATAAGTTTCATGAAAATACTTATTTCTCTGAGAAAAAAAACTAACATGTGTATAGTCCGTTAACATTTTGTTTTTCCAATATCAAAGTTATAAATAAATTTATTTTAAATTCAGGACGATAAAGTGGACAAATGCAACATGTTAAACATGTATAAACTCAAATGGATGCATAATACAGAAAAAACAGACTCTTTCACACTATATAAAAACAACTAATTAATTAACACAAATGTTTCTTAAAAAAAAATCAAAAATAATTAAACACAAGTTTGCAGCCGTGTGGTGGCCAGAGCCGGGCAATATGGGGTCGCCACAGTGTCTGTATGTGCAAAGCTCTCCTTGGAGTGTACTGGTTTCATGGGAACCACAGATATAGAGAAACAATCCTCCAATGTACAGTCCATGAAACTTCTTGGTGCTCAGGTAACTTGTAATTACTATTTTCACCAGTAACTAATATCTCACTGGATTTTGCAGCATAAACTTTGTGTATTTATCCTAAAAAAAACATAATGTTTGTTTAATATGTGTTAATTTGTGCAATTCACATTAAAAACGAGGATATTCGGTGTTATTCACATTAAAAAAGCTCTTGTAATATACTACCTAAACGAGCAATGTTTAGTGCTATTTTGTGCTATACACACCAAAAATGAGAATTTACTATCTGAAAGTGAATATTTTGAGCTATTTATCCAAAATTTGAGTTATTCTTTTTTTTTTTTAACACATGAAATCTATCATATTAGAGCTACCATATCCGCAATACAGAGAAAGGAGGATATCGAATGCTCTGATAGTAGTTAAAAATTTAAGTCAGTGCATGAGTGAAGCTTCCCGGTGACAGTGTACATCTGTGATCTGTCCATGCTCAACGCAATAATCAGAAACATCTGAGAAACAACATCGTACGTTTAATTTTATTAAAATCTGAGTATGTACGTTAGCATCACGCAACACAATTTAAACGTTAAAAATAAGATATAGAAAACAAGAAAAGTCTAAAAAGCTTATCTTCAATTCCTATGGAATCTCATGAAAAACATTAATTACATCCACTTGTTCAATATTTTCCCCCGACCGGAGAAGATGATTTGTTATCTTCACTTGCTCTGTTTTTCGAAAGGGGTTCTTCTCTATGATTAAGATAGAAGACCTAATAAACGATTTTTCAACGCACAAAGATTCAAAAATAAATTCTTTGTTACAAAAAAAAGATTAAAAGAAAATATTAGAATTTCATAATACTGTGATGTTTTTTTTTGTTAATATAATAAATTAACGATGATCCCAAACAGACAATTTTTCAAAACATTAGCAATCATCATTATCAAACGCACGATTTCCCTAAACTAGTTGTTGCTGCCACCAATTTGTAAGTGAATAATTTAGACATACAGTAGATATTCGTTTACTGCGAAGTTGACTATCAAATAATAAATAGTAGATGCTATATTACAGATAGTTATAGCCTCGAGTATGATTATTCCGTGTGCAAATATTCTCTCTCGGCTACTTGATCACTTAGGTTTCGGCCGCCCCAGACATTTTACTCGTGACGAACTTTCCGGAAGCTTTTTACCTTAAACTTTTCGGTAAAATCCAATTTTAAAAAATGAAAACTAATACTAGTTTCAAGTAAATTCCATGGAAAAGACTAATTTCTATGGAAAAGAAACTAAACATTTATTATTCCGTTATAATTTTGTTTTTATTAAAGTTATACTTCTTTTAAATGAAGACGTAAAGTGGACAAATACAACAGCATGTTAAACATGTATATAAAGTCAAACGGAATCATAACAGAGAAAAACCATACACTCTCACACTATAAAAAGGTATCTCATCAACACAAATGTTTCCGAAGAAAAATCACAAATAATAAAAACACAAGTATTTCCATAAAAAAAGTTTCCAGAAGAGAAAAAAGAAGAATCATGTCGTTAACTAACATCCAGGTTCAAGGACAGCCAGTCCCTAGGGTATCGGCAAGAAACCACAGTATGAGAAACTCTGTTGTTTGCGGAGTTTCCATAAAACGTCACCACCGTGTAAGCAATGTACTCAGCCGTAAGAGTGGTCCATCGTTGGGTTCTATTCCAATAAGAACCGACGAGAGCCAGTTTCTTCGTGTTGACGGTACCGGTAAATTCGGGAGGTTCGGTGGGAAGTTTGTACCGGAGACATTGATGTCTCGCCTGAGAGTTCTTGAAGACGAATTTAATTTTGTTTTGAGTTTTGAGCGATCATAAATTTCAGGTTGGTTTTTCTCACATACTCCAATGATTAAGCTTCTCGCCAGCAAAAAAAATAAAGTTCAATTCAATTAATATTAGAAAAACATATCCGACACTTAAAAATCAAACGGATTTATATTTTGTTTGGGGAACAAACATGTTTATAGAGGAATTAATGCGTGAACTAAAATAAATGAGAAAAATAATTTGACGCAAACAGGATTGATCATTGATACCTCGGCACTCAAGTAGTGGCCAGTGGGATATCTTTACTATAGACTGAGACAGCCATAGCACAACATCTTTACTATAGATTAAGACAACCATACTACAACATCTTTTAATTAAGTAGATTAGGGCATGCGGATTCGGTTCATCCGTTCTTCGGGTAATTCCGATTTTCAAAATTTTAAAACCGAAGAGAACCGACTTTTTAAGTATTATTCGGATAAATTCTGTGAAAATGGGAAAACCTCGTTTTTCATGGATCCATATTCCAAACAACGTACGAACAGACACATGACCTCTTTTTTTTCTTTTTACATAAGAAGTAAAATACAAATAATGTAAAGATGATATTGCTTCTATTTAGCAAAAATGATATAATAAAACGTGATAATTGATAAATGTTTGTTTTTATGTGTGCTTTGAATTATAATTAGGAGGAGCTAACCACAACATTAAGAGACTACGTAGGAAGAGAAACCCCTCTCTACTTCGCCGGACGTTTAACGGAACACTACAAGAACCTAGCTAGAACCACCGGAGGAGGTGGACGAAGCGGTGGTCCCGATATCTACCTAAAAAGGGAAGATCTTAGCCATGGTGGATCCCACAAAATCAACAACGCTCTCGCTCAGGCAATGATCGCCCGGCGGCTTGGTTGCAGCCGTGTGGTAGCCGCCACAGGAGCCGGGCAACATGGGGTCGCCACGGCGGCTGCATGTGCAAAGTTTTCGTTGGAGTGTACTGTTTTCATGGGAACCACTGATATAGAGAAACAATCCTCTAATGTACAGTCCATGAAACTGCTTGGTGCTCAGGTAACTTGTAATTACTATTTGTGTAAAAACGATTCACGAGTAACCGAATCTAATTGGATCCGGTTTTTCAGCATAACCTAACTGATCCGGTTTTGCAACAAAAAGCATAAAGCTTGTTTGATAAATTTTGTCCTTTTGTGTTTCAATTTTTGCTATTCTGCTCTCGGGTTTAAAAGTTATAAGGTACTCCCGTTTTTAACATATTCATAAGGTATATCTAAGATTTACAAAACTTCAACAGACCACCAAAAGGTTAAGCAACAAAGGTACCAGAAAATTAATAAAAAGAAGTACAAATCTAGCAAGAATATAATGCTGGTAATTAAAAATAGGTGGTACAAAAATTATACGGAATAATTAAACAAAGACTAATTTTTTTGTTTGATTTCTAATTAGATGAGTTTTACCTAGATATATATCTCGCAACAGCAAAATTCAAATAGATGGAACATAAAATTCGTTTTATATTATATAGGTGAAATCAGTGGAGGGAACATTCAAAGATGCGAGCTCAGAGGCGATTCGAAATTGGGTGGGAAATCTAGAAACCACATACTATTTATCTGGCACGGTCGTAGGACCGCACCCGTGTCCAGTAATGGTACGTGAGTTTCAATCCGTGACTGGGAAAGAGACGAGAAGGCAAGCAAATCAACTATGGGGTGGTAAGCCTGATGTGTTGGTGGGTTGTGTGGGGAGTGGCTCAAACGCATTAGGTCTGTTTCATGAGTTTGTTGGAGATGAGGATGTGCGGCTAGTCGGGGTCGAGGCGGCAGGGCTCGGTCTGGATTCAGGGAAACATTCAGCTACTTTGGCCGTTGGGGAGATTGGTGTATATCACGGTACGATGAGCTATTTATTGCAAGATGATGAAGGACACTAGACCACACTCCATAGGAGTTGGGTAAGTCATAAGTGTGAAAGTTATCTCAACATTTTACAACACATTTATATATAGCGGATACACATATTACATTATTTTGACTGCCGACAAAAGAAAAGTTAGGCTAAAACACAACAAATTTGGTACTCCATTTGTTTCTTCAAACAGTTTCCTAAACTAATCCTGGAGTTAATTACCTCGATTTAGGATTATTAATTAAAGTTAAAAGAAAAGCTAAATTTTTAATATGATGAACTAAAAACGATATTTCGATTTAACTTTTTGTATTTCAGATATTTCCATTTAACTGTATAGAAAAGTTAACTGGCAAAGCATATTTGTACAAGTTTCACGTTTTTTTTTTAAAACACACACGATTAAAGTTACTTGCACGTCTATTTAGCGAAAGAAAAAAAGATTTACACGTGTATCACATGCAAGTCATCTCTCGTAATCGGTTATGAACCAGTCTTGTTGAACCGGATTTTAACCTGGCAGGATCAAACTCCAAAACTGAGTTTAATCTAAAATTGGATGACCAAATTAATTTTTTAAAGCAAAGAGAAGACGTTAGTACTAAGCCTCACATATGCTTTGATTACATGGTCGTAGGTTAGAGTATCCTGGAGTTGGACCGGAGATAAGCTTTCTGAAAGAAACCGGAAGAGCCGAATTCTACACAGCAACAGACCAAGAAGCAATTCAAGGTACCTCTCTAATTCCGTACCACTAATGTTTCTTTTTAATTCTTACAAGAATTGTTCATCAGCTAAACACAATCTTCTATATTATTGTCGATTGTAGCGTGCATGCTGTTGAGCAGATTGGAGGGAATAATCCCGGCATTGGAAGCGTCTCACGCGCTCGCGTTCCTCGACAAACTCGTTCCTACTCTGCGCGATGGTACCAAAGTGGTCTTGAATTGCAGTGGCCGTGGCGACAAAGATCTAGACACTCTCATGCAACGAGGCATTGCCTAATTTAATTAATTGATATGTTAATACATATATTTACGTTATATCATAATTTTAATGTTTAAGATTTGTCTTGTTCACTTAAATTATATCTTTAATCTATCAAAATCTATACTTGATCGGATATTAGAATCTATAATTAATGTTTTCTCAGGTTCACGTTTTCTCAAAGTTAAAAGACAGAAAGATCCACTATGGTACAATTCAAAAGCGAAAATTTTCAGCTTTTAGGTCTCTCTACACATGTGATGAACATCACTCTACAATTTTAGCGGTCCAAAATTTACTAACGTATCATTTTTCTTTTATTAAGATGTCATGCTTATCTAGACAATCTAAGAAATTCTGCCACACCGGGAAACTAGTTATATTATTGTATGATTTGTAAATTTTATTGTACTTCACTATCATACATTATAACATTAATAAAGTAAATTTACCTAGAATATAATTTACTTAACTATCATACAGTAATAAAGTAATTTTTATTGTACTCCACTGTCATACATGAAATTTTTTTTTGATTAAAATAAATAAAATAGAACAAATCATATTAAAATCCTACATATTAAGGTGATAAACGAAAATCTCAAAAATAAAATTAAGAAATATAAAATTTAGTTAAAAGTTCTGGCATCTGTAAACAACAGTTTTTTTTTCTTACGGTGAGGAGAGCTTATAAGAGCTAACATCAGACGTTATAAAATCAATAAAGCTTTCTCACATGTGACCAAAGCTCTTGTTTCAACGGTTCATATTCACTTCACATAGTATATATATGTATCAAGACTACAGTTTGCATACATAAATATTGTATGTCAAAGAAGAATTTCAGGTCTCATCACGAAAACTCTTAATGGTAATCTAATCCACAAAGCAAATTCAAGATTTATGATTCCACAGTTCTGTAAACTTTAATCAATCACCTAATTTTGTATATGAAGACATGGTGAGTTTCTATGCCACACAGTGCAATGGTTTGTCAATGGACAAAGAAAGCTTGCTCAATCGAAATTTGAGAGTCAAAAATATAATGAAGAAGGCCATGTGTGTGTTTAGCGTTTTCGTCTACATTTGTTTTGCAATGTGATAATTATTAATCATCATACCATCGAACACATATACAAAAAAAAACAATCATGCATGATCTAAGTAAATAGTTAAATTAATCGATTTGCTTAACTAATGATTAACTAGTATACTCCTTCTCTTCAGAATTATTTGATGTTTAAGGTTTTTGCACACAGTTTAAGGATTCATTTAATTTTTCTTTTCCCTATACTAAAAATATTATTTATAATTCATTTAAATATCATTCAGCCAATAAGAAGACAATCTGCAGAATATAAAAGGTCAAAAACTATAAAAATTTATTAAATTTTGCATTGAAAAATGAGAACATTAAATAATTCTGAACAAAAAAACCTTCTAAAACATCAAATAATTCTGAATAGAGGGAGTAATAATTTCAATCTTCAAATGAATAGCAAACACTGATGCTAAGCTTAACTTTAGCTCATCGACAGTCTCTACGGCCAACAAGACGAAAAATACTAAATACCCATCCCATAGAGCTCACGAATCGGCACACTATAAGGGCATTTCGGTTATTACACATAATCTGAATTTCATTTTTGTCGCCAACCTCTAAAGAGTAAAGACCCATACTTTCCCTCCTCTCTGCCCTCACCTCCTTCCTTACCCTATAAAAACCTTCGCTTCCGCCTCTTCCATTTTCCCAAGAAACAAAAACAGCTCTTTTCTCTTTCTATCAAAAATCTTCACTAAACAGAGTTTTTTTTCTCCTCTCGAACCAACCTCGTGATCATCGCAAGTTGTTAAATTTCCCCAAATAAAAACGATGATTTCTTCAATTAAACCGGTATCGCCCTCCTTAACCGCAATCGGCGGCGTAAGGCGATCAGCTCCGGGAAAGCTCCGGTTTTCTCCCTTACCCATCATCAGAAACTTCGAGAAACCTAATCCTTTCCCTCTTCAAGTTTTATCTGCTCAGAATTTTTCGAATTTCTCTGTGTCGGCGGCGGCGCAGAGGCGTGATGTTTTCAAGGTTGGAGCTTACGAGGCCGATCGATCTCAGCCGATTGAAATCGGTATTGAAATTTCTGACGAACAATCGAGGCAGAAGGTAAAGATTGGGATCTACTTCGCGACTTGGTGGGCACTGAACGTTGTGTTCAATATATACAACAAGAAGGTCCTGAACGCTTTTCCTTACCCGTGGCTAACTTCGACGCTTTCTCTTGCTTGTGGGTCTCTGATGATGCTCGTCTCTTGGGTCACTAGAGTCGCCGAAGCTCCCAAAACCGATCTCGATTTCTGGAAAACTCTGTTCCCGGTACGAACTCTAGCTTTCATTAGTGTTGTTGTTGCCTGGTGTTTGATTTTGGAAGGTGCTCTGTCTGATTAGTTCTTCGAGATAAGATAGAAGAGTGAAATGAAACTGTGAAAGTCTGTAACTTGGAAGCTGAATTCTGCAGAAATCCTCAAATTCAACATTTTGTGAGATTAACCGTTTTAAGTGCTGATGGAACTGTGTGATGATGAATTGATTGTTCAGGTGGCAGTGGCTCATACGATTGGACATGTAGCAGCGACAGTGAGTATGTCGAAAGTTGCAGTGTCTTTCACACACATCATCAAAAGTGGTGAACCAGCCTTCAGCGTCCTTGTCTCGAGGCTCTTCTTAGGCGACACATTTCCTCTACCAGTTTACCTCTCCCTCTTACCCATCATCGGAGGCTGCGCTCTCGCTGCTGTCACCGAACTCAACTTCAATATGATCGGTAATCATAAACATCCTTTGATTGCTTAAAATTGCTGTTGTGTAATTCAATAAGGTGTGTGAGTCAATGCAAACACATATTATGCAAGATGTAGATAAAAAGTGTGTTTTTTTTGGGATTTTTCAGGGTTTATGGGGGCTATGATATCGAATTTGGCGTTTGTGTTCCGCAACATATTCTCAAAGAAAGGGATGAAAGGGAAGTCAGTGAGTGGGATGAATTACTACGCTTGCTTATCTATGATGTCTCTTCTTATCGTCACTCCTTTCGCCATTGCTGTGGAAGGTCCCCAAGTGTGGGCTGCTGGTTGGCAAAACGCTGTATCCGAGATTGGACCAAACTTTGTCTGGTAACTTTTTAACCAAATTAGTATGATATCCATTGATCTTGTACAAAGGAATATAAGTCCTTTTCAAAAGAGTTTGTTTTGATACCTTGTAAAATGTTTGAATTCAGGTGGGTAGTGGCACAGAGTGTGTTCTACCATTTGTATAATCAAGTCTCGTACATGTCACTCGACCAAATTTCACCCTTGACATTTAGCGTTGGAAACACGATGAAGCGGATCTCAGTCATCGTTGCCTCGATCATCATCTTTCACACCCCGATTAGACCTGTCAATGCCCTCGGTGCTGCCATTGCTATTCTTGGAACTTTCATCTACTCTCAGGTAGAGTGAACAGGTACACTTTTTTTCATAGTCTGCATTATGATGCTTTCTTCCTCGTTATCTGTCTGCTCTGAGATGAAAGGAAGAGATGAAAACAACACACAAAGATGATGCCCTTTTGTTTTACGTTAGTGTCAAACGATAATCTTGTTCATTTATTGAAAGAAAAGCTTGAACCTTTAGTGATCACTGATCAAAGATTAACGAAATCTAACTCCACGAATTGGCCAATGCTGTATCGCTTTTGGACTTTATCTTCAGTTTAAAGCTCTTTGTTTTGTGTGAGTATTTGGAATGATGATGTTCTTTTCCGTTTTGAATCTTCGAGCAGGCGAAGCAGTGAGGAGACTGAAGTCGGAGCGGTTTCACAGGGGAATTTTGATACACCAAAGATACTGAGAAGTGAGAACAGAGGACATAAGAATATTCCTATGAAGATCTCAGGAGGGTTATGTGATCGTTGGATCTGAGGAAATGGAGTTGGAAGATCAACGGCTTAAAATCTTTGCATACTGCTTTGATATGTATAATGTAATTTAACCTTCTACCAATAGGATCCAAAGATCAACTGATTGATTTGAACTACCACTCCACTGTATAATCTAAAGTTAATACAAGACCCACTAAATATATAATATTCTCCTTTTTCTGACGTTGTTTAAGATTATAATCTTCTTATTCTTTCCTATTTTTTTGTGTCAACGACTGCTTCATTATGTAATTTATAAGCAAATCTCATATCCTCGTTATATTCTTGATGAAGTTCTCGTTTCTCTAAGTTTCATATGTTTTTGGTCTTCTTTCTTACTAATTCGTTTTGAGCTTTCTTTGGTTTTCGTATAAACAATAAAAGTAGGTGAATTGGTTTTCTCGGGATGAATTACTGTATATTTTTGGAGCAAATCCAATGCGACGGACCTACGGACTACAAACATTAATTTTGATGTACGTATAAATTATAGGCAACGTATAGATTTTAGAAGACGCAGCTATGCCTGTAGGCTGTAGCTATATGACATATCTTTGAGAAACAAGATAAAATGTACATAATTAAAACGAGGAAAATTGTAAAAAAAAAAGTATGCATTTTCAAATTTTGGCTGTTTAAAGCATGACCATGCTGTAGATAATTTAAATCATCAATTTTTTTTGTTGAATTTAAATTTAAATTATTAATTTTTATTGACTGAGTCAAATTAGACATGATTTTAAATCGACTAACAAAATAAATAAATAGGCTTAAAAACCATTAAAAATTATGAAACGACGTTATTTTGTCCATCTTTTTAAAACAACAAGTCAAAAAAATCCTTAATCTGTTAAAATCCTAATATTTTTAAAATACAATTTCAACCAAGTCACTTTACTCAAATGTCTTTTTCTATCGAAACCAAAACTAATTCGTGAAATTATGCATAGCAGCTAAAATCCTTAGAACTCGTATGAACATAAGTAGCTTTAAGCAATTCGAGTTGTTTCTCAAAACTCTTTTATAATAGAATTATAGCCGCCAAATTATCCTGAAGTCTGGACGTTCATACCCAAAATTAAGTTGTAATTTTGCAAATGTTGCAAGAATAAAGCCCTAAAACTGGTAATTCTTCTCACGAGAAACTCTTTAACAGTTACAAGATATAAGACCGAAGCAGAGAGCATCCCATTATTGGATTTCTAAAGAGACAAAGAGATATAATTATTCAAATCCTCACTCACGCCTAAGAAAAAACATACAAAACTCTGGCTTTTACGAAAAACCCGATTACGATAAGAGACTCATAAACTTTCAACACTTCACTCAGTTGCTAGAAGACATTAACACTTGGCCAACTAACATCCACCTGTCTCTGTAAATTCTACACAGAGTAATTAAGACTCAGAGACTCCAGTCTACTAACACGGACCAACTCCTACTATATATATAGCTTTTACGAATATTGGAATAGCGTTTCAAATTTTATTTTTTTTCGTAACTGAAAGTTCATCATATTAAGGTTTTATTTTCTAATATGGGAGAAGTTCTGAACATTTGTTGGAAAACAAAAAACTTATGAGCGAGGAAAAAATAGAATTTGTAACTCTTACCATCCTTCTTTGCAATTAATTTTCTTCGTTAAATAGGACTTTCAATAGGATAGATAAACTAAACAGAGAAATGAAGTAGCTTCTTTGTCAAAGAAGTACAAAAAAGTAGCTTCTATTTTTGTGACCTTATATATATTAAATGACATTTCCTTTAAATATTAAATATATCAAGTAAACTTTTTTTGTCCTCAAATAAGCTACAACCCAAAATTCAACGCAAGGTTTGGGAATGTATGATATAATATTTTCGCATTCCCCTAATTAATGTTGCCAAGAAAATTTTGGAGGACTAATGTGCCCCCTATGAACATCTATACCTTAAAAATATATCATTATAGAGCACATACTTTAACTAGATCAACAATACTGTCATACATTCACACTGATAACTGATTATTAATTAGGTATGTATCTAGTTAAAAAACTTAAACTATATACCAATTATATACAGTCAAAAGTAAATGCACACAGATGGTTGGTGAGACCAATTACTCATTAGGTTCATGTGGTAGATCACTTCATCACACATACAGATGTATACTTTCTCTATATAACAAGAACCCTAAAACCTCTCTTCACTATAAACTTTCCCTAAACTCCATCTACCAATCTTCTTCACTTATCTCCCATCTCTCTCTCCCTCTCTCTATCTATTCAAATAGTAAACAAATATGGATCTAACTGATGTTATCATATTCTTGTTCGCTCTCTATTTCATCAACTTTTGGTGGCGCCGTTACTCCTCCGCTGGAAGCAGCCAATGTCGCCTGAACATCCCGCCGGGACCAAAAGGGTGGCCACTAGTCGGAAACCTTCTCCAAGTCATATCCCAACGTCAGCATTTCGTCTTCCTAATGCGTGACCTACGTAAGAAGTACGGTCCAATATTCACCATGCAAATGGGACAACGTACGATGATTATCGTCACAGACGAGAAACTCATCCACGAGGCTCTTGTCCAACGCGGCCCCACTTTCGCTTCCCGGCCACCGGACTCGCCCATCCGGCTCATGTTTAGCGTCGGAAAATGCGCTATAAACTCGGCCGAGTACGGATCTTTGTGGCGGACTCTGAGGAGGAACTTTGTGACAGAGCTCGTGACCCCGACTAGAGTGAAGCAGTGCTCGTGGATAAGGACTTGGGCTATGGCGAACCATATGAAGAGGATTAAAACGGAGAGTATTGAGAAAGGTTACGTCGAGGTTATGAGTCAATGCAGGCTAACGATTTGCAGCATCTTGATATGTCTTTGTTTCGGAGCCAAGATCAGCGAGGAAAAGATCAAGAACATTGAGAACGTTCTTAAGGACGTTATGCTTATAACTGCTCCTACTTTACCGGACTTTTTACCTGTTTTTACTCCGTTGTTTCGGCGTCAAGTTAGGGAAGCGAGAGAGCTAAGGAAGACGCAGCTCGAGTGTCTTGTACCGTTGATTAGAAACCGTCGTGCGTTTGTTGACGCAAAGGCGAGTCCTAACGAAGAGATGGTGAGTCCCATCGGTGCCGCTTATGTAGATTCTTTGTTTGGTTTGAAGCCGATCGAGAGAGGCGGCGAGCTCGGAGATGAAGAGATTGTAACTTTATGTTCGGAGATTGTCTCGGCCGGTACGGACACGAGCGCGACCACGCTTGAATGGGCGTTGCTTCATCTTGTGACCGACCAAAACATCCAAGAAAAGCTATACGAGGAAGTTGTCCAAGTTGTTGGCAAAAACGGCGTCGTTGAAGAGGATGACGTGGCGAAAATACCTTACTTGGAGGCTATTGTGAAAGAGACTCTCCGGCGCCACCCACCTGGGCATTTTCTTCTCTCTCACGCCGCCGTTAAAGATACGGAGCTAGGAGGCTATGATATTCCGGCAGGGGCATATGTGGAATTCTACACTGCTTGGGTTACTGAGAACCCGGAGATTTGGTCGGATCCGGGTAAGTTTCGACCCGAGAGGTTTTTGACCGGTGGGGACGGTGTAAATGCTGACTGGACCGGAACACGTGGCGTTACCATGTTGCCGTTTGGTGCGGGTCGTCGGATCTGTCCGGCTTGGTCTTTGGGGGTTCTACACATCAACTTGATGCTTGCTAGGATGATCCATTCCTTTAAATGGATCCCTGTTCCGGACTCTCCACCCGACCCGGCGGAGACTTTCGCGTTTACGGTCGTGATGAAGAATTCTCTCAGAGCCCAGATCCTGTCAAGAACTTGATATGGATAAGTTCGAACTGGATGCAGTCGGGTCGGGTTTATGATATGATAATGCTTTTGTATGCGTGTGTGCCAATTAGTAATATATAGTACGTCGCTTTAATCTCAGCTATTAATTGTGTAGTTCGTTACTATCTTTTTCAATATTTATTCCAAAATAGCTATTGTTTCTGCTCTTCAATGTTAAATAGTATATACTATATAGTACTTATCAAATATGCGTGTTCGGTCGGTTCATGTGTTTGTAGGCATAGTTGGTCACTAATTACGTACAAATTTAATGCCATTATTTTTTTAAAAAAATATAGTTAATTATAGGCGCTACGTTGGCTGATCCTCCTTTACGCCCCCATGATGAGGATTTTGGAGTTACGGTGGTAGGTTTTTTTTTTGCAAAGTGTTATAGATATTAATGTGTGAACAGTAGTCAAAAGAATTAATACTAGAAATTAACCCGTGTAATATATACGCAGGATTATAATATTTTAAATAATATTTTAATAATTAATTTTAAATTTTAGTTCATAAATTTTATTTGTATATATAAATATACCACGCAAAAATTTTACATTCATCAAATAGAAATTTAATTTATTATTGACTTATAAATTTTATCATATTTTTAAATAATAATAATAAATAGTATAAATAAATCAAAATAAACTGTTTATTAATAACTGAGTTTTGTAATCTGTTCGCAAACTATAAAAATTAAATTTATCTTCTTTAAAATAGTATAATTTTTGTAAAACTTATGTTTGATATATAAAAAAAAATACAAAAATAAATTATAATATTTAGTAGATTGAATATATACCACCTATTTTAAAAATTAATATTTAGAATCGCAAGATTTATTTTTGGATATTAAAAAATTAGAATCATAATCTTTTCATATCGAAGTAATCTTTCTATTTAACTTATTTGTATTTTATTAAAATATAACTTAAAAAACAATTTTAATATATATTCTTTAATGATTCACACTCCAAAAAAAAAAATTTGTGTCAAATTTTTGGTAAAAATAATTTTTGTCTATAATCAAGTAACATAACAAATTATACTTATAAAATATTTCACCATTTTTCAATATCATAATTTTAATCTTGACTTTTTACATTATTCATTTGAAATAAATAACATAAGAAATTGTCATATTTTTAAATTTAGAAATGTAATATACTCAAATATATGAGAAACAAAAACTTTCCATATTGTTTTAAATATATTTGAAAGACAATTATATCCTTTTCTATTTTAGTTATTTTTGTTATTTCTAATGGCATTTCATGTAATAACTTACACATTTAAGTTCATTTTTAAAAATGTCTACTCAAATAATAATATAGAGATTTTGATTTCTAGTTTAGATATGATTCAATTACAAGTTATCTTTTGGTACCAAAATGAAGTTTGTATAACTGACGCTGACCTATCAAATTTAATGAAATTGTCAGTCGTAAGGTGGTCACTTAAATTCCACCCCAAATATGTTGGGGCTACCGAGTAGCACAATGAGTAACATACTTCGATGAAAAAACATATAAATATTCTTTTCGAAAAATATATAATATAGTTTCTTATTTAAAACCACTCATGTATATATAGCATTGACAAAAAAAAAATAAACATTATATATATCCAATAACAAACAAGCTAAGTAAGTATTTTATTTCCAACTGATTTTTTATATTGCAATTTGCAATGCATTAATCAACATATTTAAACTTCAATATATGTATATAAAAGAGGTGAAAGTAAGTGAATGGTGTCACTTGCGAGAATTAAGTTTGTGTTTTGGCCTGAGTGCTTGGTATACGAATGGGCACAATAATGTTCTTACCCTAGCATGAATTTTCTAACCATACAAGCCTGACACTGGGCCATCCGTTCATTAAATTTAGGGCAAATTATATCTCAGAAATATAACTTTTTTACTTTCTACGTACGTTTGTAAAAGTGAACGGTAGTTAGTCAGCTTGATGTATATGCATTTTCCCCCTTTGCTTTTGGGACGACGTTTTAAAAACAAGTCTTGTACTCGTTTATTTCATTTTGTACGGTATAAGAGTTTTCATTAATTTAAAGTTTTTTTTTTAACTTCATTTTTTCTATATATATTAATATGAAAGTAATATAATTTTGGTTCAATACTTACAAAGTTACAATTGTGATTAATAATCCTGTTTTCCATTTCAATTTTCTTTTAAATAAAGTCATTTTGGTGAATTTTCCTTAATTTTAACTATACGCCATATCGAATTAACATTTAGGTTGATATTTATTTAATATGCATAGGCATCAATAAAGTTTTTCCCCCTTTTTAACATGAAGAAAAGTTTGAACAACTGGTCGGCCCTAAATCCCTAATGTTTAAAATTGGTCAATGAATTTTCCTAAAGTTGTTTCCTCGAGAACAGAACAGACTTATTCAATTCATACACTGCTCAATCTTCTAATATAGAAGTATTTTATGTTGCTATAAATTTTATTGCACGGAGTTATTTTTCTTAAGCACGTAAGAATTAAGAAACTTTGTCGTTTTGTCCTCTTGCACGTTGGAATGACTCAAGTTAAATCAACTTTATATTATTTACCTGTTAGAGTTTTTGTTATTATTATTAGATTCGATTTTGTTAATTAAATTGTTGTATCTCTTTTTTAATCCAATCCCAAGTAAAACCCCCCATTTAATCTAGTTTAGAAAGTGGAAATATATAGGCGGACACGAATCTTCCTTTAGCTAACACGTTAGTCTGACGTGTAAGTTAACTGTTGTAGAGGTCTGATTGGGCTTCAACGTGTACCTTATATTTGCTCGATTATGGGCTTATCGGACAAATGGACTTGAACTTTCCAGTTGCTTCTTCAACTAATGAAGTCCGTCCTCCGACGTCAATATGAAGATCCGGCACGGTCACATCGGTTGAAATCTTTTGAAGAAAATCAAAAAGTCAAAATCCAGAGGTCCATATCACATGTCACGGTCATCTTGTTCAAGAGCGTGAATTGCTGCTCTCGGCCAACAAACAATTGTCTCACATGCGTGGCTTGTTGCTATACCTCAATTTCCGATGTTTCATAAATTTTCATGTTACTTCATTGAGAACAATGGTCTATCTGCTCGTCACTTCAAAAAAAAAAGAGTCTTTTAACATCTAAATTGTGGGAGAGATAAAAAGAGTGACAAAAAAGAGTCTTTGATGTGTTTATTGTCTGGCTATCGAATTTCATAAACAGAGTGGGACAGTATTGTTTATCATTAGAATCCGATTGGCATTCATGTTTTCTTCTTGTTTTGCTTCAACTTGTTAACTTGTAGCTTTTTTAAATAAAGAAAACTATAGAAATTTCTGTATATTCAAAAGAGACTCTTGGAGTGGTCATCAATACTATTTCAGATCAAAACTGAACAACTCGAAAAAAAATGTTATAAGACATTTATATACAACATGTTCAAAAGTTTTCAGTGAGAAAACTGATAATCACCACCACATGTTTCACAGAGGCAATGCAGCTTCAACTTCATTCCACAAGTCAGCATTTCTAGTAAACTTCTGTTTCACTTGCGCAATGAGCTCCTTTGATTCTTCAACCTTCGAAACACTTGCTAGTCCACTAACAAGCCACTTCATGACACTGAAACTCGGAACCCAGTTCTTCTCCATACTCTCCCGACAAAGGATCAAAGCCGTCTCAAAGTCTCCTCCTTTGCACAAGCAATGTATCAGAGTGAAGTAACATTCACTGTCAGGCTTGTATCCACTCCTCACCATGACCTCGAACAAACTCATCGCCTCATCCAAATTCCCCTCGCTGCAAAACCCATGAATCAAATGCGAATACGTCACAGAATTCGGTCTCATCCTACTAGACACAACCCCATCAAGCAAGGCCTTTGCTTCTGCAGATTTCTTCCTTTTACACAAACAATGAATCATGATGTTGTATGTAGCAACACCTACATGAACTCCAAGTTCTCTCATTACTCTCAACACTTTCCTCACATCATCATACTTGTCCTCCTTGTAAAAACCAGCAATCATTAGCCCGAAGCTAGAAGCTGTAGGCTTTACCAATTTCCTCTCCATCTCTGCAACAATGGAGTATGAGGAGCTCGTTGAACCGGATTCACACAACACTTTTATCATTAGATTGTAAGTTTCGAGATCAGGTTCGATGCCATAGATCTTCGGCATTTCGAAGTAGACCCGTCTCGCTTCATTGTAATCCTTCGCCATCAAGCAAGCGTAAAGAAGAGCATTCAGAGACTTCACCGTCCTTGGGATCTCGTATTGCTCGAGGTCACGAAATGTCTGTAAAGATCGATCGAGCATATTTGCTCGGCCGTATAGAATAATGGCGCGAGCAGCGAAACTCTCGGATTTGGGATATGGTTGGTTCTGGATGAAACCGTCGAGAAGCTGCGAAACAGCGACGAAGTGTTTCTCGCTCGCCAGTGTCACGACCGCGACGGAGAAGGCGACGCGGTCGACGTGGTAATCAGGGGTTAGAGAAGCGGATCTGCAGATTTCGAGGATTCGATCCGGATTATTCTCGGTTTTGAGAAGGGAGAGAATAGCCCGGCTCTTCTTCTGCTTGCTAGTGAGCGAGGTCTTGGAGTTCGGTGTGTGGATAGATAAATTGGTGGATACGAATCGGAATTGAATCACGTTCTGGACGAGAGATTCCGATGTTCGAATGCGCAAGAGAAACGCCATTGCTAGGGCTCATAATGTTTCAGAAGTAATGGAGAGAGACGACGGTGGAGAGATCAGGTTTAAACCGGTTAGGGGGTTTGACGAAATGAAAATTTAATTTAGAAACGGTTTTCTCAAATCACATACAAAAAAAAATTAGGATCATGTTTAAACCGGGGTTTTGAACCCGACGTGAATCGAACACGCAACCTTCTGATCTGGAGTCAGACGCGCTACCATTGCGCCACGGATCCGATGCAAAAGAGGTATCAAAAATGTTATATAGTCTATATATGTTTATTTCATATAAACCACCGCCGTTGGAAAGTTTTATCATTAACCATCGTAGCTGTTATCTTCTTCCTCATCACAACTTTCTACGGTCAGGGATTGAAAAGAGTTGTCAATCTTTATTCTTCTTCTTCTTCTTATTCTCCGATCATGATGCAGCAGCCACCACCCGGAGGTATTCTTCCGCATCACGTTCCTCCTCCGTCTGCGCAACAGCAGTACGGTTACCAGCAACCGTCTCCTTACGGGATGGCTGGAGCTGCTCCACCACCGCAGATGTGGAATCCGCAAGCGGCGGCGCCGCCATCAAGTCAGCCCATGACCGCCGACGAGATCCGGACTCTTTGGATCGGTGACTTGCAGTTTTGGATGGATGAGAATTTCCTCTACAGTTGTTTTGCTCATACCGGAGAGGTAATATTCTGAAATTTGGTGTTTCGATTGGTGTTTACTTTACTTCTTAAAATTTGTTTTTTTGCTATTGGATTTGCACTAAGTTGTTTCAATACCTTCTTTTGGATGCTTTTTGTTTGTTCGGATGAGATTAAGGTTAATTTAATAAGTTGTTTGCGTCGCAATTTCCTCACTTCTCATCACTTTTTCTGATTGAAAGGTTGGATTTTGAAGGATATGACGATCAAAGTCTCCTATTTTATAGGAATACTTAGTGGGTTTATGAGTCTTTGTGTCCTGTTAGTGTATGGTTAATTTAACACTGTCAGTATTTTTCGCAGGTTGTTTCTGCTAAAGTCATCCGTAACAAGCAAACTGCTCAGGTTGAAGGTTACGGATTTATTGAGTTTGTATCTCATGCTGCTGCTGAACGAGCTCTGCAAACATACAACAACACTCCTGTCCCGGGCCTTCCGGATCAGCTCTTTAGATTGAACTGGGCCTCATTAAGTTCAGGAGATAAACGGGACGATTCACCGGACTACACTATATTCGTCGGTGATCTGGCCGCTGATGTTACGGATTATATCTTACTTGAGACGTTCAGAGCCGCTTATCCTTCAGTTAAGGGTGCAAAGGTTGTTATTGACAGAGCCACTGGGCGTACAAAGGGATATGGTTTTGTTAGGTTTTCTGATGAGAGTGAACAGATTCGTGCTATGACGGAAATGAACGGTGTTCCTTGTTCAACCAGGCCTATGAGAATTGGGCCAGCGGCTAACAAAAAAGGTGTATCTAGTCAAAGAGGTATGTGTGTATCCAAAGGATATGTTACTTTAGAACTGCTTTGCTCTTGCATTCTCATGATTTTTTTTTGCTTTTGTGCTCTAGATGTATGTGACTAGGTTTTATTAAGTAAGTACTAACTCCATTATTTAGGTTCTCTCAGTTTAGTCAAGCCGTGATTATTTGATAGAATTTTCTGTAGCCTCCTGCATTTGCTGTTATCGTTCAGGTCGCAATAAATTCTGTTGAATCTTAAAACATAGAACTCTTATAGCACACTTGTTGTATCATGTTTGTTTCAAAGCAGGGAGTCAAGAGGCTCTCTATCATCTTGAGGCCTGGAACTGATTTCAGCTGAAATGGTTATCCCCTTATTGAGTGCCCATGCTTAGGTCAGTTTTAAAGTTCATGTGTTGTCCTTTATTAGCCCTTTCCTTCACTTCAGCCCTGCTATGGTTTCCATTTATCTTTTCAGTACAACAATTTTTTTTTTCCAGTTCTCGTCCAATTACTTTATAAGTCAAATGTATCTACTTTTCTATTTCATTCCTCGCTACTTGACGTTCTTATCTTTCACTTGATTTTCTTTATATCTGTACATCAAGCTCCTTTCTACTGCTTCTGTGAGTCTAGATGTTAAAAATTCCCCCAACATTTTCGCATTTCTGTGAGAAAGATTTGTTTGACCCTTTCTCTTTGTATTGGCCTTTACAATTCCTCTATCATTTTGTCCCTATACCCATTTCAATTATTTCGTTCCACTATCTTGTTAGTTTAGCACCTTGATATACCCTCCTTGAGTAGCCGAAAAACCTTGGGAGAAACATGATGCAATTGTTGTCGTTGTCTAATTGCTCATCTTTTGTGGTTGTAGCGCCTCAGATCTTTTCTGATTGCTCGCAAATGGCAAGCTCCTCTACATATTGATAATTTATGATTGACATCATTAATAGAGTTTGACTTCCTTTACAGGTTTTGCAATTTTATCGTCAACAGATAGATAATACTATTTCTCCTTTTGGTTTCGAGTGGTCTGTTTTGCATTTGCGTTCATTATGTTGGGAATTTTAGAGGAAGCTGCAAAGGGGTCTCTCATATTCTTTCAGTTACTTTGTTGCACGTGGAATTTACAGATACTTACGCCTATTACTATACCCGTGTTTTTTGCCATGACAATGCAGATTCATACCAGAGCGCTGCTTCAGGGGTTCCAAGTGATAATGATCCAAATAACACAACTGTGGGTTATATGTTCCTGTCATAATATATGTGTCTCGCTGGGTCATTTCTGACACATTCTACGTTTATGTACAGGTTTTTATTGGTGGATTAGATCCCACTGTCACGGATGATCATCTGAAGAACGTCTTTGGCCAATATGGTGAGATTGTGCATGTGAAAATACCTGCGGGAAAGCGCTGTGGATTCGTTCAGTTCTCCGAGAAGTAAGTGCACTGCTGTTGCTGGAAACTCTGACACTTGAACCGTATAATATATAGGCTTTGGAATATCAATCTTGACAATTTAATCATGCGTGTTCTGTGATTATCCCTCGTTTTTTTTTTTCAGAAGCTGTGCAGAGGAAGCTCTTAGAATGTTGAATGGAATGCAATTGGGTGGAACAACCGTCAGGCTTTCATGGGGCCGAAGTCCTTCATCGAAACAGGTAATTGAGATTCCCTTTGCATGTGTGATATGGTATATTAGATTTGACAGAAAGAAACCGCTTGCAATGTCGGATTCTAGTAGGCTCTCTGGCCGTTTCCTGCCTTGCTTGGCCAGTGGAAAATTTACAAGAGTTAATTTAACTCTTCTTCCCTTTTTGTTTTTGTTTAATATCGATTCTCAGGCAGTAGATCCGAGTCAGTTTTATTACAGCGGGTATGGCCAAGGTCAGGAACATTATGGGTACTCAATGCCGCAAGATCCTAATGCGTATTACGGAGGCTACCCTGGCGGGTATCAGCAGCCACCACAGGCTGGCCAGCAACCACCACAGCAGCAACAAGTCGGATTCAGCTACTAGGTGGCGAGAGTATTCTTAGCGTCGCTGTTTGTTGTTTGAGTACTTTTTCATGAACGTGTTTCCAAACGCCTTTATTTGTCTTTGTCTCTCTCTCTCTCTCTCTGTTTAGGAGAGTTTCTTTTGCTCAAAACCGATACTAAAGGAGTGTGAAGACTGAAAAGCTTTACTCTTAATAATGTTTTCTTGCGATGATTCTGTTTTCTTTTGCTTGCTTTGAGAGTAGAGAACGTAGTATAGATTAATGGTATTGTAAGATTTTCATCACTACCTGAAACAAGTCGAGGATTTAGTATCAGTATTGAGTGTGAAGACTGAAGAGCTTAGGCAGTTTGCGATGCTTTCTGACTTTTCTGGTTTCTTTATTTCCTTTGCATGCTTTAAGAGTATAGAACATGAATGGTATAACATAGTATTTCTCATCACTTCCTGAAAAGCTCGAGAATTTTAAGCTTTGATTATATATATTTTTATTTTGAAGGTTAATTAAAGACGTAAAATGGTGTGTTTGCGGTTTTGACGTTTGTCTTCAAGCATTTATAAAGTTCTACGTGATTGTAAAAGTGATAATGTTATATATTGTGCAATACTGCAATGGGTTTCAGGATATGGTTGGTATGTTGGATACTAAATGAATTCCGGAATAGTAAAACTATAAAAGAGTGCAAATGATTTAGCTGAATATAGTTTTAAAGAAAATTCATGAAGACTTTTGTAGATCAATAACAAATTATTTAGTTTAGTTACATTTTCAGAACCTGCATGCGTCGCCTTTTCAAGACAGAAAAACGTTTACAAAAATGGTATATATATACTCTCTCACCATTATAAAAGTTTTTGTAAAACGTTTTGATAAAATGCAAAGTGTTTATCAAAATCTGACGGTAATATTTTAAAAAGACATAAATGCAATTAGAAATACAAATATTTGTGTTGTAATAAAATGTGATGAAGTGTCGTCTGTATTTTTTTTTATTAAGATCTTTGAATATCAACTAACTGAGAAAATTACGAAGAAATGTTTTCGTTGCTGAACAACTTTGCTTGACAACTATGAACTATGGATCATAGATCGAAACAGTCGAGTCATTTTTATAATATGAGATTAATATCTAGTTGCGGGGCTTAAAGATTAGAAACTGAGAACGTGTGTGTTGCGTTGTGCTGGATGCACGTTTTCTTTGGATTGCGAGCCAAGAGAAACTGATAAGCACAATTGACTAATTGGACTGATTGATTTAGTCTTTCTTAATTTAATTTGGCTATTTGTATTGTAATTAAGGATACTTAATGTTCACTGACTTGATCTTAAGAAAAAGACAAAAAATAATTATGTTTAGTTGCTGACAGCTAGCTCCTAGCTAAAGAATAATTTTGGTGTCCATTGTAATCTGTGAGTCCAGTTATTTCTAGTTGACTTAGATGCAACTTGATTCATTTTAAATGTAAAGAGACTTTTTTTATTCTTAAGAAAAGACTCACCAAGTTAGCTTCGTTGATGTCAAAACAAAAAAAAGTTAGTTTAGAGCATGTATATCAGTGAACTTTTAAGAGAAGGGTTCACTAGAATATAATAATATTTTTTTTTTGTTTTAGTTTTTCTTTTTTATTTAATTCAAAAATTATAATTTTCGACCAATCAGAATGCTCCATTTCGGGATAATACCGTTTTTTCAGGTTCGTCAGGATGATACTATCTTTTCAAGATTAAATTATTTTGTCTCAAAAACTGTGCTATGAACCCGTCTTGATCACCTAATGTACATGTTGTCTACAGCTGATAAAGTTGGCTATATATAATCGAAGGTAAAACCTTTTGCATTTTCATACCTATCCTATCCTTTATTGAATTATTCTTCGCTACAACATTTTTTTTTTTTTTTTTTCGCTACAACATTTCGCCATGGGAAGATTCTACAAGCACTTCTGGCACCCCCATGAGAGCGATGAGCATACTAGCTCTGATCTTAGCAAGCTCAGTTGGGAAGCTAGAATGAGAAAAAAATATGGTTTAGCTATTGGCAACTGCGATGAGTGTCAAAACCGCACTAACGGGGATGATGGTTTGGGTTGCGATATATGCGACAAGGTGTGGCACCTTGGTTGCACTCCAAGGTCGCCTGATGAAGTAAACCATCCGTTCCACCCATACCATCCACTCAAGCTTCTCATTGATGGCCCACCTGATTACTCTGATGGAAAATGCGTTACCTGCAAGCAAGAACTCAAGAGCTTTTTCTACCATTGCTCGCTATGCGATTTCAGCATGCATGTGAGGTGCGTCAACAACGATCCTCCGCCACCCACTGTCGATGCCCCGAGGTGCCACAAGCACACACTCACCCTTATGGCAAGAAATGACACCTTCACTTGTAACGCTTGTGGTACGCATGGCCAACGATGCCCTTACGTATGCGCTCCCTGCGGCCTCATGTTCCATCGGGACTGTATCACGTTGCCACACGTCATAAACATCAATCGCCACGACCATCGTGTGGCTCACACTTTTTCTCCTGGTTTCGGGAATTGGAAATGCATGATTTGTCACAAGAAGATTGACTGGAGGTATGGTGCTTATTCTTCTCAGAAATGTCCTGATGTTTTCTTTCACTCCAAATGCGCGACTAGAAAAGATGTGTGGGATGGAGTAGAACTCGAAGGGGTGCCTGAAGATGTTGTAGATGTTTCTCCATTCAAAGTGATTGAAGACGGAGTCATTAACCATTTCTCCCATGAGGAACACAACCTAAGGCTTATTGATGAGGATGCTATTGATCGTCATAAAAGCATAAGGTGCGAAGCTTGCACAGGTTCTATCTTTTCTGACAAGCACTACAGCTGTATGGATTGTGGTTTTTTCCTCCATGAAACATGCGCTAATCTTCCTCTTCAAAAAAGACATGGGCTTTCCACAAAGCCGCTTACTCTAATACGAAGAGAAAAGTTATTTGAGTGTTCTGCATGCGCAAAACTATCAAATGGTTTCAAATACGAGTGTGGTGATATTTTCCTAGACGTCCGGTGCGCGTCGATGTCATGGTATTGTGATTATGAATGTCACCCGCATACCCTCTTCCTCACTACGCTTGACAAGGAAACTTGTGGGGCATGTCTTGAAACTCACAAACAAGTGCTGCACTGCGTTGAATGCGAGTTCACATTGGACTTCAAGTGTGCTACTCTCCCGAAAAAGATAAAGCACAGGTGCGATGATCATTTTCTGTCCTTGTGTTATGGTGAGAAGGAGAAGCCGAGGGGTACGTACTGGTGTGAAGTTTGTGAAACCGTTTTAGATCCACAAAAATGGTTTTACTCATGCTCCGGTGATTGCGGAGTCGTTTGTCATATTCCGTGTGTGCTCGGGGAGTTATGGAATGCCAAGCCTGCTACATTCATCAGCTTTATAGGAGGATTTCTAGTAGATTTGGTTCCCAACGATAGTATGTCGCGACCAAAATGCTATTCTTGCGGCTCTCGTTGCCAACAACCCCTCCTTTTCCACTTATTTCCCTCTAAATATACGGACGAGTGCTTTTGTGGCATTCAATGTCTTACCAAATATACCGATTCACATAAAGCATATATCTAGTAGCACAGTTTGATTTCCTCTTAAAATATCCCCATGCCTGGTTCCTACAATTTTTGTCGAATTAATTAACTCAAATAAAAGTAATTGAATGTCATTTTTTTTTACTATGCAGTTAATATATATTGATACTTATCTTCATTAAAATGGGAATATAATATATAAGAATTTTAAAAAAAAATTATGTGATGAAAAAGGGTTACTTAAATTGCATAAATTGTACAGACACAAATTAATTAATTTGAACTTACAAAAGGGTTACTTACATTGCATCATTTGAACTTACAAAAGTAAGTTAAATGAAAAAGTCAAACTCTTCCAGTTCCAGCATTTATATATATTATCTGATGAAAGGAGAGAAAAATTCACAAATTAAAGATTGGATCCACCGTCATACTCATACCCTTCATGCTGCTGTATATGAAGAACGTGGATCCACATCTCAAGGCTCAAGGTATTCAATAATACAAAGATCAAAGAACAGTATTACTTTATTTTTCTTTTCTTATTTTTATATAATTAGTCTTAGTCTCTAAAACATTAGCTCTGCACCGTTTGTTGTTTGCGTACTTTGTCATGAACGTATTCTTAAACACAGTTTATTTGTCTGTTTTTCTCTTTAGGAGAGTTCTTTTGCTCAAGACTGATACTTAAGGAGTGTGAAGAGTTTGACTCTTAATAATATGTTTTGGGATGCTTCTGTTTCTATATTTCTTTGCAGACAGAAAAACGTGTAAAATAGTGGTATATATACTTCTTTATATATAATTTCTCACCATAATATTGTTAGGAATCATATATGAATTGTAAGCTTAAAATTCAAAGAGAAAAAATCATTTTCTGTGAGTTTGCGATTTAATAATTTGTAAAAAGTATTTTTAATAAAAAAAAGACGTTCATAGCTGAAAAATTTTGCTTGACAATTACATACATATATATCATAGATCGAATATTCGACTTATTATTATAAATATATGAGATTAATAAACTACCTAAAGGACATTATGTTTTTCTTGGCTTTGACGAGTCCTGAGAACGTATGTTGCGTTGTGCTGGATGCACGTTTTCTTTGGAATGCGAGCCAAGAAAAACAGATGAGATGAACAATTGGACTGATTGATTTAGTCTTTCTTAATTTAGTTTGGCTATTTGTATTGTAATTAAGCCTTAAGGATACTTGATGTTCATTGACTTTGCTTAGTTGTATTGTAATTAAGCCTTAAAGGATATTTGTATTGTAGTCAAGGCAACAAATAAGTTAGCTTAGTTGCTGACAGCTAAAGAGGATTGGTTATTATATTCATGACATTAATATTTGTATACATGTAAATAGAGTTGAGGAAAAACAAACATAAGAAAATAAGAAAAGAAGATAAAATAATTTAGCTGGCCATTGGCATCTGTGAGTTAGTTATTTATAGTTGACTTAATGCAACTTGATTCATTTTAAATGTTAGGACTTGGGAGACTTATTATTATCCTTTAAGAAAAGACTCACCAAATTTGCTTAGTTGTTTACAGCCAAAGCTGATCAACTTGGCTATATAATCCTATATGTATCTGTTAATAAGGATAAGTAAGATCCACGGTAGAACGGAACAAAACATTTTGCATTTTCCACCCAAAAAAAAAAAAGGTTAAGATCCAAACTCCAAAGTAAGAGGCTTTTGCATACTCATACCTCTCCTTAGTCTCCTATCCTTATTCAATCTTTCTTAGCTACAACCTTCCCCATGGAAAGAAACTATAAGTACTTCTGGCACCCCGAAGAGAGCAATGATCAGCATAAAAGCTCTAACCCTAGCACGTATAGTTGGTCAGCTATGATGAAAGTAATATATGGAAATCCGACTTTCTGCGATGAGTGTCGGAAGCACATTTCGGATGCCAGTGGTTCCTTGAGTTGCGATTTCTGCGACAAGGAGTGGCACTTTGATTGCGTCCCAAGCTCGCCTGATGAAATAAACCACCCGTTCCACCCATACCATCCGCTCAAGCTTCTCATTGATGGCCCACCTGATTACTCTGATGGAAAATGTGTTACCTGCCAAATGGACCTCAATGGATTTTTGTACCATTGCTCCATATGCGATATCAGCATGCATGTGAGGTGCGCCAAGGACCCCCCCACCACCCATTGTGGATGCCCCGAGGTGCCACAAGCACACACTCACCCTTATGGCAAGAAATGACACCTTCACTTGTAACGCTTGTGGTACGCATGGCCAACGATGCCCTTACGTATGCGCTCCCTGCGGCCTCATGTTCCATCGGGACTGTATCACGTTGCCACACGTCATAAACATCAATCGCCACGACCATCGTGTGGCTCACACTTTTTCTCCTGGTTTCGGGAATTGGAAATGCATGATTTGTCACAAGAAGATTGACTGGAGGTATGGTGCTTATTCTTCTCAGAAATGTCCTGATGTTTTCTTTCACTCCAAATGCGCGACTAGAAAAGATGTGTGGGATGGAGTAGAACTCGAAGGGGTGCCTGAAGATGTTGTAGATGTTTCTCCATTCAAAGTGATTGAAGACGGAGTCATTAACCATTTCTCCCATGAGGAACACAACCTAAGGCTTATTGATGAGGATGCTATTGATCGTCATAAAAGCATAAGGTGCGAAGCTTGCACAGGTTCTATCTTTTCTGACAAGCACTACAGCTGTATGGATTGTGGTTTTTTCCTCCATGAAACATGCGCTAATCTTCCTCTTCAAAAAAGACATGGGCTTTCCACAAAGCCGCTTACTCTATTAACCATCAAAATGGGTACCGATGATGGTTATTTTTAGTGTATAGCCTGCTCTAGATATTCAAATGGTTTCAGATACGAATGTGGTGATACTATCCTAGACGTAAGGTGTGCGTCGATGTCATGGTATTGTGATTATGAGTGTCACCCGCATACCCTCTTCCTCACTACGCTTGACAGGGACACTTGTGGGGCATGTCTTGAAACTGAAGAACAAGTGTTGCATTGCGTTGAGTGTGAGTTCACATTGGACTTCAAGTGTGCTACTCTACCAAAAAAGATAAAGCACAGGTGCGATGACCATTTTATGTCCTTGTGTTTCGGTGAGAAGGTGAAGCCGAGGGGTAAGTACTGGTGTGAGGTTTGTGAAACCGTTTTAGATCCACAGAAATGGTTTTACTCATGCGGTGATTGCGGAGTCGTTTGCCATATTCCGTGTGTGCTCGGGGAGTTATGGAATGCCAAGCCACGTGTCATCCACTATGATGGAGAAGGTACATTGGAACTGGTTCCCAACGATAGTTTGTCTCGACCAAAATGTGGCTCATGCGGCTCTCATTGCCAACAACCCCTGATTATCAAGTTTTCTAGCCTTGATATGGAGGAATTCTTTTGTGACACTAAATGTTTTAAAAAATATGAAGACTATAAGTTCGGAGGCTACCCTGACCGGTATCAGCAGAGGCAACAGGCGGGCCAGCAACAAGTCCCTTTCTGATTTAATTTCTGGTCGCGTCAAAGAGATGATAGTCCCTTTTAGCTTATGAACGTGAATGCATCCCGTTTTCAGAACGTGCATGCATAGCGTTTTCAAGACAGAAAATTGTGTAAATAATGGTATATATACTTTCTCACCATTATATTTTATTTGTAGTAGGAATCATATATGAATTGTAAAAAGAAAATTCAAATAGAAAAAAAACATTTTGTTGAGTTTGCGATTCAATACTTTGTTAAAAGCGTTTCAATAATACTTTGTTATTGAAATAAACTTGCTATTTTTTTTTTCTTCTCTTTTTGCATAAGTTATCATATCATTAGTAAACAATACGACATTATGTATGAATTTGAAATTTTTTCGAGAGAGATTTCAAATTGAAATTAAAAGTTGTAGATAAACAATTGAAGACATAAATCCAGAAAAAAAATAAAAGTTGACGAAAAACTGTTGAATTTGAAATTAAAAGTTGACGAAAGATTTTATCCCTTTTAACAGACAGAAAAAAAAAACCATTTTAACAGACATAATTAGGAGGAAACGATGGATTTTATGTGCCATAGATAGAAGGCTAGAGTACGATAAATGTGGAAGGTTTATAAAATTGTAGCAAATCGGAGAAAGGATCTAAGATAAATCAATGATCTGTAATCTGTTCAGTTTAGTCTAGCTAGTTATAAACAAATTAATTCCGTATTTTTCTTTTGCTATAAATTAGCTAAGAGAATCAAACGGATCAGAAACATATATCTTGAGCACAACTAATCTCCAGCATTAGAACAGTTGGAGATCTCTGATGAGACCAAAGTTTTGTCTTTAGAGGTCTATGTAGAGGCAGTGTGGCATGTGTCGTCTCCAAGTTTGAACATTTTACAACACAAATTATGATTTTTTGGAGTCATACATAGACTCACATAGTCTAAGTGTTGAAAATTAAATTGAAAAATTGCCTTGATGACCCGTTGTCCAAACCAAAGGGCAAAATAGAAAATAGAATCTGACTAGTTTAGTGCATATTGCCAAATTATAATCTTACGTTTTGAAACAAAAAATTTGTATGTTCTCCACATTTCGTAAAGTTATAACTTTTCCTATAACCTAGTTACAGTATGTAACTTTTTATTTCCTAATTTATCTCTACTAATCGAGGTCATTATTCACTAAATATAAGTTTCTTTCAGTTCAGATGTCAAACTCAAAAATATTATAGATTTGTTTCAACATTGACACTAAGGTATATGCCCGAGATATGACTAATATATTAATTATTATTTTTTGGTCGAATATTAATTGAATTTCTTAATATGTATTTTTGGGCGGCAAACTCGTAAACTGAAATGTTTATTATAGTCTGGAAGACTGGAATGTTATACTATAAGTACTTACTATTACTATAAACATACATACGATATATGACCTCATTTTTCAAAATATATAACAACAATGATTACAGGCATTGAGTATAAATTGTTAGCTGGAAACTTATACCGTCTTAATATTTTAGCCTATCTGATTGTCTTAGTGATTTGACTTACATAAGTTAACTTTATTATATATCTCTTATTAATAAGAAATCATATAACTTGGAACAAAAACACGTATACAAGTTACAAGTTAGTGCAGCAGCACTGCTCAATGCAATGACTACAAATACTTTGTCATTTCAACTTTTCTCGTCATTCTGATATTCCTACCTCTCTTCACAAAAGGTCATCGAAAGGAAAATCGAAAAGACAAAAATGACCCTCTTCAAAAGGCCGTGCCTTTACTCAAAGATTGATAAGGAAGACCCAGAAGAGGTATTTCAGCGACGAGCCAAATTTTTGATTTACAAAACGCTTCAAGAAGTCGACTATATTTCTCGGCGTTCTCCTCCTTCGTCGTCGTTTCTGCGGTTGAAGCTTTTCCGATTGAAGCTCAAGCTCGGAAAAAGGTTGACTAAGCTGCGTAAAAGCGTAGTATCCGCCGTTAAATTTGGCGGAATTCGAAAGCATTCTCAAGGCGGCGTGAGAACGTTGAATAAACTGTTCCAAGGTGGTGCAACAACCGGACTACCTAGGCCTATTTTCACTCTTGAAGTTTGATTTCTCTTTATTTTGTTTGTTTTGTGTATTTTCTTTTTTCTTTCTTGAGTTTCTGTTGATCTCTATTACAAAAGTTTATCAAGAAATGTACTATGAAGAGATCATGATGAGTTTTGATTCTTTCATAATAAGGGGATAGAAATCGTGAAATTGCAATAACCATTCACTGATATGATTATGCAAAAATATTTATAAGACACGGATATTGCAAATTGCTCTTAATTTGGGCTAAGGAATTTGTAATCGAAATAGTTTTACACAATTCAAACTAACATTTTCACTGAAAAAGACATGGATTGCTCTGAATAAATAGTAACGTTCTCAAATTGATTTTATAGCCCGAACGAATATACAAGCAAAATAATGTACATCATAAACTGTCTTGGAAAAAAAAAAATCCTATGTTGTAGAGTAAACAAATGACCCCCACAAAGAAGACTCACCACTCGAAAAAGGAAGTTCCAAACTAATCAGTTTATGATTTCATCAAGTATCCAAACTAATTCATGATTAATCATAAGATTTAACCACTTCTAACATTGCTAGAGTAATAACAACATAACAATTGTTTTATAGTTGAACTTTGGAGTCTATTGAATAAACCAATTCATGATTATTTATTCCGAGTTCGTGCGATTTCGTGACAATTTCCCCTAGATTCTAACACGAACGATAAAATTTAACTTAAAAATCTTCGTCCTAAGTCCTCAAAATATCTTCGGGTAGTAAAATCAATTTGAAGGAATTGACAAGGATTTAAATGCAAATAAATTATAGTTTCTGTATCTTTCCTTGCCCTTTCCCTTCGTCACTATTTTTCTTTTCAAGCCCTTTTTCCTTTTTTATCTTTTTTTTCTCATCGTCATCGTCTTCGTTCACGTTGTCCTCGTCCGAAGTCATCGGAGGTCCTGCATCACGTTTTCCAAGTTTTAATTATCGCGGGGTCTTCTTCATCCTTTGTTCATCTTCTCTCTTGATTTGATTCGTCCTCGACTGGTAAAGATTTCATAATGCGTACCTTACATATCTAAGATCTCCTGTTAAATTGCTTAGAAAATCTAGGACGATAGAGATGAAATTTCTGAATCCTTTTAGTACCATCCGATCGTCTAAGTATTTTTAGTGCTGAAATTTCCACATTCATGTGAAGCTGATGAGACCTTTTTCTCCTTATTTGTATCAAATTTCTTGAAAGTTTGCGTCTTTTCTCAGATTGCTCCGGGGACCTGTCTATTGAAATTCTTGTTGCTTTACGTTTTATGGATACATGTATCGAAACCTATGGCACATTGATCCAATTGCTTTTTAGTACATAGGTTCTCTTCGTGTTTGAGACTGGTGAATGTGATTGTGGCTTTGGTTTCTTAAATCCAGAAGGGAGGAGTTTGAGGGACAGGAAGCTCATGGAGTAGAGATTCTGTTTGGATTTTTTTTCTTTGTGTCTGAGGATTGGAATCGATCTTCTGAGTTATACCGAATTTGGTTTCTGAAGTTTGTTAAAATGAGTGTGGTGGGATTCGATGTTGGGAACGAGAACTGTGTTATCGCAGTTGCAAAGCAACGCGGGATCGATGTTTTGTTGAACGATGAATCGAACCGAGAAAATCCTGCGATGGTTTCATTTGGTGAGAAGCAGAGGTTCATGGGTGCTGCTGCTGCTGCATCTGCTACAATGCATCCCAAATCAACCATTTCACAGTTAAAGAGATTGATCGGTATGAAATATAGGGAACCTGATGTTCAGAATGATCTGAGGTTGTTCCCTTTTGAAACTTCCGAAGACTCTGATGGTGGAATTCAAATTCGGCTTCGGTACATGGGTGAGATGCAGAGCTTTAGTCCGGTACAATTACTAGGCATGTTGCTTTCACATTTGAAGCAGATAGCAGAGAAGAGTCTTAAGACGCCTGTTTCAGACTGTGTCATTGGGATTCCTTCCTACTTTACAAACTCACAGAGACTTGCCTATTTGGATGCTGCAGCCATTGCTGGCCTGAGGCCATTGAGATTGATGCATGATTCTACTGCCACTGCTCTCGGATATGGTATATACAAGACAGATTTGGCGGCTAACTCAAGCCCTACTTACACTGTATTTATTGACATCGGTCACTGCGATACGCAAGTCTGTGTGGCTTCATTTGAGTCTGGAAGCATGAGAGTCCTTTCTCATGCTTTTGATAGAAACTTGGGCGGGAGAGATTTTGATGAGGTTCTCTTCAACTATTTTGCCGTTGAATTCAAGGAGAAATACAGCATCGATGTATATACAAATACCAAGGCGTGTGTTAGGTTAAGGGCATCTTGTGAGAAAGTGAAGAAGGTCTTGAGTGCAAATGCGGAAGCACCGCTGAATATAGAATGTCTGATGGATGAGAAGGATGTGAAGAGCTTCATTAAGAGAGAAGAGTTTGAAAAGTTGTCATCAGGCTTGTTGGAGAGATTAATTGTTCCGTGTCAAAAGGCTTTGGCTGACTCTGGTCTAAGTTTGGATCATATCCATTCTGTGGAGCTAGTTGGTTCAGGGTCCAGAATACCAGCTATATCTAAGATGCTAAGCTCGTTATTTAAAAGGGAGCTAGGCAGAACCGTGAATGCAAGTGAGTGCGTAGCTCGCGGATGTGCACTTCAATGTGCAATGCTCAGTCCAGTTTTTCGAGTTAGAGATTATGAGGTATGCTCTTCTTTTTGAAGTTAGCAGAATAATAGATTATTACAATGGTTACAGATAATGATGGATTAAAGCATGATGGCGTGTATACCTTTACGGATTTGTTCCTATGAATGGCTGATGTTTCTTTTATTTATGCTTCCCCTATTTTCAGGTTCAAGATTCCTTCCCTTTCTCAATCGGCTTCTCATCTGATAAGGGTCCCATAAACACACCATCGAATGAGGTGCTCTTTCCGAAAAGCCAAGTCTTTCCAAGTGTAAAGGTTATTACTTTACGTAGAGAAAACACTTTCCATTTGGAAGCCTTTTATGCAAACCAAGACGAAATAGCTCCGGATTCACCAAGTCAGATAAGCAGCTTTACGGTATGATATCTTTCAGGCTTCCCTTTTTTTGAATATACATTCAAGCCTTAAAGCTCTGAGTACGTGTTGGATGGTAATGCCACTCTTAGGCTCCACAAATTTAATGGAACGCTTAGTCTATTGTGTTGTTTTTTAGATTGGTCCTTTTCAAATATCCCACGGAGAAGCAGCACGTGTTAAAGTAAGAGTTCAACTAAATCTTCACGGGATTGTCACCATCGATTCAGCTTCTGTGAGTATAATCTGATATCGATCCGTTTCAGATAAGATAGCCTTTATACTTCTGCCTAGCTTGAGTTAAAGTTTCTTTTCTGAATAAAAGCTAATAGAAGATCATAAGGAGAATATGACTTCTGAAGAGACAATATCCGAAAACAACCATCAATCTTCCGCTACGAAGGACGGGGCTTCAGACCCTTCGTTAGGTTCTACTGTAAGTATGATTTGACACCGTCTAAAGAAATACAGTTGCATTGTAAGAAAGCTTAAAGTCCAATATATTAAAAGCTGATCTTGAAGCATTGGCAGCTCCATCATTTCTGAAACATTCAAATGGTTGATCAGGAGATTCCCCAAAGCATCTTATATGCACAAATCCTGAGGTTTGTCTCTCTTGTGTAGGGTAATGATCCGAAGGCTATTAAAAGAATGGAAATTCCAGTTGTTCAGAGCGTCTCTGGTGCGTTGACAAAGAATGAATTATCCGAGGCCAAACAGAGAGAGAACTCTTTAGTAGAGCAAGATCTGAAGATGGAATCGACAAAGGATAAGAAAAATGCTCTTGAATCCTTTGTTTATGAGATGCGTGATAAGGTACTATTCTTGTTTTAATAGACATAAAGCTTCCACCTTTAAATTTTGGGAAAATATGTCTATTCGCTCTTTATGGTTTTATCACTGAGCAGAATCATATTGTGTATGCTGGCAGATGTTAAACACATATCGAAGCACTGCAACTGAGTCAGAACGGGAATGCATCGCCAGAAATCTTCAGGAAACAGAGGAATGGCTATACGAAGATGGCGATGATGAAACGGAAAATGCTTACATCGAGAAGTTAAATGATATGAAGAAGGTAACTCCCTCAAAGTCTTGTATAAAAAAGTTAGCGTCTGCGGAAGAGTTTCATGTCCTAATTGATGACTTTCAACTTTGAGCAGCTCATCGATCCTATCGAAAATCGGTTTAAGGATGGAGAAGAGCGGGTACAAGCATCAAAAGACCTTCTGAAAACTATTGCAGATAACAGAGTGGCGGCAGAGTCTCTTCCTCCTCCAAGAAAGAACGCGGTTTGGTTCTAAACTACAAACATATTTCTCACTCTATTGGCAACAATTTGACTTTTGAGACGGATAAAGTTTGTCTAGGTGGCTATATGTTTTGGTTATAACACCATGATGTTTTTTCGTTTTCAGGTTCTCGATGAATGTAATAAAGCTGAGAGGTGGCTCCAGGAAAGAACTGCGGAACAAGAATCGTTACCCAAAGACGCTAATCCGGAGCTGCAATCTGGTGAAATCAGGAGAAAAGCCGATGCTCTTAACGCGTAATTATAATCTTTCCTTCTCTTATTGATACTCTTCAAGCTGTATATTCACAGTTTCAACTGCAAAAACTTTGGTCTTAAATGATGGAACATAGTTGGGTTGTAACGGGTCGGGTCAAGATCATGTTTTTTACTGATTAAAAGGATCTTGAATGAATGTGTTGCAGGACGTGCAAGTACATTGGGAAATCAAACTCTCCTCCCACGAAATCGGAACATAATGGATCACACGGAAGTAGAAAGTCAGATGATATGGAGCTTGATTGATTTTTTCTTTTTTTTTATCTAATCTTAATTTTGTATCTTCATTCTAAAATTGTGAAGGAAAATAAAATAAGGCGAAACAGTCTCACTGTATTCCTCACGTTCGGTTGATTTAAAACGATTATTTTATTTTTCTTTTTTGTTCTTCTTATGTCAACGGTTTGAAACGATTTATCCTCGAGATTGATTTTTCAGAATTTTCTTTTTCTTATGGTGACTTTTCTTTCGATAATTAAACATTTACCTATTCATAAAATATAATTTTCTTTTATACATGCTCCATGTGGAAGTATAGTCTTCTTCACCTTTTTTTTGGTTTATTGATTGAGGTCGGAAATCAATCTCAATTTCTATAAGACATAAGGTGAAATGCGTCGACAAAAAAAAAAAAGACAAGGTGAAATTTTTTAATCACTTAAATATTTGAACTAGTTGGATCGATTGTGACTTTGACCCAAAAAAAAAACATTGGATCGATTGTGACATATGCAACCAATTTCTATTAGGTGAACATATTAAAAAATATAACCTAGTTGATCTCGATTCCCGATTTGCTTACGTTCATAAAGCTTTGAATCTAAAAAGTAATATGATTATAAATTTCTAGTAGATAGTGATAAAAATCCACACATGGTGGCATAATAGTATCCGCGGGTACAAAGATGGAAACATTCCGCATCGACTACTTGACCACAAGTGTGAAATGTAAAAACCATCGTTTATACACAACTTCATAAGTTATAACATATCAAAATTAACCCTTTAGCTTAACACACATAGTTTTCAATTTATTCGTTAGTTTTATTGTTTCGAGTCTCTTTGCTAATTGAAATTTATAAGTTTAGAAATAGAACAAAAGACGTTTGCTAGACTTGATAAATTTCTTTTGGTGCTGAGTGCTCGACTTGCCATACATAATTAATGTTCTTTAAGAGGTTATATTCTTTGTTAAAAAATAAAAAACTATATATATATAAATATATATATATATACATCTAATTTTGCGTATACAATCCTAAATCTGGACCTAATTTTTTAACCAATCGTACACAAACTCGTACAAATAACACGATTGGAAGGTGAGATCACTAATATCACAAGTACGCGTGATGGTGAGTGGATCCGTATACCCAAATTGAGATGATTCCCAGTTTCTGTCATCCGATTAAATTTTGTACCCCTCGAATCGTACGTGTCCGAATCTTTACGTCAACCAAAAAAAAAAAAAAACATTAAAAACTGTTGTACGAATCTTCATTCTTTGTTATTGGGACCCATTCTTTTTTTTCAAAGTACGTATGTCTCTCCATCAAAAGACAAAACTAGCTAGCCGGTTTAGTAGAAGATAGACCCAACATATAGTAATACTGACTCATGTCATCTATGAAACAAAAACTATATACTATAGTTTATACATTAACGAGGAACCATATAATTGGTGCGTATATAAATATGCATGGCATGTGGATCGTCAAGTTGTATCTTTCTCTTCATTTGTTTTCTTGTTTTGGGTTTATATGAAACAAAGATAAGTTTGTCGACGAAAATTAACGAGAGAGACGGATAAGAGATGAGTCAGTACCAACCGTAATAGTATTTAATAAATTGAACAACAACAAGGATTTATGTCAGAATGAGGCATTTGATTGAATTTTCACAAAGGACCATTGAGGAAAACATGTGGAGGATGCTCAAACACACATAAGCTGTATCACTACCGCAATCTTTGCTTTATATATATAAGTCTTGAATTTTTTATTTTTTGGGTTAGGATTTGTGTTTATATTCTCACATAGATTATAAGTAAAATCATACGTAAATCAAACCAAATCAAATAAAATCCGAAAATACTTAACAATAAACTATTGTTCACAAAAAAAAAAGAACATGATAATTTTTTTTTTTGTGTGTGTCGAGAATTGACAAAGTCAATGACGACGTTCTCTTTTTTTTTTTTTTTTCTTGTAACGAGGGTAATTTCAATGACGTTCGCTTAATTTGTACATTCATGTTCATTAGTCTTCATGAACCTTTATGTCAGTGTCATATGACCGTATATTAGTTCAACTAAAATGCTATTAGAAAAGCAAAACTAAAATACTATTACGTTATTACTTGTTAAAAAGTTTATAATATTACATCACTTGTTATAAGGTTTATAATACTGCATCACTCATTAAACTTTAAATCTAGATGCGTAACCGCATCACACCACGAAAACATTTGTGTATATGTTATTAAATCGGCAGATAACTGATTATGATTCAAAAATAAACTGTGAAACCATAAATTCCTAATTTTCGCAGGATTACCAAAGAAATTGTTGTGTACCATAAAACCAATGTTTCATTATTTGATTTATTTGCGTACATACAAGAGGCGGTTACAACAAATTCGCTCTTTCACACAGTACATCATTGTTTTCAACATTTCATTCTCACTACTCAATATTACTTCCGCTTACAAAAATGTTCATTAACATCCTTCTCTTCACTCTTACCCCCTCCAGAAAACTATCGATTTTCCAATTCATTAATCAACAGATTGGCAGATCTATTGATTAACTGATGAGTGTTTTATCCGTTTTTCAATCAATTTTGGGGCCTTGGGGGAAACCAAACAAAAAATATATATCTCCAAATCCCCCCCCTCCCCCAAGATTAAATTTCAATTTGAAAAAAATAATCAGTTCTTTTTTTTGTTTACTGCTTAAGAAGCGGCGCTTGGGTGTCTTCCCACTGGTCCAATCGTCTCGAAGCCTTCTCCACCTGACATTGACAGTTGTTATTAGTACTAATCCAAAATTAAACATATAACTGTCGTATTTATGTAAATTTATATGATAATTTACCTCTTTATCCCAATCAGTTCGGAAAGTGACAATGAGTAAGATAATAGTTTGCATGAGTGTGCCCCCAATCATCCCTGTCCATATTCCCTGCACCAAATCATTAACCACTTGATTATATTTTCACTTCACACTAATCAATAATTGTTCATTAGAATATAAATGATTTTTTCAAAAATAATGAGATCTACCATAGCTCCCATATCATAGGTGAAACCAAGAACATAACCAATAGGAATCCCAACAATGTAATAACATCCAATGTTAACGTACGCCACAAATGCTTGCCACCCACATCCAACGGCAACACCTGTGTTTAATTAATTTTGTTATTAAATCATTTATTAACTAATCTATTAATAATTTCTTGAAGAGTTAAAAAAAAATAAAAATTACCAGATAAAACAGGTTGAACTCCATTGAGAACTATGGTAATGGCCAAATAAGGAGCGAGTTCGGCTACGGCTTCGGCAACCACTGGGCTATCAGTAAAAACGTAGCTGATGACGTGGCGCCACGAGAGGATCACCACGGCTTCAAACAACGACAGTAAAAATGATACTCCTGTAGTTACTGCGGTTGAAAATGCTGCTGATCTTGGATTTCCGGCGCCGAGTTCGTTACTAACTCTCACACTGTAATTTCGAAACAAATAGAATAATAAAAAATGTGTATTACTTTTTTGTAACAGCTTGTACTTATTTGTTACCACACCACTTTGTATTATAGTAATAAATTGCGTAAGTACTTAAAAATGTCAAAATAAAAACTTTTTTTTTTCACCAACCTTGCAGCTGCGTTGAATCCAACAGATACCATAAACGAGATTGCAGAGATTGACATGCTGCAAATAAATTTAAGATAAGATTAGATTGTAGAAAACTATATATAGTATTAAAAAAAAAAGGATGGCCTTCAATCAAAAAAAAAAAAAAAGGGGATGGCCAGGTCACAAAAAAAGAGTCAGTAATATACATTTTTTTTTTTTTCTTTTCGGTCAAAGAGTCAGTAATACACTTTAATAATCATGTTTGTTTCAACCAAAATTTTTTTTATCATGTTTGTAAACACACTCCCAAATGGAGTATAAATTAACGTTAACTAACAACTTGGGTCTTGGAGTAATCAACACCTTTTAAAATTTTCCCGCGTACAGAAGTGCGTGCCGTTTGTTTACCAAGGAAGACGACACGCAGTTTGGGCTCACGAGAAACGTCAAAAAAACACACTGAATTTTGGCTTGTAACGGAAAGGTAAAAACACGTGGCGAACGCTAATTGCTGATATAAGTCAAGAGTACGACAACAATCATCACATAGAGAGTAACGTGACACTCGTTTCTCGAAAAGGAGATTCCAGAATAGTGTCCAAAAACCCCAAAAAAAAAAAGATTTCTGACAGACACTACAAAAAAGTTCAATAGTTTGATCGGATTGAAGGTATAGGTAGGAAAGACTAATGATAAACAATACCAAATTATTTAATCCTATGTTCACATTCATTGTTCTTAAATCTTATAAATAATAAAAAAACTACCCACTTTTTGTTTTTATTTTTTCATAATCTATCTTTCATGGATAGACTAAAAGTTTAGGAAATGTACTAAAATTTTAATAATACGTGCTTACAATATCTCTATCTTTGCTTGTTAGTATGAGGTGTTATAGTATTTCATAAGGTAAGAAAGTAAAGTTTTGAAATGAAAATGAAAATTATACACTGTGCCAAGTATTGATCCAAGAGTTAAAAAGAAACTTACCAGATGGCTAGAGAGTCCAAGGCGAGTTCAGGGTTCTTGAGAAGTCCGGCAAGGAGAACAAGAATCTGAGAGTACCAAGACTCAAGGCAGAGCATGACGGCGGAAGCGGCCGATAACCGGAAAAAGTCCCAAAGACCATCAAAAGCTTTCCAGCTAAACCCGGTCCAAGTCCGGCGACATCTTGGGCTCATCTTGATATAAAGAACCTGAGCAAGAACGATGATCCACCACGAGAGACTGTGAATAACGGAGAGACCAAGCAATCCCCAACCGAGCTTGAAGACGGCGAGCCAAGAGAGGATCAAGTGGAGGACGAGCGTGGCGGCTGAGATGTAAGCGCTCGGCGTGACGATGCTCTGTGATTGGAGGAATTTCTGGATGGGGAAGTTCACGGCGTAAGCGAAGATCATCGGGATCATACCGTAGACGAAGACTGAAGACACTGATGCCACGTCAGCAGGCTCGTCGAGAGAAGTGAGCAGAGGTTTGGAGAAGATGAAGAGTAACGTCATGGGAAGTCCGGTGAGGAAAAGAACAACGGTGGATCTCTGTAAGTAGACTCCGAGCATCTCGTATCTGTGAGCTCCGTGTGCTTGCCCACATAATGTCTCTACTGCACTTCCCATTCCAAGCTGTCTCACCGGAAAAAACAAGAAACAAGAAACGTTAAGGGAAATATTCTTTAAGAATCAAGAAGACAAACCGGTTAATTGACCAGATTTTGAATCTGATCTAAACCGGAACTGGTTTAATCTGTTGAAACAAAAAAAAAACTTACCATGAGACCAAAGGTGAACATGTTGAAACCGCTGTTTCCGAGAGAGGCGGCGGCGAGTTGCATACTTCCCATATGACCAGCGAAGATACGAGTGAGCATCGACATGCCATTGTTGATGACGTAGACGAAGATCGCCGGACCCGCCAGGTGTATGAGAAATTTCAGCTCGATCAACGCGGCCAAGTAAATCCGCCGGAGATAAGGCAAATGAGTGTCCGTTAACACACTCTCCATCCTGAAATCTACTTCCGATTTCGTCGCCTCAAGTAACGGTTGCTGCAAGTTTTCAACGGCGGCTGCGTAGGCTGCTTCTTCCGATCCCATTTTTTTTTTGTTAGAAAAAATTATTTATGAAATGGAAAAAAGACAGTGGAGTAGTGAAAATGGGGTCGGAGGAAGAGATGATTATTATGTCTCTACGAATCTTTAACTCTTTTTCTCTGAGTCTGTGTCTTTCTGCGACTTGGCTCAGAGGAGCTGTAATATAAAGGCGATTTTTTGCCGTGTCTACTGACCGAAAATATTTATTTTTTTATTTTATTGACGGAAAGAGAAAAGAAAGCCCAAAAAACAGAAACGAGGATAGGCAAATTACTTTTGTTGCCCTCTCCGTTTATTTAAATAGTTAAGTTCGTCGTATGTGACAGCAAAATAAACTGGATATTTATGGGAAAAAAACTATTAGTAACGACTAATAATGCATTTTTTTGCAATCATAACTATATTTGTCAGAGCCTATATTTATATATAGGACCACAAGAATCAAGAAGCATCAATTGTATCGTAGATAAAATGGTTTTGCCTAGTACAACTTCGTTTCGTTTTCATGAAATAATTGACGGCATATATCGATAAGTTTATAAAATTGTATACATACTTTTCTCTTAAGAATATCTGTGCTTTCTCTAAAAATAGTTTATCATGCATGCAACTTTAATCACAGCATTTATCTCTTCGTATTTACTTATGTTCTTTTGACATTTGTTTATCGTACTAGTTTAATAACTACATCAGTAGATAGATATAGTAATACTCATAATAAATATTAATGATAATTGATAGGAGTACTAATCTATACTTCTGACCTCTTTTTTTGGCAACAATATCGGAATAGGTATTAGTTCAACATGCTTTAAGCCCTTTACCAAAAAAAAAAAAAAAACAAATCATGCCATTTGCTTAGGGTGTTAACATTTCTCAGGAATTAAACGCAGAAAACAAAGCACAACACGTGATTTTAATGTCCATCCCAAGAATAAAGTCCACAAGACACACTCGACAGTCAAGAGAGCAATTAAGTAAAATTTGACACTCCGTTACGTAAAGTTTGGTATTTTGTGGTAAGGCTTTTCTGTATTCTTAAAGCAAAGCCCCATTGAATTTTTTCCTTTTTAGATTTATATCCGATTCGTCAGATCGCGTACTCCGACTGATACTGAGGGTTGCGCATGTTATTTGATAAAATAAAAATTCCCAAATCTACAACGAACAAACATTTGAACCCAAGCCCAAGTGATCAATGGTATATACGCATATAATTTGCAAATGGTCTAGTTCTTCGTCTTCGCTCAATTGTACCGGATGTAGTCTGAATGGTTACATGACCACCACAATACCCTAGACGATTCAATTACATACCCCGGGCATGTTTTAAATGATTTTTAACAGATTTGTCAAGATATATAATATCGAGTTAGTTTTTATTTTTTGACATCATGAGTTAAGGTACGTTGGAAAATATGGCAATGGCGTCGTGGGCAAATGGCAATGACGAAAAACAACTAGTCAGTGGTCTGAAACCACATGGCTACATTTATATAGTAGTATTTTGTGGAAAAATTTACGTCTTCAACTTAATTTTTTTTATAGGATTAGCCGATTAGGTATATGTACGCCAAAAAATTAAGCTTTTTTTACTCATATAATAAGAAGTAGAATAATAACTTCTGTTTGACCCAGAAAAAAAGAACAATAATTTCTGTGAAATTATTCATTTGGAAACGGAGAATAATTTGTTGTCTGTCGGTTGACTCATTTCCGAATAATAATCTCTCTTGTGTAAAGGAACACACAAAATTAAAAATAAAGTGAAGATGGATCGATCGAATATGGATGAGATCCAGAAGAAAAATATAGACTACCAGATAAGATTCGGGACTTTACAAAGATTACTATGGATATGGTTTATACGACACGTAACTTGCATATTGTTAATTATATCCCATAATTTATCCAATATATATCTAAAAAAGTAATTAACAACTCCAACTACACGATCAAAATTGAACCATATCAAAAGAGAGGGAATCGACAAACTCATTGGTACGCTGGATTTTAGAAACGATCAATAATGATGAGTACATGCTTATGATTTAATAGATTTCAAACCATCACCATCAATTAAAGTTGTAAAGCAAAAATAATGCTAACCAAAAATTTTACTTTTTATTTTATTTAAAATCCAGGTATGATATGTAGATAATACCTAAGTCTGAATGAGATCTACATCAATCCCATCTGCAAGAGCATAGTGTTGGAATGATTTATTGGTTGCCGACAAAGAAAACGTATTAGCTGCAACCCATCTGCGATCGAACTTCCAACAAATGCCATTGATTTACTTCAGATATCCGACTCTTCCTTACCATACTATACACATGTGAAAAGGTTTAGTTATATTCTATGTAATTTTATTACAATTAATCCTCAACTCCAGATCGGAATGTCATATTACATCATTCCTTTAAGCAAATTCTAAAAATTACAATAGATAACTCAATTTACAAACATAGTTAGTATTTTGATGTCTTTTTATATCTTATGCGAGAGACCTTCCAAACCTAAAAGAAAATTTCACATTCAAAATTTCGACACTCGATCTTTTTTTTGGATCTCATATGAATAATGAATAGAAGCAGATTTAACGGATATTTTGTTTGATGTAAGCGTAAAAGAAAAGGGGAAAAATATGTAAACGTAAAGAAAACATATAAACTTAACAGAAGAAAAAAAAAGAAGATGTGACGTACAAAAGGTGCCACGTTGGACATGCCAAACTCGTGCTTTTAAAATTGACAAAGACAATTTTGATTGGAAGGTCAAATTACGTTGACCATTGAGTCGCAAACGCGGCGAGATTACCAAACGCCCAAATAAATGAGATAAGAAAAGTGAGTCGTTACTTTAGCAGCCTCCACAGCTAAGCACACGGACAGTTTACACGAATCTCGTACTCGGTATTGTTGATGTGATTTTTTTTATATATATCATTATATTGACTTATGGAGTTATGGAGTATTATTATGTGCAGTATTTTCAAAAGTCATTTTCAGAAATATTGTCAAGATATTAAATAAATAAGAATAATTGTGGCATTAGTTGACCCACGAATGTGAATCGAGTAATTATACCTTTTGTGATTGCATATTTGCATGTAATATCTTTTCCATATTACATGATAGAGTTCATGTCCCAAAATTAATATAATTGATAACTATTGGACTCGCCTATACTTTCTAGATATTATTCTAGATGCCATCAAATTAACTTTCATTATAGAATTATGATACATCATGTGTGTAGTGTACGTGTTTTCTTAGTTTTTATCTTTTATATTTAATAAAGATTAACACGTCAGGTATGATACATCATCATACATGTGTTTTTACCCCGTATAAAATTTCAGACAAAAAAACAAATTATTACAAATTAAAATATATTGAGACGAGTAGGGCTATAGGCTCTTTAATATGAACAGAAATTCCCTTGGTTGTTCGGAAGAGTCTTAAATGAAACGAAGTTGATATTTACAGCTTTGTTTTCAATATACTATTAAATTGGAGTATTTTGTCATGATGACGCTGATCAGATTGTTAACATTTTTTTTATCAAATGAGAAAGCGCACTTTCTGCATCGAATACAAATGTGTATTTTCCTTACGTAAACAGAAAATTGATGTTTGTCAAAGTCAAAGGAGCCACAATTTAGCGTCAAACACTCAAACAGTTCACGAAGGGCAAGTAGTAGTTGAGCAACTAAGCATGCAAACATGAAACACTCCGACCAAGTTTGTAAGATTGTTTAATTAGCAATAAGTAACTTTTATTATGCGATATTTAATCAAACAGTTTAATTGGAGATTGTGGAAAGAGACTGTAAGAAACTATCTACGCTCACCTAAATGTTTTGGCTAAAATTAATACGATCGATGAGTTGCTAAACAATTTGTTCAAAAAAGGAACAAGGGTGGCTAAAAGGGGGCATTCAAACATTTTAACTTCGAATATTTTTTCCAAATCTTTAAAAATATTATTGTTTTTTTTTGTGCACCAAAGAGATATCCACAAATTGGCGTAATTAAGAAAGAATCTTACATAGCACGTTGACCTAGTTCGATAAATGTACGCATTAGAATTTTATAACGAATACAAATTTATCGATGAAAGACAACAAAGTTCCCTAAGATAATTTTAGTAAGATGTGACAATATTTTTCAGATAATTTCATATTTATATTTACAAGAGAGTGCGCTTCTCATGTTCGAGTGTCATTGCAATTTTGGGAAAATAAAAGACTAATTAATCTGCTCGGGTTCCACCGGGCTGAGAGGATGACGTACATGCCCAAAGTCCAGAACCTTTTGGTTATCTAAAAAAACCATCAACCATGTTATGTTAGTGTCTATGTGCAGGCTGTTTTTCGAATGCTATTTGATTATTTCTGATTATAGACTCTCTTACCCATGACTTATCGACCATTGCTTCATAGGTCGTCGTAACAGCTAGATCTCTACTCGGAAAATCATCTCATGATGGGCTTTTGAACATATCCTAGTAACTACTGACTAGTGATAATATATGAAAAGCAATAATCCTAAGTTGATATATAAGTCGCATAACGGCATGAGTGACAAGAATTGTGGACGATCTGTAGTTGATTTACTATACAATAACCAGGCGAAGCAAGATAAATCAAGAAGCTCATGATCCTGTTCAGCTATAATAATTTTGATGCGTCCTTCTATTACAGCTAGTGATGGTACTACTTAGTGAGTTGGAGTTTGTATTCGATTGTTGGCCTTTTCTTAAGTATTTGATCTCGATCATAACGCTTCAGTTTTTTACTCAAAATCTCTGTATAAACTCTCAAACTAATGAATCTTTTTTTCTTTTGATGAAAAAAAGAATGATGTTGTTTTCTATTGCCTATAATATAACATAATTATAAACACAAGTTCACGAGGTCTCCAACAACCGGTTGAGCCTATGGTGTGCCGTGCCTAGGATTTTGGAGGCCTTAGGCTAAAATTAAAATGTGACCCTTTTAATGAAATTATATAAAAAGTCAGTAATCAAATGTGTAGTAATATTTTTAAAAAATTTGGTGAAAAAATAGTTATACTTTTATGCAGCTGAGGATCGAATTTGAATAAAA